CCTCCTCGCTGGTGCCACTGGATATTCCCACTTGTGGGTAAACCGATCGCGGACACCTCTAATAGCCCTAGCAAGGCGTTTAGAGTTACTTCATATGCTACTACACGACCACTAATGCCCCAGTCCTCCGCCCGGCGGTTAAGCTCCTCTACGACATCGGGGGAAGCCTCTACCGACGAGGGGCGATCCAATCTCGGAGTAACAGGATGTCAAAAGAACGGACCAAGGACGCGTCACGGAGATTGTCTGCGTTTCGGAACACTCAATTGCCGTACACTAGCAACTGAAGCTGCGCTCGAACAACTTCTTGCGGCAAACCGCAAGGCGAACATCGATGTGATCTGCATCCAAGAAACGAAAGCCCAAACAGAAACTTGCTCAAAGACGCTCAACGGAGAACTTCTGATCCTCGGAAAGAAGGTCGACGGCAAGAACATCGGTGGCGTAGGGTTTTTGGTGAACCGCTCGATCCAACCCTACGTTGTCTCCCATGTCATCATGAGTCCACGGCTCGGAATCCTTCGCCTCGACTTAGGAGCTCGAGGGAAAGTTACGATCATCAACGTCTACGCTCCAACATCAGAAGCAGAAGAAACCGTACTGGACGACTTCTACAAGACTTTAGAGGAGACGATCAAGCGTGAAAAAACCTACTACGTTTACGTGATGGGTGATTTCAACGCGATTCTTGGGGAATGCGACCAACCCTCGGCTCGACATGGAAGACACGGTCTCGGGAATCGAAACGAAAGTGGAGAAAGACTTGTCGATCTACTATCCTCAAGCAGACTCTACCACGGTAACTCGCTATTCGAGAAACCAAAAGCGAGAAGATGGACCTGGAAATCAAATAACGGAACGACCAAAAACGAGATCGACCATGTTTTAACGAATCGCAAACGGACTCTCCTCGACGTAGAAGTACTACCAAGTTTCAACGTAGGATCGGACCATCGAATTGTCCGAGCAAAGATTCGTCTAAACCGAAAAGCCATGAAACGGAACCTCCACCAACCGCCACGTCCGAAGAGACCCACCTACGATGCCACCACACTGGAAAGAAATATCCATGACTACCCATGGAGAAGCCACGAAGACCCCACAGAAGACTACAAACTCCTTTGCGAAGGTCTCCTCAAGTGCGCCGAACCTGCGACCAGGCCATCGTCAACACTACCACCTCGACTTGACCAAAGAGCAAAAGACCTGCTGAAAAAACGTGGAGAAATCAAACGCGATCCGTCATCCACACACCTGGACCAGCTGCTTATCGACAAAGCGTGCAGGATGGCGGTGGAAGAATCGCTCCGCAACCGACGCAAACAAGCTCTACTTCAAGCAGCCGAGAAGCGCCAGAGTATCAGGAAGAAGAAGTTCGAACTCACGAACCTACACTCAGTGATGACAGGGCTAAAAGACGCAAACGGTCAATTAAAGACATCGCGCAGAGACATGGAGAGCATAACGGTCGACTTCTACACGGAACTCTTCAAAAGCAACACCACAGTTGCAAGAACACCGTCTCCGACGCCCGAAGACGAACCTGCGATTCTCGCCGAAGAAGTTGGATACGCCATCCGGAAGCTGAAGATTGGTACATCTGCTGGACCCGACAACATCACGACGGAACTGCTGAAGTCAGGAGGAGACGCCCTGAACAACCTTCTCGCCAAGCACTTCTCCACATACTTGAAGGAAGCTTCAATCCCGGTACAATGGAAGGTATCGAAAACCATCCTAATCCCGAAGAAAGGCGACGTCTCCGACCTAAACAATTTCCGACCGATTTCCCTTTTATCTGTCGTATACAAGTTGTTTACGAAGGTCATACTGAACCGACTGGAGAAAAAGCTCGACGACTTCCAACCGGTCTCGCAAGCCGGATTCCGCCGGAACTTCTGTTGCATGGACCACATCCACACCTTGACGCAAGTGGTGGAAAGACACCGGGAATACAAACTCCCCCTTGCAATAGCCTTCGTCGACTACAAGAAGGCGTTCGACAGCGTCGAGGTTAATGCAATCCTCAACTCACTCGTCTCCGCAGGAATCGCCACCAAGTACGTCGACCTCATCTCTGACTGCAACGAGGGCACGACAACAACCATCCAACTATTCGACAAGAAGCTCACAATTCCCATTGGAAAAGGAGTACGGCAAGGAGACACCATCTCTCCGAAACTATTCTCTACAGCCTTGGAAGACGTGATGCGTCAACTCGACTGGGACACCGAACGAGACTGGGAAAGCGACAACGAAGTCAGAGGCATCAACATCGACGGCAAGGTCCTCACCAACCTTCGTTTCGCTGACGACATCGTCATTTTCGCAAACAACACCGCCGACCTGTCGACCATGCTGAACGACCTGAACGACGTTGGCAAAAAGATCGGACTGACGATGAACCAGAAGAAGACGCAATGGATGTGCAACAGCTTCTGCGATGATGGCCCCGTGACACTCGAAGGCGATAACTTACAAAAAGTCGACTCCTACGTCTACCTTGGAAGAGAAGTCAACATGCTTAACGACCTGAAGACGGAAATCGGAAGACGCAGAAGAGCAGGCTGGGCAGCCTTCAACAACATCCGGGAAGTCACTAGCCAAATCAAGGACCCAAAGATACGTGCTCACATCTTCGAGGCATCAGTCATCCCCGCCCTGTCCTACGGATCCGAAGCTTGGCCAGACACCAAGGAGACCTCCTCCGCCCTAAGAACGGCATACCGCGCACTGGAAAGAGCTCTTCTCGGCACCACCCGATACCAACAATGGAACCAAAACCAGAGAAGCACAGACCTTCGGCAGTTATCCCAAATCAAAGACCTCGAAAAGCATATCAGCCGCGGCAAACATCGATGGGCAGGACATGTCATCAGAAGAACAGACGACCGTTGGAGCACAAGAGTAACATCTTGGATTCCCAGAAACACGAGGCGCACCCGCGGACGACCAGCGACCCGATGGGCAGACCACTTCAAGAAGAACATTAGCCGTCAGGGACGCCATTGGATGACCGTCGCCAGAGACCGGGATGCATGGAAGACGTGTGGTTCGCGCTGACTAGGGGAAGACCATTCCCCTAGTGAGAAGGAAGATCATCAGCGAAGACGAACCATCAAAGTAAGTAAAGTAAGTAAGTAACTTGATAGGAAGAAAGTGATTCTTTAAAGAAATATGCTGGAACAGAATGCTGAATCTCTTTTTTCAAGAATAAAAAAAAGTTTTGTAGGTTACTGTAGCTCTTTCGCGCCATCGTGTCAGGATCATATTTTTTTCAAATCAGGAGTCCTTTAAATTATATGATAATTAAACGGGAAGTCGATGTGAAGAAGTAAAAAGTTGAGAAATGAAATAAATAATAAATGAAGAGCCTCGAATTTCACAGGACAAACTAGTCGAAGGTGGAAATTCAGAGAACAAATGGGAATTTTTTGGGCTTTTTATACCCCAACTTTTTCTAGAATCGCGTGGTAGACAGGTGTAACCTTGGAAAGTTTCGAAAAATCAAGAAAATCTTGGATTTTTGAGAATTTTCCGTGATAAACTGCAGTTTGAAATGATTATAATGCAGAAAATTGACCTCCTGGCAATTTTTGAAGCCCGAATTTTTGTAGTTTTCATCACGGCAATCTGTCTTACTCCATTTTGTATCGAAATACGCAAAGAAACAACAAAGAAGGGACATAATTATGACACACTCAATATTTGAAAAATGCGTGGGGCCCATTGTAATTTGAGCCTTTTTTCGTTCATTTCAAAATGACGGCGTGAAATTGGCACCGAAAAAATCACATTCGACACGCAAATGAGCCTTTTTTTGTTTCAAACCTTTGGATTCTTCGCGCGAAAAGTGACATGGCTAATGAAATTTGAGACTTTCACGTCATTTCCTTTTTTTCTTGGAGTTCAGAAATATATATAATCAAAAAGACTTCGGTCTCCTTTATAATAATATATATTACTTATATATAAGTGTAACTGGATTACTGTAGTCTATGATGGTGTAAGACGGTGTGAATGCACCAAAAACTCAGGACTACACTTTTTGCGAAATCTTGAATTTTTTAAAATTTTTTTTCGAGTATATACGCTTCGCAATCTACTTGGAAATCTCTGAAAAATGTTTTTCGAAATTAAAAATGTCAAAATGAGGTCTCAGAAAGGCAACAAAAATCAAAAAAAAAAAATTAGCAATGGAGCGCACATTCGTGTCGCGGCCATTTTTCTCAATTTTTCATAAAAATTTTCTGAAATCTTTGCTGAGACGTTAAAGGCTCATGTAGAAATTCAAAAAAAAAAAAAGCGATTATTTTTTAATTTTAGCGCACATTCGTGTGACGGCTATTTTTTCCCACTTTCTCTGAAATTTTTAAAAGGGGATGGTTTTTTTTGAATTCCTGGCCATTTAAGGCTTTCAAACTCTCTAATAAGAACCTTTTCTCATTCCATAACTAAATTTTAGTTGTGTCGCGAAATTCTCAATGCAAAAATCCAGAAAAAAGACAAAAGAGAACAAATTTCATATACCAGTAACTACAATGGAAAAGGAAACATAATGATATGCAACAACGTTTTTTTCGGAGATATGTTCAAAAAATGAAGGAATGAAGTTTCGATTTGATCTCACGAGAACGGCTTCTTTTCGAACTTTGCGAGTTCCTGGAAACGGAGAAAATAATTTTTATCATTATTTTTTGGAGGTTACCATTAAAGCATGTTGCAGCTGATTATCACGTCGTTCCAAGGATTTTTCCAGCTCGTCAATCTTGAAAAAAATGAGGATTAGTGCTGAAAAATTGTTGGAAATTCTGTACCAAAGATTTTTTGACCGAACAGGTTCGGCAGGAGAAATTGCCGGCGTGGGCCAAATCCATCTCGGCTTCTCTCAGTTTGAAGTTGGTGTCGTCCCATTCCTAGAGCCATTTTTATTCAAATCCTTTATTTTTTTTCGGTTTTTATGATCTCACTTTTTTCACGCGGGCCAGTTCAACGGTCAGGGTGCCGTTTTTTTCTGGTCGAAAAGCTGAAAAAAATTTTTTTTTTCTTTTTTAAAACTTCGACAATGCAAAGGAGACAGTCACAATTGAGTTTAAAAATCGTTTTCAAAAAAATTTTTTTTCGAAAAAAATATCGGTTCTCTGTCAAAAGAATCAGTAAAAAAATCGAAAAAAATCACAACTTTTTTTCTATAAATTTTTTTCTATTTTTCGAATTATTTTGGCTCTTTTTTTGAATAAAAAAACTTTTTTTCTTATGAATAAAAACGGACTTTTTTTCACTGAAAGACTCTAAAAAAACCTCTTTAATCTTATTGGTCTCCTCCAGCTCTGCATTCTTTCTTTTCAAGATCCTAAAAAAACTTTATTTTTTTATCCAAAAAAATGAGTTTTTCAAAACCTTATTGAGTAGGAAAAATCTTGTGATTAGCCATACTCAGGTCCATTTCGGTCCTCTCAATTTTATTATTCTTCTCCTTGAGCTCCTGGAAAAATAGAAAAGTTGCTCCATCGATAAAAGTAAAAAAAAACCTTATAAAGGCTATCGACTTCGGCCATTTTCTGGTGCAGCAGAGCTTCCATGTCGGCGTATCTTTTCTGAATTTTTAAGATTTTTTTCTTTATTTAATAATTTTATACCTCATAACTGTTCTCCGGCGCGTCATCTTCATCCATTTCGGCCTAAATTTTCGAAATTCAAGAGTGGAATAATTTCAATGAAAAACGCGCTCCATGGATAATTTTTTTGATTTTTTTAATTTTGATGAAATTTATCTTTTTGGGCTAAAAATTACAGTGAAAATGAAATTAAAAAAAGATTGAAGGATTTTTTTCAAAAAAATCGTCACTTTTTTTCGCGTCTCAAGATTTTTTTATCCGTAGAGCACAAATTCTACTTGTAGCGCTCCAGTTTTTAACGACTTATTTGGCGAAAATTGCCTCAAGAATCTTAATGAACCTGTAGATGATCATAGTCTTCGACGACGTCGACGAAGACATCCTGTATGAGATGACTGGCTGGACTGTTGACGTGATTGTGGTTGGCCACCGGATATGAAGTCGTGGCCGCTGTGTCTTCAAAGATTTACAATATTAATAATAAGAAGAATCAATCTGAAACGGAAAATGCGCTCCAGCGAAAAATCGTCTTTTTTTTCTTTCTTAGTGTTCCCTTATTGCAGGGGCTCACACTGCCTGAGAAAGAGCTGTGGAAAATTCAAGTGGTCACTCTAGGGATTTAAAGAGAGCGAGTTTAGCAATTATTCAAGCAAGAACTCGCTGATCTCATTCGTCAAAAACTCTAAAGTGACAACTTGAGAGTATTGAAGTAGACCCTTCGAGGTACTTCTACCTTCCTGAGGGATTCTAGAGTGGTCCCTATAGGGGTAGGGAAGAAACCAATCCCTAAATGAGCCGAAAAAGTGGTGCCTCTAGGGGAAAATTAAAGTGGTCCCTATAGGGGTTTTGGGTCTGACCCCGTAGCACCTAAATCTCAAGTGGACCCTAAAGGAGTCTTTTAATTTCATTTAAAAACCGCTTTTTTATTCTGTTTTTCGCATGTAAATGTTTCTTCGCTTAGAGTTCATAACAATTATTGACTAGAATGTCCCCTATAGGGACCACTTTTGCAATATTTAGTGGTCCTTATAGGGGTTGGTAAAGCGCAGTTTCATCTTTTAGGAGAATTTTCGGAATAAAAAAAATGACAAATAAGCTCACCGTCATATTTGTAAGCATATGGCGCCAATGTGGTAGTTCTGGAAAAAAAAGTCGGTTAAAGTTGATTTTTCGACATTTTTCTATAGAAAATTTGTGTTAAAGAAGGAAAAAATCTTCATTTCTTCAAATGAAAAAATTCCTACGTTTTTTCGCTGGCCGCAGGCGGCACATTCTCGTCTCTGTGTGAAACGACAGACGTAAACGAGCTCTCTTCAACCGTTGGGGTCTGAAAATGTGAAATTATTCGACCTTTTCTCGACGAAATAGTAATGGAATCTTCAAAAACTAGAGAGCGTTCAAAAATGAGAGAGCGCTTTCTTGTTTTCCAGTGCTCTCTAGAAGGTTAGACTCTAACAATGATTACAGGTTCTTTCTCGATGACGTCATTCTCCACTTGATTTTCTTCTTCCTCTTGCTCGGGCTCGGGCTCATCCTTGCATGTCCGGATGACGTCATCGATGACTTCTTCAATTTTTCGGCTCCTTTCGTTTTTGGCTTTGTTCAACTGAAATTCCGAGTTTACAAAAAAAAAGTCATGGAAAATTCACTTCAAAGTAAGAAAAATATAAATATTCATGATCTTCATTTTTATGCAAGACCAGTTAAATTTTAAAAAAAAAGCCCAAAAAACGAGATTTTTCTTAAAATACTCGATTTTGTCTGGAAAAACCTCTTCAACTTGCTTGTAAGCCTGAATTTTAAGTCTTCCAAAAAAATCATTTTTAAAGGCGCATAGACAAATTTCGGAGTTTTATCTTGACATACTTCGAGCCACACTAAATTCTGCGCCTCGAAAAACCCCGGCTCAAAATTCTTCCATATATTCTTTGAAAAAATCTTAAAAATTAAAATAAAAAAATCATTTTCGAAAATTCACTTCTCAGTAATATAATTATTTCAGTTCTATATTTTTTTATACAAGACCAGTCGTTAAAAAAATTCAAATTTGTTAAAAAGGCCAAAAAATGGAGATTTAAATCATCAAATTTGTTTGAAAAAGGTTTCAAATTTTTATTAACCTGGATTTCAAGGATTTTAGGGGACTTTCAAGAAACTCGGTTTTTTAAAGGCGCATAGACAAAATTTGGGAAATTTCTCGAACCGATTTTGAATCCCACAAAACTTCTGTGCCTCAAAAACCCCAGCACACAAAATTCTTTCATACACTTTCCGGAAAAGCTTTCAGTTTTTCGACCTCACCTCGCAGGAATCGCAGACGAAGGTTCTGCGGACTCCCCGGAGGTTCAGTTCGGGCCCCGTGCAGGATTTCCTGATGTGCAGCCGACACTTGCATTTCAGGCAAGTCGCGAAATCGCGAATCGCCGGCTCCTTGCAAGAGATGCAGGACTTCGAAGGGTCTTCCAGGGCTTCTTCTATAAAAAAAATTGGGGTTTTTGTGGCTTTCCGTACGGTATCAAAACTGGATACTTTAAAAAATTATACTGAAAAATGCTGTTTGTAACTAGAAATGAAAGTACTGTAGTAGCGATGAACTCGGGCAAAGTCGGAATGGTGGATAATGGCCGCGGAAAGGGAGGGGCTCAAGAAGGCCACAGAAAGGCAGCAAAAAGGCTACAGAAAGGCCACAGAAAGGCAGCAAAAAGGCTGCAAAAAGGCCACAGAAAGGCAGCAAAAAGGCTACAGAAAGGCCACAGAAAGGCAGCAAAAAGGCTGCAAAAAGGCCACAGAAAGGCAGCAAAAAGGCTACAGAAAGGCCACAGAAAGGCAGCAAAAAGGCTGCAAATAGGCCGCAGAAAGGCAGCAAAAAGGCTACAGAAAGGCCACAGAAAGGCAGCAAAAAGGCTGCAAAAAGGCCACAGAAAGGCAGCAAAAAGGCTACAGAAAGGCCACAGAAAGGCAGCAAAAAGGCTGCAAATAGGCCGCAGAAAGGCACCAAATAGGCTACAGAAAGGCACCAAAAAGGCCGCAGAAAGGCAGCAAAAAGGCTACAGAAAGGCACCGAAAAGGCCGCAGAAAGGCACCAAAAAGGCCACAGAAAGGCACCAAAAAGGCCCCAGAAAGGCAGCAAAAAGGTGGGAAAAGGAAGAGGGAGCAAAAAAGGTGCATAAAAGCCGAAGAAATGGCGCAAAAAGGCAGCAAAATGGAAAATTTCTATGGAACCATTTCCACTCTTTCAACTTTACCTATGAAAAAAAAAAATTTTCAATTAATTTTACTGTTTCTTGAAATTCTTTTCTTACGGTATACCATATAATATCAAGTTTCTAATAAGAAAAAAAAGTCTACTTACCATATTTTCTCAAATAATAGTCCTTGTTAGTCAAGTAGCTTTGGTAGTTGTGGCCATTCCTAAAATAGAAACTTAGCTCAAAAAAAAAATAAGATTATATCAAAATAATCTTCTAGAATGTTCAAATTTAACTTTATAGAAAGCTATTTCGAACGAAATTTGAAAAAAAAAAAACGTTTTTTTCTTCGATTTTTTTCCCCCGAAGAGACGCCCAAGTGAGTTTTTCGACGTTGAGTTTTCGGCTCTTCGAAACTCTGGAAAATTATCCTTTTATAGTTTTCATTACAATATAGTAAATTGGTCCATTTTTGGAACTCAAAAATGTCTTGAAACTCTGAAAAATTCTCATTTTTGCTTGAATTTTTTTGATCGTAATATTGTAAATTTATCCAGTTTGATGTTAAAAAAATGGTTCGAAATTCAGAAAAAAAGTTTAATTTTTTTCTTTTTTTGATAGTAACATTTTGTAAATTGATCCGATTTGATGTTAAAAAAATGGTTCGAACCAAAAGAAAAACTCCGCAGATTTTAATTATTTTTTTGAGGTATATTCCATTTTTTTGAAGTTCAAATTAATCATTTTCTCACTTTCAACTCAATTTTTCAAAGTTCTCAGAACAAAAAAACGTTTCAGTGCTATATATTCTGATTTTCGGGAACAAATAATGAAATTATTAACAAATAATGACCACACTCATGAAAAATCTGAAAAAATCTCATCAAAACCAACCTTATCACTCGAATCTTCGCTGGATGTACTTGATTCGTCACTGTCCCTTCCCCTTTTCAGTAACTAATCCAAAAAAATTATTCATTTTTTTAATAATTTCGTTTAAACCTTTCTCCGCCCTTTAACCGAAGGAGTTTTGACGACGCTATTTCGGGAACGGTTCATTTTTTTTGTAAATCTGAAAGTTCTGAAATTAAAATGATGAAATTGAAATGGAAAGAAAATGAAAAATGTTTCGAAACTGACAAATGTGTCGCTGAAAAATGTCCCGTTACAGTACATTTTTTTGTTTATTTTGGAGCACTTTTTGCTTTTATTTTGTAACCCTTTATTTCTTTATAAAAATATGTAATTTTTTTAATTCGAAGCTTTTTTTCGACTTTGAGAATTTTACTTTCGAAAAAGAGCCACGGACTGGAAACAAGACATCAAAAAAATAAAAATATTGAATAAATTTCCAGATGAATGCTAATGAACTACAGTTGATTTTGAGTTATAAAAAAATGTTATTTTTTTCAAATTCGAAAGAAAGTCCATTAATCCGCATTCCTGTATACTCGCCAGCGCTGGCGAAAATTTCGCCAGAACCCGTTTTAATTTGAAATATCGAAATAGACAAATAAATCTACAAAAAAACAAATAATCTCTATAAAAAAATTCAATTTTTATTTGACAGCATCTAAATTGATTCTAGAAATGTACATAACCGGGAGCATAGGAAGGAATGAGGGGTATATAAAAGTGAAATCAAAGGGAATAATATTCGAATCACAACATCACAATGGGAAGCAAACTAATCACAGGGCTATCTGTTCAACTTTTCTTTCTTGATGTTTAAAGGCGCATGAACAAATTGAAGCCGTTTCAAAGGTCATGCGCCTTTAAACACCCTAGGAAAGATTACTGAACACTATAAATTTAACAATAAGTGGAAAGGTAAGTTCTTCAGCTCTCAATTTCGAGCTTCTTTCCAGATTTCAGGATTTCTTTGACGGATCCGTCGTCGTAGGCGAAGAAAACGCTCTCCACGACGTCGATGAACAGTCCTGTCTCGACGATTCCTGGAAATTATTGTTTAGGGATAGTTTGAAATTCCACAAGGTTCAAAAAACCTAAAGCAAAGACTTTTTATCATTTTCAGTTTACTATAATGACTTCAAATCCATGCAGAGAGGATTTTTGGATGAAAAGTTACAGAGCTTTTTTTTTGAAGCTAGTTAGAATCAATTCGTTTCTGAAGTATGTCTGTAGAAAGTTCTCGAGCTTTCTGAAACGAACCAGGGGTATTGGCGAGCCGCTGCTGGACCTCTTTCCAATCTCCGTGGCGGTTCTTGTCGAAAGTCCAGTCAATGATAAAGTTGTTGTTGTCGGTAATGGCCGGACCGCAGACCTGTTTCGACATTCGCAGTTCCGCCGAGCCGCCTTCACTTTGAGGAATGGTTTTTAGCAGGGCTTGGGCCGCAAACGGAAGAACCTGGAAAGATATAATTTTACTGGAAGAAATTTCTTATATTTAATCGAACGCCATCAAATTTAAAAATAAGCGCTCTCCACCAACCCGGCACTATCTCTTTTATTATCGTGTCAGGACCATTTTTCCGATGGCTCAAGCCATCCGTGAATCAGTTTCAATCAAAGTGAAAAAAAAGGGATTCACAACAACTTCCTGAAATTTTTAAAGACGCATGGATTTATGAAAATTAGCTAGGTGCCCTTTAAACTGTTATTTCAGATCGTCCAGACCCCTCCGCTTCAAAATTCTTGACCAAATCAAGAAATCAAAAATTCAAGCACAATAAAAGCAAAAAAAAAGGTTCTTAGTCCGATTTCCTATTAAAGTTTCAATCCACACCTCAATCGGCACGAATTTAAAGTTCTCGCCGAGTTTCTTCACCTCCTTGGAGTGGTCAGCAATCACCTAAAAAATAATACTATTTTCAGTTTTTTCCGCTTTCAAACCTTACATGAAACTTTTTGGCTGCGTTTTGGACGATTTTTTCACGAGCCAAGCAACCGCCGCCGCCTTTGATGCATGTGAAGGATGGGTCAACCTGAAAAAGCAAAAAATTAAATTTTTTGAACTCATATTTCGAGTGACCTCATCGGCGCCATCGATACACACATCAAGTTCTGGAGTTACATCCAAATCCGTGACTGTTAGGCCAGCGTCCAGAAGCCATCTTCTTGTCTGAAAATCGTAAAGATATAACAAAGTTCACCTTTATAAAAAAAAATATGAAAACCTACTAAATAACTGGTCGGAACGCAAACAACGTCTTTTAAAGACCCATCCTTCACGGCATGCTTCAAATACTCGACCAGAAATTTGACGGTACTTCCAGAACCGACGCCTAGCCTACAGCCGTTCTCCACGTACTTTTTACCGCATGCGAACGCTGCCTTCAATTTTCCTTGATTAAATAAAATCAATTATGGAAATCATACCTTTTTCTTGGCCTGATCAATGGGTGACAGCTCATTTGTTGTGGAAACCATCCTTTTGAACAAACGAAAATCGAACCGTCTCAAAATTTTGAAGGGTTGAAGGCGAATGGGACTTCCAGTTGCTGAGAAACCGGTTTTTATTTGAGGTAAGTTGTTTTTCTATGACACGATGGGAAAATTAGGAGCAAATGAAAAACAAACTGCACAAAAAGATTTCGAAAGTACGCTCATACTTTAAAAGTGCATTTAAAGGAAAATGAAGAATCTGGAAAAGTATTTTGAAAGATCGTCATGGCGCTTTACGCCGCGGCCGTTGCAGAAAATTAGTTTGAAAGCGAAATTTTGCTGGATTTAAAACTAGTTTAGAGGCAGTTTAGAGGTAATAGTTAACTATTAACTATTACCTCTATTTAGAATTAGAATTAATAACTCAATTTTATAGAATCAAGGTTTGAGCAAAAGCAAACTGAACAATGATTTTTATAGAGGCAGTTTGAAACATAACTTTTCAAACGGATATGAAAAAGAAACATGCACCTTTTTCTGACTTGAAAACTTCCGCATAATCCTTTTTTTCAATTAAGTAAAAAAATGAGGTATACTTTTACTTAAGTAACAAAAATTCAAACTTGTTTGTACAGTAGAAACCTTTTTATTAACAAAAGAAGAAAGCGAAGAAATTGATGAAAAAACATGATTGAACCTTTATAACTCATTTTCAAGACTGAAAATACAATAAAACTCATTATGATCATAAAAATAGCGAAAAGGCTCACGATTTGAAAATTGAACAAAAACAAAAATAAAAATTTCAAATTGGCGCCGTTTATTAATTCTCGAGGAGTCTACTGTAAGATGAGCTTCAGCTGTGCGCCTCGGGACCCGAATCGTTTTCAGCTGAAACTTTCACTTCAATTTTCAAGTTCTCGTGCACTTTTCTGCAATTTTTCTAAGCACCTGTCATTTTTCAAGCCTCTCACATGATCAGAAAGCTTCTTGGCGCGTATTCAGTGATTGGATTAACAGAATCATGTATTTTTAAAATCTCCAAAGAAGTCAAAAAGAATCTATATAGGTTCTCTTTCTATTTTCTCATGTACTCTTGAGAGTTTTTCGATTTTTTTTCTTCCTTCTCTCCTTCTCTTCTCTAACTGTCCGTGAATCTAATTCTAACCTTCCCGTTTTATTCCAAAACGCTCTGGTGTGTTGGTCATCATTTCGCAATCTTGTGCAACGTTGTTCAAGAATTTTTTTTCTCCTTGTTATATAAATAGAAAAAGTTTGCAGGGCTTGGGTTTGATATGCTGGCCGCATAAGCCCAAAAGATTCTGCGTTCCCAGAGAGGAAACGCTCTCTTCTCTATTTAATATAGAAGCATACTTCATATTTTACTCGCCAAACTCAAGTTATTACTACAAATTTATTGCAATGGCTTCCGAAGAGATTTCAGGTTTGCTAGTTTATTGTGAAAAGGTTAAATGAATATTTTTTGTAGAAACGACAAAAAACACCACAATTGGTAAGGAGAACGGGAGCTCAAATAAAACAATACCGAAAGAAGAAATGAGCGAAAAGCTGGTTTCGGTTAAGAAAGAAGCCGAACCGACGGTTACTGGTCGGGAAATCATCAAAAAGTTCCAAAAGGTAAAAAAAAACAATTAGGGTTTTCGGAATTATTTTAATTTTTCAGGGCGACCTCGTTGCCCATGCGACCTACAGGAAGATCTGTAACGCACTGAGCACCTTGGAATCCTGGCCTAGTGATGCGGCGAAAATCCAGCTTTTGGAGCAGTTCCTAGACCTTGGCGATATCCTGGACAATCATTGTGATTTACTAGTTCAGAATATTTTGGTTTGTGAATTATATTTTTTTGCTAAAGTTAGGAAAATTGTCTAGAACCTTCGCTGGAGCTGCGTTCCAACGTCGGTTCTGCCGGATTTTCGGCGTCTGCTGTGTGAATTGGGCGTCCGACAGCTTTGCTTCACGGAAATCGTCTACCAAAGTGTCGTGAATCGGTTCATACCCGAAATGAATATGGATGGTAGCTATTTAGCTTAGTTTTCAAGTTTCAAAGTAGATTTTTCAGAAGAAACAAAGGTCGAAACTGTTTCGTTGGATGAAGAGAAACAGAAGAGTCTTTATATCATGGCCCATCAGATCTTGGCTCATATTATCAAGTGTTTCCCAATGTGAGCTTTCTCTTCAGAAGGTTTCTTAGAGGTTTTCAAGGGTGCAGAAGTATTGCATGATTAAAAATATAATTTCTTCTCGATATATTCTCAGTAAATATTTGTATGCTCCTTTAAAAACTCTTTTAGTTTTAGAACAATCATACAAATTCATCTCTCGTTTTTAGGTCGGCGAAAACGCTGCTGAAATGCGTACGATCGCAATTTCCGCACTACACCCAGACGCCCAAAAAAGCAGCCGCCTACATGAGGAACTTGATTATTATGCAGCAGTACACGCCGACTATTAGAACCGATGTGTGGGAGGCTATAATTGCCAGATTGATCAGAGATGATGTTCGTATTGAAGTTTTTTGTTGAAAAGTTGTATTTAAGAACAATTGTTAAAACTGAGTATATCGATTGAAAAAAAGTTGAGCAAAAATAACGAAATTTTTTTCGAATTTTTTTGAAAAAAAGTTTTTTTCTTTTTTTTCTTGAATTAACTTTGAACCAATCGCAAAAATATGATATAATCTAAATTTTTTTCGAAACTTTCCAAAGTTTTTCTTTATCAAGTTTCCAACATATAAGTTTTTTTTTTTTGCAGGCTCATGTTTCCAAATCCGAACTTGGAGATGGATCGGGAAGCCCGTCGCTTTTCGCCATGGTTAGTGGAAAAATAAAAAAAAAATATTCCTCAAATTTCACTTTTTAGGATGACGACGTCCTTCTTGACGACGTCGACATGACCCGTCAGAATACGTACGTCGACGAGCGTCTCGAACAACTTGACGTCACGATAACCGATATTATGACGTACATTACGATGGTCCACAATCCAGCTGCTCCAGCTCCTTCTTTCGTTGAAGGTGGCTTTTAAGTTTGAAAATTTCATCCAGTTTAAAGCTTTCTATCATTTCTTGTACGTTTCATGTTAAATAATCAAGTTTTTAAAAATCGTTCTGATAGGTAAATAGGTCGAAAACCTGTTAAAAAATTAATTTTTGGTGTATATTTTATTCAGACTTGACTCGAATCTCTTCTTTCGTGAAAGTTTGTGAAAAATCAACTATTTGGTATGATTTTTTTATAGATTTCAAACGAAAATCATCTATTTGGTATGATTTTTTTATAGATTTCAAACGTAAAAAAACTCCAAAAAAACATACCAACTAATAAAATTGAGAAAAAAATTTAAACTTATAAAGAGAAAAATATGAGAATTTTTTTCCCGACGGTTGAAAGCGTGTTTAGAAACGTATATTTCATGGATTTTTCATTTTGATAACTTGAAAATATTTTTGATTTGTAAACCTGAACTTTAAAAAATATGATAATTACGCTGAGAAGCTTCTAAAAAGGTTGAGAAAATGAAATAATGATCGTTCACAGATTCCAAATGGCTGATGTTGGCCGGTGACGTCACTTCCGATCAACTTTTTTCCACCTTTGTGGGCATTTTGGAGACACAAATGCTGATGGCCAGCCACGTCCGTCACGTCTCCTTCATTTGGCTCTATTTGTGCTCACTGAGAACGGTAAATATGATATCATGTGTATTTTGTTATATTTCAACATTTGTGCCTCTTATTCTGTATTTGTATGGTGTTGTATGTGTTATAAGCTCCATTTTGTATCAATTTCTTACAATTTTGGCTTTTTTTCACTCTGGTTAGGAGTTATGTTTGAAATGTTTGACTTTAGTTTGAATCTTCTAGTACCGATCCTTCTAATTTTTGCAGTTTTGAGAAATTTTACACAATCTCTGGATAGTTTAAAAAAAAAGCATTTTGCTATAGCAATATATAACAAATTGATGAGGTGAAGAGTTTAGGAAGCAAAATTAGGAAGAAAAGTCTGAAACATTCAGATTTTAGCTCAGGAACTGTATGGAAATAGGTGCGACTTCAAGAAAAAAATTTTTTTTTGAGTTAATCAGGAATTACTCTCATGAATTGACTTTCTCAGGAGTACGCGCCGAAGATTCTGGAAGCCTTGTGGTCGATCGTATGCAGATTGCCTAGAGCTCCGGCCGATTCGAAGAAAAGTCAAGGAGCTGCGGCTTACTTTGATGCCTTTTTGGCTCGGGCCAAGTATATTCGCATTGGGTTGGTTTTATTGAGAAATTTCTCAAAAAATAACTTTTTCATCATCATTCTGTATGAAAACATTTCCTAGAAAACGACTGTTCGTAATAAAAACTGTTCTTCTAAGAGCCGTAGATGAATCTCAGTTTTTTTCCGACTTAAGTTATGAAAATAATTGACTTTTCTTGCTCTTTTGAAAAATAGCTTCAAAATTATGATTCTCATGAAATTTTCTGATTTTCAGTGACGGATTCATCTGGCTCGAGGAAATGTTCCAATGGTTGCTTCGCTATGTAGATCAGTGTGCTTCGGGTGGATCTCAGGTAGTTTTTCGAGAACCTTTTTAAGAAGAAAATGTAGTTGATTTGCAGACTTTGCCGGGTTTACAACGTCATGGAACGTTTTACGCTGTTTGCCAAGCATTTTTCCTCGTCTTCTCCTTCAGATATCGCGAATTCGTGAGGAATCGAGGTGATTAGGCGATTTTTCGTGAGAAATATTTAGTTTGAATTGAATGAAATTTGAATTTTCCGTGTGGATCGTAGATGAGTTTGATTGTCTTTTTTCAGCTGTTTTTCGAGTTTTTAGCTCCGATTTCCCTTTACAATTTTTAAAAACGTACCTAACAGGGTACATTATTTTCTCCTTGAAAAAAATATAGGATTAATTCAGAAATTTTCTGTTCCTCCTATGTAAAATTTGCTATTTTTGTAAAATACTCTAAATTTCCCACTAATTTAATTGATAACCTTATAAATTATAGAACAAATGGACGTCATCCGCCATTGGGGCCTCGGAAGAATCGTCCATTCCCCATTGGATCCCCTGAAATTCGTCTCGAGACCTGTCGCCCTTTGCTTTTCTGCCATTACCAGGTCTTTTTTCCGTTAATTGAGGTCAAAATTAATATTTTCGTTACAGATCTCTCCAATTGGTGTACTGCGGCCATTTGATTCCGGTGAATGACGATGTTGACCGGCCTTTTGAAGAAATGTTTCCCTTGGATAGCTATAATCTGAAAGTGTATGTTGATTGGGACATTTGTGCTTGAAAATGGAGAAAAAATACAGCTTGGGAAAATTTGTTTAAGATTTCTTTGAAGATGCGGCATGTCTCTGTGCATGGGCCTTTAATAACACCAGATTTTAAGGCTTAATTAAAGGCGCCGGCAGAGGTGCTGGGAAAATTTTTAGTGGCCTCTATAGGGTTTTGACGTTTTGGTGGCCACTATAGTAATCAAATTAGCGGCCACTCAAAGGGTTAAAAGTTAGTGGCCACTATAGAGGTCTAAGTGCTACTACTAGACCACTAAAAGTTTTAGTGGCCACTTTAGGGGTCAATGGATCAACATAACTGATCCAATATGTTTGTTTCAAAATTATCAGAGTTACTGGAAGGAATACTGGATGAAAAACTACTTAAGTGACCACTAAATAAAGAACCTCTATAGTGGCCCCTAAAACGGAAAATAGTGGCCACTTCAGTGTCCTCTCTAAGTAATCCGTGGCGAGCCTCTATAGTGGCCACTAAAAATTTTCCCAGTACAGGACGCGCGCATTTAAAAATTGGGTTCTGTAGCGTGGAGGAAGAGAAAATTGTGAAAAGCTCACGCGGAATGGTTATATTGCAACACAGCCAATTTCGAGAAAGTTTTTGAATGTGAATTAGTTGCAGAAGCAGCGAGTACGTGACGTCACTGATGAGACGCTTCTCGCCGCTGGCTGAAGACGTGAGCACGGTGTCGGCGGCGTTGAGCTGGAACGCCAAAACCAACGAAAAGCTGACCGACAAGGACGCCAGCAACGGCGGCAACAAGGAAATGGAGCAGTTCGCTGCGGAGATGGCCTTCTTGGATGAAGATGACTTTGCCATTGGTAGGGGTTTCTTTCGTGTTTGTTAAAAATGACAAGGAAAATGGATTGAATCAACATTTAGGGCCAGTTTTTGGTTTCATAGGCAAATTCGGAAAGGGCGGGAATAGGCAAAGGTTCCGTTTTTGCGCCTTTTCTTCCGCTTTTATGCACCATTTTTGCTGCCTCTCCCTTTTTTTCCACCATTTCTTGAGCCTTTAAATTCGTAGAAAAAATGGAAGGCTCGATGACGGGACCCTTTTTGGTGACTTTCTGCGGCTTTTTTTGGGTTTTTCTTTGAATAATAATTTATTGACAGATCAGCGTGAACCCTAACGAGTTCACTTGGATCTAGAATTTGAGAAAATACATTATACAGTTATACATCATTTGAGTCGGGGAGGAATAGACAAGAAGATCTCGTGCAATGGTAGATTGACCAGTAAATTTTTTAAAGACTTGGAGTGGTGGCTGAATTGAAATTTGGAAGTGAGTTTGTTCCAAGTAGGAATTGTTTTAAAGAAAAAAATCATTAGAAAACTGACCTTGAGAACGCAGTCGAAGTGGATTTTGCCTTAAATTGGACCTGAGGGCAAAAAGTTCGAACTGCGGAAAATGATCGATACCGAAGACAAAGTTCGTGAAAAAAATTTTTTTGAAAGTTCGTGAAAAAAACGTTTCATTATTATTTTTCACTTCCTAATGTTTCCATGACCTAAAAACTTGCAATTTCCTATTTCAAAGACGTTTTTCAATTTCCAGGATCGGTCCGAGAACGCTGTGGATCCCAGAGCAACCGTATCACCGTCTACTCTTCAAGTCCCGGCCTGAGAACTTTCGAAACTCCCTAAAAATGTTATATTTCTACGGTTATCATATTTTTGTTCATGTCTTACTTGTACCACCTTTTTAAAATGCTCCGCTTTTAATTCAAAAAAAAAAATCTAGTAAAACCAAAAAAAAAATTGTTAGCACTTCCCTGTTATGTACTCAATTTCATTGTTGATTTGACCATATAATTATAATATTTCGATTCGAGAATTTGTTGATTTTTCTTGGTGTATTCGGTTGGTTTTTTTTTCCTGTTTTGTGCAAATTCTGTACATTTATCTGCCCCTTTTCCTTGGTTAGCCATTTTCTTACTTCCATGAAATTTTTTGTTCAATTTAAGCTCATTTTAGCTTTTTCTTCGCTTTTCGTTCATAATCCTCTCATTCTTAGTTGCTCCCCCTGGTCATTCCTTAAAATAGTCCTTAAATTTGATTCCTTTCTTTTTTTTTGCCGGTCTTCAAGAACAAAAAAGAAATATAGTTTCGTTGTAGAACTTTGTGCTGCTTTCACATTTTTCGTAATTAATGGAGAATAAAAATATTGTTGACGAGTTATCGAATGAAAGATTTGGTTTGGTTTCGAAATTTCCTTGTTACTTTTTCAAAAAATTTGAAATTTTCCTGGTATACTGTAGAATGAAAATGGTTTGATGAACAGTTTCAACTACCGTAACCATTAAATTATGTTTTCCTTCGTTTTTCCTGATTTTGTTTGTTTATTTATTTGTTTTTTAACGTTAATAATAAGGGCAAAAAATGATGACGGTCGAAGTTACAGTTTTAGAATTAAATGAACGGATTTTTATCATTAATTAAATTAATTAGTTCGTTTATTTTCATATAAATGTTCCTGTTTCCGTTTTTTTTTGGTGGTGATTTCAACGTTTTTATACTTATATGGGTCTTAAGAAATGAAATTCAAATGATTTCTAAGCTTTGGATCCTTTTTATATCAACAAAAAAGTAAAATTTGGATAGAGTACGTTTTGATTTCGGGGCGTTTTATGTTTTTCCAAATTGCACTACTTTAAGAATTCAAGGTGGAAAATGGTTCGAACGAGGCAATCGGTGGGCGCCGCTCAGAAACGACGTCATGCGACCGTTAGTTTATTTCCTTTTTTTCTTTCAATCATTTGAAAATGTGTGCCTTTATCATATCTATATATCTTGATATTGTCGTTTGGTTGTAACATAAAGGCCTACTTCATGTACAAAGTCCAAAAGGTCTCAAAAGGGAGATTCCGAGAAACTTTTGGCACCATTTTGGAACTCAAAAAGAAGCTTGTGGCTCTTCTTTCATTTTTGAGGTCATTTGGATTTTTTTTACTGTTGGGACAAAGCTAAAATGAATTTACGGACGATCCTGATTTGATAAAAAAGCCTAACTGCGGACCGTGAATTCGAGGTTTCGAACATATCAGAACGTCTTTTCTACTCAAAAAAACGATTAAAATTTTCTTTAAAACACTTTTTCAAAGTTATAAAGTTTAATCGAGGAGTTCAAAAAAGGTAAGGCTACTTTTAAGAAGTTTTACAGGACCTAAAGTGGAATTTTCACGAAATCAGGGAATTTCGAGTGCTTCTCAGGTAAAAAAAAAACAGCAAATTTTCGGAAAATAGAAGTATTCCAGCTACCGTAGAAAAATCTAGGATTTCATCGATATTTTCCAGAGTTCCAACAGCAAAAAAAGCTAATTTGAAGGCGTAAAAGTATATGACGCCTCGTGTTCTCGAGACCTTTTTTTTTAATTGTTCCGCTGCTCCTTTAAACATCTCATAGCTGTTTTGGATGGTGTGAACAGAATTCATTAAATTTAGAGAGGTGAAAAACAAAGAAACCGATTTTAAAGGCGCAGAGGCTTTGCAGTTTTCAAGATAATACTGAAATAGCTTTCAAGATTTCAAGTACGGAATAAATTTGAAGAGTTCCGAAAGCGAGGAAAGCCAGAGTTGTTCGCGCGAGACGGCATCGCCGGTCGACGAGAAGCCCGATCTTGGCCCGCCGCTCGCCTGCATCAACCAGGATCTCCCGCCGCCTCTCTTCAAGTTCAAACCACTGGAACAAGTATACTGCCCGCTGGGTTATCCACAACAAAAGTTGCGAAAGTTTAAGGACGCCAAAGTCGAGAACATTGCGGCGCCGATGAAGACCTTGGCCGAGATCTTCAACTCGAGGCCGACCCCGGCTTCGAAGGCCAACCCACCACCGCCCAGTCTTCATCCGGAGGCGACTCCCATTTCGAGACGGAGCTTTTTGGGGTGAAAATGCTGGGAAAGATACCAAAAATGGGCGTTTATTCGTTGTAACTATATTAGGATTTTCACAAGTTTTGATTTTTTTTTTCACTCGAGTGGAGGCTTTAAAGCAACATTCAGAGATCCTACAGTAGTTTTTTTTTATCTAGTATTTCAAGGGACAGGGATTACCACTTTACATTGCAAAATTTCTCTGAGAATCGGCTAGAACACTCCTTGATGTACCAGAAGAAGATTCTGAAGGTCTCGATCTCCAAAAAGTCCAGAACACTGGGAAAATGTTTAGTGGCCACTATAGTAGTCAAACTAGTGGTCACTTAAGGGGTTAAAAGTTAGTGACCACTATAGAGGTCAAAGAGCTACAACTAGACCACTAAAAAATTTACTGGCCACTTTAGGGGTCAATGGATCGACATAACTGGTCCAATATGTTTGTTTTAAAATTAGAGTTACTGGAACTGGATGAAAAACTACTAAAGTGGCCACTAAATAGAGAACCTCTCTAACGGAAAAAAGTGGCCACTATAGAGGTGGGTTTAGTGGCCACTTTAGTGTCCGCTCCAAGTAGTCCTTGGCGAGCCTCTATAGTGGCCACTAAAAATTTTCCCAGTAACTCAGTTTAACGGATTTTAAGTGTTTTTTTCTGAAGTTTCACGTTTTTTTCAGATTTTGAGCGTTTTTTTCTGAACTTTCTCGAAAAGTAGAAAGTTGGGCAGGTGGAACTTTTCAGAATCTTCTTCTGGTACATCAAGGAGTGCTCTAGCCAATTTTCAGGAAAATCCCAGAGTAAAATGACCTCCCTAGTAAGGAACTTTATTTTGCCAACGAGAGGTTAAAACTCTAGGAAAAAATTTGCGAGTTTACTGATTTTTCAATTCGGTAGGGAGTACTTCAACGACTTTTTTTTCTATTTGACACAATTTTTTTGTTTCTTAAGTTTTCCTTTAAACTGTGTGTTCTTGTTATGATCATACTGTAATTAGTGTAAATAAGAATGTCTTTATAATTATTAAAATTCGTATAATTTTTCATACAATCCTTCTTTTTTCGAAGACAAAATGAACTTTTAAAAGCATAAGAAAAGTAGAAGCATTATTCATAATTTATAAGAACCTGTAGAATTTCGCTTTTCCAGAAACCTTGTGGACCATGAGCGAAGTCCGCCTCCGCAACTGGAGAAATGCGAGAAATTTTCCACCCGCTATGTTCCTCCCAGTGATGGTAAAAAGGCATTTTTCACGAAGTTCTATGTCCGAATCCATTATAGATCTTCTGAGAAAGCGACAAATCAAAGCGGATCTGGCCCAAAACTCGCTTTCCAGATTGGTCAACCAGAAGCCCGTCCTCGTTCCCGTCGTCTTTGGGAATGGTGATTTTTCTTGAGATTTTTTTTTAGAAGGGACCGGTTTAGGGGGAAAAAAGAGGTTTAGAGAAACTTTCGGCACCTTTTTAGTACCTCAAAAAGAAGCTGTAAACTCTCATTTTTAAGGCCGTTTGGACTGTGCCCGAGGTAATATTTCAGGGCAATGAATTTTGTTTTCCCGGAATTTTCGGTTCCAAAAATAGAGGGGGTATTCAAAAATGTGAAAAATAATTTTTCGCCTTTTTTCTCCTGAACCTCGCTATGAAACACATCATCCGACTTTTTCTGTTTCATAATTACGAGGGCCAGATACGGAAAACCAAATTTCAATCTGGAAATGGCGAACTTACGAAATAATTTCCGACTTTATGAACTGGTTAAGGAAAAGAATTTTTTTTCGCTCACCAGGGAACGTTTTTTAGATCTTGTTTCCGAGTTATAGAACTTCAAAGTGTGCAAAATAGGCAAATTGGGCCAAAAAAGCGCTATTTCGGGCTTTTGAAGTGTCCTAACTCGAAAACGAGATCTATTGCGAGACATTTTCTGCCTGTTCTGAATCAGGGGGTACACTCCAGCAAAGTTTCAGCAAAAGTTCAACAGGTTCAGGGGGTAAAAAAGCGTTCCCTAGTCATTTTTTCCTATACCTGAACGGTTTTATTCATTTTTGTTACACTGAGGTATGTTTTTATATAGAGGACCTTGCTTCTTTTTTAACAATTTCGTTCAACAAGATTTCCATCTAAAAATGATTTATAGCAAGGTAATTGATTTATCAATATCAAATAAAAGATATTTTCAGAGTTTCCACAAAAAGATCCTTTTTTTTTACTTCAAAGCTCATTTTTAGGAGAATCATCGGGCGCCTGTTCGAGTGTTGGCGAGACGGCGGCCGATGAGATCTCGGCTTCTTTGAAAGAACGACATTTTGCGGGCTCAATCGTCCAGTCGGCGTCCGAACATCACTTGGCCCTGGGTAAGAATTGGAAAAAAACGCCGAAAAAAATCTATGTAAATATTGTTTTTTTGGCTATTTTTTTCGGAGTTTTTTTATTGAAACTAGGCCAAGATGAAGCTTTTGGGGGCTAAAAAAATGTGCTTCTTGAACGACATTCTATTAAAAAAATTGACAAAAAAATGGTTTTCCAAAAAAAGGTGTGTAGTTTTGAACTACACGAAAGGCGATTTTTTTCTTGATACCTTAATTATATAGTCGATTTATGATTAGCTTGGTACAAAAAGGGGCGTGGCTTGTATGCACTCTCTACCAACCAGGCACTTTTTTTTTATCGTGCCAGGACCCTTTTTTTTTCTCAAGGGCTCAAGCCAGCCTTGAATCACCTTTTTTCAGAAACTATGCACTTTGTGAAAAGTCGAAATCAGTGAATTCCTTCACGAATAGAAGTTTTGGAAAGAAATATAACAAAAGAAAAATGGAACAACAAGAAAAATCCTAGGCTTGATGGTGGTGAACGGCCTGACGAAGTTGGCGGCACGTGGCGACGATTCCCAGGTCCAAATGTCCCACGATATTTATGCCATTTTCGACAAGTATCGTCTTTCTTAAAGGAGATTCTCTGCCATTTATTCATATTTTCCCATAACCCCCTTCCGCCATCTCCATTCCAACTTTTTTTTTATTTTTTAAAGATTTTCCGGGTTGAAAGCCCTTTCAAATCGAGCAATTCACGGTGATTTTTTATATTTTGCACTTTCTACACTTAAGCGGCCCCTTGTTCATTTCACGTCACAACGCTGCAGTTCGAAAAGTTCTAGTGGTCCCTATAGTGGCAGACAGAGTGGCCACTTTGACTCTATCAAGAACTCTTAAGCAGTCCCTCTCGTTCTCACAATTTTGTTGCAATCCCATAGTGCAATCCCATAGTGAATTCCCGATTCGAGTTTTAGCACTTAACCGGTTTCTTTCAGTTAATTCTGACGTCGTTTCGTAGCCTTATAAGACCTCTCAAGTAGCCACTTGAATTTACATGTCTCTGATCGCACGGGGAAAATCTTTCACGCAAAAGTCGTTTCAAGTCCGGTGACTCGAGCCATTCCAAGTGCGACCGTCGGTTTTTCTCTTCACCCTTTTTCATGATGCTTTTTTCCCAAACTTTTGAAATTTTATTGATTTTTAAGATATTTAAATATAGTTTGCTTATTTTTGTTTTGTTTTACTTTGTTAGTTTTTTCATCTCCTATCATACGAAGCGGTTCTCCAATGCGATCTGATCTGGATGATTTTTTTCTACAGTTATTTTCCCCCAATCATCTGAAAAATCGGTTGCGAAACATTTTTTTCACGGTTTCTTTTTTTCCTATGAAATTTTTTTGTATATGTTGCGTATTGTCTTCCTTTTTTTCACTTGACACTTTTTCTTATTGAAAAAAATAAAGGACATTTTTTTATAATATTTAAAAAAAGAAATGAAAGTTTTTTTGCGAACCCTCAGGGGACTACTTGAAGCCAGAAAAAGTTTCCGAATTCGCTAAATTTCAGGTTTGCTACGGTGGAAAGAAATCAGCAAAAAAATCAGATGACGCTTTTTGAATTTTTTTAAAAAAATAATGAATATTAAAAAAATTATAAAACATAAGTTTTTAACTTTTTTTCTGTAATTTCTAACTAAAAAAATAATTTTAACGAGAAAAAAATAAAAGAAAATACTGCAAGAAACGGAAAAAAATTCCGAAAGTAGCTTCGTAATTCTAGCGACGCAAAATTGCACAACCGGCTCCTAGGGCCGTGTATGAAGAAAAAAATGAGCTACAGTATCCCTTCTTTTTGTGAAATTCTTTTTTTTCGAGAAGTAGATTTTAAAAGTAAATTATCAAAGTTATGATCGCATTGGGAAGACTCAGATTGTAGGACCTGCGATGGCGTTACTTTTGGAACTGCTCCCGACTTTTAAACGGCTTGCGCCTAACGAAATTGAAAGTTTTTGGGCAAAACTAAGGGCAGAGCAACGCATTGAGCCATTCTACGTGCGAGCATAACTTTGAACTTTGGATTATTATTTACAACTATTTTGAAGTTTATTTTTATTGATTGTCCAAATTTTCGTCCAAAGAAGCTTTCTGATCTGTACTCCGGGTTCAAATTAATTTCCGCGAAATGCAAAATGTCTCCGAATCTCCAAAAATTAGTTATATTTTCCTTTCTCTAACGGGTATTTTGCATTTCGCGGAATCGCTTTGAACACGGCAATAAAATCGAAAACTTTCTGATTTCGCCAAAATACTGAGGAAGGTCCCCAGAAAAGAAAGCTCAACCTACAAACTTTTTTCTTCCAGTTCCTTCTCCTAATGCTCAAATTGTGATTCGGCTGAGCCCTCGCCGTCGAATACTCGAGAAAATGTGAAGAAGAGCAACCGACGGGCTCGCCGAGCATGCATTTTTGAGCAGCAGACCTTCGGACCATACATGGGCCACCGCCCTCACTTTCAATGCAATGACGATGCCAACTGTGAATCGATTTTCTTTCTTTTTTTTCTTTGCTTTTGTTTTTTTTTCGCTATTTTGGTGGCTGGTGTAATTTCTAGTAAAAGTGCTTTTGTTATTTTTTCTATAGAGCTTCGGACTCAAAATGTGATTTTATCGAAAAAAATTATATTAAATATTTTTTTTCTCACATTTAGTCTTCTGATATTTTTTAAACATAATTATCATGTCTTTTTGAATTATAATTGTTTAAAAATCTGTTTGAAAAATTCATTCGGAGGTGTTTTGAAAGAGCATAGTCAAATTTTCTAAACTTCTCGAAGCAGAGAGCCATTTCAAGGGTTATTTTGAGTAATTCAACTTTTCTGCACCTTTGACCATCCTGAATAGACTATATATAAGTTCATAAAACAAAAAAACTTGAAAATTTAAATCGAATTCGAAGACTTTTCGCGTCTTGGTCGTCTTTTAAAATGCACTGTCCGCAATGACTGCTGTTTGCAGATTTTCTGAGTACCGTAAACACCAAAATATTTTGAAGCAAAATTTTCAAATTTTACACTTTTCCTTTGATTTTTAATTGAAACTTGAAAAAATTTCAGAACGTTTACGATGAAAAAAACGTGACAAATCGGCTGAAAAAGATGCAGTCGCACACGTTCACGCGTGCGCGCGGCGTACCGGTGTACATGAACGGCAGCGTTTCCCAACAAAGGCTCTACGATCGTCTCAGCGAGGTTCCTGATTTTATATTCGTTTTGAAACCGGGAAAAAAGTAATTTTCAGCCATCGACCTCGAGAGGAGTGCCACGATCTGCCTCCCTAGCACCACCGGGCCTTCGGAATGGTTCAGCTCCTGATGTTGGTTTTTTTAAAATCTTTTCGTTGTGTGTTTGAAAATTTTTTGCTGTAATCTTTAAAACGTCTCTATCGTCTTAGAATCTGTGAAAGTCTAAGAAAAAATTAAGAGTCTGAAAATGGCTCCTGAGTTTTAGATTTTCCGATGCGCCTTGTAACATCACATTTGGATGATTTTAAAGCTTGTTGTTCAGCTTTTTATCTCTAGAATCGTTAATTGTTATTTGTTTTGAAGTCCCAATCAAATAGTAGTTTTTATTTCAAGCTTTAATCCACGCAAAAGCGAAAAATGTTGGTCAAGAGATTTTGGAAAATCAAAGGTCAAGAAAACAAATGATTTTTGAGACTTAATTTTTATTTTTCGATTTACAGGTTTCATAAACTTGTCCCTTTTGGAAGGGCATGAGAGAGATTTTATTTCAATTTTTTTAAGATAACGAGTTTTAATGAAATTTTCATATTCACGGATCACTTTTATAACTTTTTTCCTCGCGAAAATTGGAAGATTTTTCGAAGATTTAGAGCTCGATTTTTGTAAATTTATGATTTTTTTTTCAGCCAACGTTGCCACCAACATATGTCCCAAAATTTCACGATGAAGCGGCTGTACGAAGAATGACTTATCGACGAGTCCCCGGCACGGATATGTACTTATCCAAGATTTCTTTCGGTTGACAATATTTTTTCCATTTTTCTCCTTAAAAATTCAAACTTTGTCCTTCTGCTTCTTTTTTTGAAGATTTTCATTTGTCCTTTGTCCTTTCTTCTAATTTCAACTTTTCAAGGAGCCGCTCCAATCGGTGGAATGTTCGGGAACGTGGAAGATTCGATAACCCAAATCGTCGAAACGGCGATAAGACAGGGTAACTTTCAACCAGAATTTTCACTCATCAAAATACAATTTTTAGGCATAAACTACATTGACACGGGTTATTGGTACAGTCAGAGCAGGAGCGAGTCGATTTTGGGAAAGGTTTTTTTTTGTTTTCACCTAACTTCCTTTTAATATCGACAATTTTTAGGCTCTATCGAAAATCCCGCGACGTTCCTACTATATTAGCACGAAGGTAGTTTTTCCAAAGTCAAAATTTTATTTTGAAAGAAAAGAAATGTTTCAGGTCGGTCGATTTGAGCTCGACTACGCGAGGACTTTTGATTTTCGCGCCGACCGCATCCTTCAGTCGTTGACGAGCAGTTTGAAACGATTACAGCTCACCTATGTTGATATTTGTTATGTTCAGGTTGGTTTTGAAAAAAAAAAATGAGAAAAATGCTTGAAAAACGTTCGAAAAGATGAGGAATTTGGAAACTGTCGTAAAAACAACCGTATTGTCCGTAGACTGTCGGTGTATACAGACATCTTGACTACAGTAAACTGAATAATGAAAAATTTTATTTTTCACTCTTTTTTTTTCTCTCCGATTTCTTTCCTTTTTTTTTGTCAAAAATCCGATTTTTTGAAGATCCACGATGCTGATTTTCAACCGAATGAAAGTATCGTTCTGTATGAGACGCTCCAAGCGTTGCAAATGGCCAAATGTTCGGGTAAAATTCGACACATTGGCATCACCGGGTATCCTCTTAATAAATTGGCGTATGTTTTGTCTTTTTTTTTTGTGGAAATAATTGATTTTTACAGCTCAATTATTGCTTGCTCAACCGTTAAAATTGATATTGTGATGACGTATTGCCATGGGACGCTCAATAATAATTCACTTGGACAGTTCACTTCTTGGTTTCAGGTTCATTTTATTTTTCGCTATTATATTTGATTTATTGGGGGAAAAACTGTAAAGTTCACACTTTTTAGGATTTTGAGAAGATTTTCCGAATTTCTCGTGATCCCTCGATTTTTTTTTTTGAAGTTTCTAGGTCGATTGTTGAGCCCATCGGTATGATTTTCACGATTTTTGCACCTGACCATAAAACGGTTTACGCCTGTCAGATATTTTTTTCGTTCGAAACCCGTCCCCTTGTTGAAAAATTTTCGATATACCGCCATGGCGGATTTTTCATTTATTTTTTTAATTTAAAAATCAAAAAAATATGATATTAAGAAATATTTTTTTGCTTATTTTTTTGTCAAAAAAATCATAATTTCAGGCTAGAAACGTGGCAGTTGTTAATTCCGGCGCCCTTTGTTGGGGTCTTTTGACTGAAAAAGGACCGCCCCCTTGGCATCCGGCCAACGATTTGATCAGAGAAGCTTGTTTGGCTGCGACTACTTATTGCTCAGTTGGTTATTTTTCTCTTTTTTTGTTTTTTTGATGGAATTTTGAACTGCATATCGGAAATGTATCTTTTTTTATATGAGAAAAATTTAAACTTTTTGTTGGAATTTTTAGGTGTTCTTTTTCTAGATATTCTTCAAAAAAACTTCGCAAAAAAATTTTTCTGATTTTTTTCAGCTTCATTTTGTGAATTCTGTTACCTTTAGAATTGATATAGAAAAAAATTGCTGAACATCGAATACGGAATAAAAACTTGAACTCATGAAATAAAAATCGTATTTCTTCGAAATTTTCAATCTGCATGACGTTTTTATAGGATTATTTATTAGTTTGTATCACGCATTTTTAATATTTTTGAAAACCTTTTAATAATTTTTTTTTTTTTTTTTTTCAGTCCAAAAACATCAGCATAGCAAAGTTGGCCCTCGAAAATGCGATCAACTTTCCCGGCTGCATAAGTTGTCTTGTTGGAATGGATGCTGTTCAGCAGGTACTCCCGGCATTTCTCAATTTTTCTTCAACAAGTGATATTTAATTAAAGTTAAGGTCAAAGATAACATTGAACTCTGCACGAACGGACAGCTGACCTCAGTTGAGCAACGAGTTAGAGATCGAATCATGCGAAGGTATTTTTCTGTGATTTTTCAAATTTACTCACAAGTTTTGAAAATTTGTAATTGAGTAGCGGAAAGACAGAAGAAACGAAAGACGTTGAATGAAAGAAAGCACGAAGCGTAAAATATCAGACAATTAAAATGATTATTATTTGAGGTATCTTGACCGACTGGAAAACGCGGGTTGGGAAGGCGTCGACGTGGCGCAGTACTGGAAGAAGCTCAAGAAGTTGGGACTGACGGCATTGGCGACTCACCGTCATTCCTCGGTCGAGAGCCTTGCGAGCACCCTCAACGGCTTCTCTTTACACTCATCGCCGTCAAGCTCAGAACTCAGGACACCACGACGTCGACAGCCATTCTGATGGTGTTCGCCGCAACCGACAGTAAACTCAGGGATAAATAAAAAAGTTGAAAATTATGTACACATGAGGTAGGTGATGTCGTCGAGGCGATAAAAGGAGAGCGAATAAAGCTAACTAGTTCCATGAGGACCGCGAAGAAGACGGTGCTCTACATGGCCGAATGCGGATAGAATGCGGCTTGACTTGTTTTCCACTGCCGGTTTCCCCACGACGTGCTAGTCCGTGCTTGCGCAGCAGTAAACAACAACTAACGTCGTTCAAATTTGTTTTCGTATCCGGCTTTTCCACTTCTTACGTTTGCTAGTATCAATTAGAATACTACGACAGTCAGTTAAACAATCTCAGTGGTATTCTACGACAACTATCCAGATGAATGCAATTTTTCATGATGCGTTAACTAGTTTTTGAACAAACAATGTATTCTCGCGAATAACAAAAATAAAAATAACAAATTTAAAGACGACGACCACGGCGACCTCCCTTCCTTCTGGTGCAATCGGATGGAATTGGCGTGACATCTTCGATACGGCCGATTTTCATTCCAGCTCGAGCAAGAGCGCGAAGAGCAGCCTGAGCACCGGGTCCTGGGGTCTTGGTCTTGGTACCTCCGGTGGCACGGAGCTTGATGTGGAGAGCGTTGATTCCAAGCTGGAAAACAATAATGAAAACGTGAAAAGAAAGAGCTATGTTTAATAAGTAAAATGACTCCCGTACAAAAAATGATAGGAAACTACGAATTTATGGTGTTTTCATCAGAATATTTCTTTGAAAAAAAAAATTGCTCCAAAACAAAAATTAGTACTGTTTTGGGGCGACTTTGGCGCACCGGCGTACACGGTTTTTTTTTTGAAGCATCTCGGACATTGGTAACGCGAAACGGACGTGCTCCGGACGTTTCTGGGCGATTCAAGAGATCACTTAAGAGCGTTAAGGCTGCTAAAGTGGTCACTAGAAATGCCCCGACACGTCCGATTCGCGTTACCAAGGTCCGAGATGTTTCCTTCCGCCGATGAAAACGCCATCAAAAAACCTAGAAAAACACTTTCCACGAATCAAATATTATTTCGAACTTTTTCTTAAGAAAATATTTACAAGATCAAAGGAAAAACAATTGAATTGATGTTTTGTGAAAAGCGTTCAAAAAACAGGATTTTATGGCGTGTTATTCGGAGAAACGGATCATTTTTCAGAATGCTAAAGCGTGCACACCAAAATTATTACAAAAAAACACTAATTTTTTTGTTTCGAAACAATTTTCGTATTGTCCAACCAACACGCCATTAGCCAAAAATTTTTTGCTGTACTTTCACTGTCTCCAGTAATAAAGTTGGTACCGTGTTTAAAGTGATAGTCGCAAAAAAATCGAGTTAACTTTCAAAAAAATTTAGTTATCTTTTTTTCACTTTCCCACAATTAATTTCAATTTCGCAAGATAAATTAGAAAAACGACATTTATAGAAATTACACACACTTTTTTTCAGAAAATGAAGAGAAAAATTAGATTTTTTTAATTTTAAAAAGTAAAAAAATGTATTTTTTTTAAACATCATTCAAACTATTCGACTATAAAATAAATTTTGAAATTATATTATAACGTGTTCATCGAAAAAAACGAATGTAGTTCTGAAACGCAACAAAGCTTCTCCGAAACTAAAATAGGTGTTGTTTCAAAGCAACTTTAAGGCACCGCTGAGCTTTTTCTTGCGTTTTCCGTTTCATCGATAATCATGGAAGTTCGAATGCCGTGTTCAAACTACTTTCCGCGAAATGAAAAATGGTCTGTCTTTCCAAAATTAGGTTGTCTTTTTTTTTTCTGAGGACCATTTTGCATCTTGCAGAAACAGTTTGAACACTGAATTGACTTTGAAGCTGATTCTATTAATGCCGTGTTCAAAGTGATTCCGCGATATTCAAAATAGCCTTCAGAGAAAGAAAAAAAAAACTAAACTCGAATTGATTTTGCATTTAACCAAAACTACTTTTAACACGGCATACGTTTCCAGTACAAGCGGCGATTAAAAAAAAATACGGAAACGGCAATAAGCACAAATAAAAAGATGTTTAAAAAAGTTACCTGCTTGCATCGTTCAGCGACGTCCTGAGCAGCGAGCATAGCGGCGTAAGGAGAAGACTCATCGCGATCAGCCTTAACCTTCATACCACCAGTCACGCGAACAATCGTTTCACGACCTGTGAAAAAAATTTTTATTGAAAATTCAACCAAAGAAAAATACCGGAAATATCGGTAACATGGACGAACGTGTCGTTGAACGAGGCGAAGATGTGGGCGACAGCGAAAATAAGCTCGCCTTCTTTGGCCTGTGGTCCGAGGGACACGACGGCCTGTTCCTCCTTAGCCTTTCCCTTACGTGCGGGAGCCATTATCCAAGACTGAAAAAATTCATGAGAAATAAAATTTATAAAACATCGATCCAACATAAAAAAGGTGCATATTTTCAAAGTTTTATTTTCGAAGCGAAAAAAATTACGATACGAGGAAATTTTGTGATAAAGAAATAGGAGCTTCTTCCTGGTGATATAACTGCTTCTATTCGAATTTTTTTTGTAAATAAAAACAAAAGTTTTATTAAAAAAATACGTGAACGACTGAAGAAACCTCCAAACTCCGTATCTCATGTGGTTAAGAGTCGACGCGCAGCGTGGGTCTCGTACGGAATACGCTGTTTGCAGTGAAAAATCAGTCTTGTGCTTTTGGGAAATTAATATATTTTTTTACTTTACATTTTTAAATTTTCAATCAGGTTTTCACTCTAATTGTAACATAATAAACAAGATTTTTCAAAAATCGAAATTCATTTTCTTATTAATCCTGCTCATTTAGTTTGTTAAGGCATTTTTATATTTAGTTCGGTTTACCGTTCTGAAAATCCTGAACGTTTTTTTTTTCTAATTATCAGGTTGGAGAAGATGTTTTTTGTCATCCGTAACCTTTTTGATTCTTTTTTTAACCGACTTTACGCGATTAAATCGTATTTTTGAAACATTTTACAGTATGTTGCGATAATCATGGCGAAAATAGTATGGACATTCATAACTGATTTTGCTCATGGCGTCATTGATGCTATCCATGGTTTGACGGTTTGTCTTTATTATTATTTTTTTAGAGTTTCAAATCTTTTTTCAGTTTTTACTCGATCTCGACCACGATGAAGAATACGTTCCAATTAATGATGTTCCTCTTAAATCTCCAGTAACAGTTCTACTTCACCGTCGAGCGGTTGGAAAACTGTTGAAGAAAGCGGAACAAGAAGGCATAGAGTCCTTGAAAAATGTCGAAAAGAAACCAGAAGGACAAATTATGCGACACAGGGAACGAGCATGGAAAAGGTTCTTAATTTTTTGTTTTTTTTTGTTTTTAATGAACGTTTTGCAGGGTTCTACAGTGTGCCGCGTTTAATTTACTCTTCGTACTAATTTTAAAGTTGCTATCACTTATTCTGGCGCTTTTTATCGGCTTCTTCTGGGATGTCTCTTACGCAGACTTTTTGTCTCATTTCTTCTGCCTTCCTATATTTTTGGTATCACGCATCCTATTGGCACTGTGGTTTTCGGATATCTCTGGCGCATGCCTGAGAAGGATGAATGCTCCTGATCCGAAACCTGTATGCTGGAAGTGAGTTTTCTTTTATACTTTTCAATTTCATGGTTAGTTAAAAAAAATTCTTTTGGAACTACTAAACTGAAGAAGAAGGTGAGTTGATTAAGATAAATAAGATTTTATTTTACTACAAGGACTAGAAAAAGGTAGTTGCTACTTTTTTTCTGGAGAGTTTTTAAAGTTCTTTGGGAAGAGCAGCAGAATTTTTTCAGAGATGCTTCAGCTCTCGTTTTATGAAAAAAAGAGTGAAAAAAAATCATCGCAAAATTATATATAAAAGTAGCCAATAACGTTTATGATTTTATTGGCTCATCCCGAAAAAAATTTTCTCAATTTTTTCATTTTTTTTTTTCGCTCAATTTTCCGTGTTCAAGTGCTTCAAATATTACTGTGTTCAAAGTTATCTCGAAATGCAACTTTCCAACTTAAGTTCTTATTTTTTCTCTAACGGCTATTTCGGATTTCGTGTAATCACTTCAAACACGGCACAACGAAAGAAAAATTTGACGCGCGCAGCGAAAAAGTTTTTGTGGTTCAAAAGCACGAGCCGAAAAGCAGCATGTTCCCACGACATGATTGGTTAACCCCGCCCAGCTGGCAAGAAAAACATTTTGAAAATAAATTTAATTGGACATTTGCCAAAAGGCGGAGCCAACCAATCACGTCGTGACAACCTGCTGCTTTTCGCCGCGTTTTTGAACCAGAAAAAGCTTCTTCGCTGCGCGTGTCAAATTAGCTTTGAACGCGGCATTAATTCATTTTATACCGTCTTCAAAGTGATTTCCGTGCAAAATTATCTCTGACTTTTCGAAATTTTGTTTTCTTTTTCCTGACGGCTATTTTGCATTCCGCGGAATCACTTTGAAACAAGCATTAAACACGCCAACTGTTCTGAAAAGTGATATTTTTTAGTTTTTCTATGTCCTTTCGATTATAGGCAAGTGGTAGCCGATATGATGTCTTCGATCTTGCTCGGCGTACTTTTTCTGCTTCAGTCACTGGGAGCCGAATATCTTCCTCTCCCAATAATAACCCCCATCATTTCCTTTGTACATATGTCCCTTCTGAATTCTATGTACAGGTATTTTCTTTCGTTATTGAAAGACTGATGATTTATTTTCAGTTTCGAATATCTTTGGTCGTCAAGAAACGTTACTAGACCGGAGCGAGTCATGCGAATCGAAAGCAAATGGCCGTACTTTGTTGGATTTGGAGCGCCTCTGACTCTCGCTTCGTCACTGACGTCGAGTTTTCTCGTCAACGGGTGTATTTTTGCTTCTGTGTTCCCGTTCTTCATAATAAGTACTTACATGGTACGTTCTTTGATAAAAAAAAAAACATTTTTATTTGTTTTTTGTTCTTCAGGCTCATTGGGATAGGAAGTATCCTGGTGCAGAAGTACCTGTTGTTCGCATTTTCACGCCTTCCGAATTAATAACGAGAAAAATCACATTACTGATCACTTCTTATGTAATTCCTGGTTTTGTGTTATAGGATGTAAAAAGTTTTGATATATTGTACATTTTTCTTGTATATTTTGTACACTTATGCATGTTGCTCAAAGTTTACGCAGTTTACCATAAACTATGGGTTTTTACTCGATATGATTTTTTTTTTGTGTTTTTAATTGGTTTTTCAACCATGCTTATTTTGATTTAATTTTACAAATTCGTTTTTTTTCAATTCAATTCTGCGTTTAGGATGAGTCAACCTGGTGTAGAAGGCTTGACCGTGGGTCTCCACAAGGGCTTCCATGCCACTCAGATTGAGAGAAAACCTCGTCAGAACAGACGCAAGGGAGTCGCCTCCAAGAAGACCAAGGTTATATTTGTTCGTTCGACAATCATTCATCGTTTTATTCAGGTCGTTCGCGAGTTGGTCCGAGAAATCGCCGGCTTTGCTCCTTATGAGCGCCGCGTTCTGGAAATGCTTCGTATCTCCAAGGATAAGCGTGCTCTGAAGTTCTTGAAGAAGCGCATCGGAACCCACCTCCGTGCCAAGAAGAAGCGTGAGGAGCTCCAGAACGTCATTGTTGCTCAACGCAAGCACCACAAATAATTTTTTTTGTTGATAAATTGTTATTGCTTTTTACTTTGTTCGTAGATAGCAAAGCGTTTCTTAACGCCTCGAATACTTGAGGCTGAAAGTATGGTCAGTAATCACATGAAAGAAAGAAGACGGGCGGTTTTTTTGAGAATGTTTGTGAGGAGGTTTGTGGCTTTAACCTCGAGGGCAGCCAGTGTAGCTGCTGTCTCTCAGAGGATGGCTTCTTCGAGCGCCTCTCCCATGAAGCTTGCCAGATTATCAGTCGTTCCTAACACGATTGTTCAGAAAAGGTAGCGAAATTGGAATTTTTGGTTTTCCTTTGTAAGTGAGATTTATCAACTTCACATGAAACAAGCAGGAGTGGTTGCGCTTTTCAGAGGAAGCAAGGTCTCCGAATTCGGCCCTTTCGATCCACCGAAGAAGCTTACATTCAAAGAAGTTAGTTTTTTCATTGGTGTTTCGAAATTCCCAAGAACCATCAAATTAAAAAAAAACATGATCTTCCTGTAGAAAATTTTTTTCCAAAAAAGAGTATGGGATTTATTTTTGGAAAGTTTTTCCGTTTTAAACAGCGCCTTGAAAATTTTTTTCGAACTTCACGTATCAAAAAGTCTTGTTAAGCTTGTATAACTACCAGTTTGAAGGTTTTGAATGCACTTGAAGCGCGAATATGAAAAATTTTTTTAAAAATCTTGATAATTTTAAAAAAATTGAAATACGATTTGAAAAATGGTTTTATTTCATATTGTAGTTTTTTTTAATGTTCAAAAGGGGGTCTTCAGGTTGAGGAACGATTGATTAAAGCTGTCCGAGCTTGGGACCGATTCCCTGCCGACAAGGAGAGCGCCCTCAAGCTCGACGCCAACTTCAGCAAGGATTTGGGCTTCGATTCCCTCGATCAGGTTATTTTTGTCGTTTTAAAATAAAATGCCTTTGTTCAAAATGATTCTAATTTGAAACTAAAGGACGTCTCTGCTACCTTGACCGTTACATTAAAGAAAGTATTGAGGAAGAGCTTTAATTCTTAAAAAGTTTATTTCTGACTTTCGAAAAAGGATCATATAATAAATACCGATTCCTTTGAGTTTTAATAATTTTTGTTTTTTTTCTGGAGAAAAGAATAAGAAAAAAAGATGATCTAGTTCTTTTTGCCATTATTTGACTGTTTCACTATAATCCAATGTCTATGGCTAATTTAATTTCAAGAAGTGGGTATAAATTTTTATTTGAGGCAAAGGCATGCGTAAAAAAACTATACGAAGTTCGAATATTAAGCTCCTGTTACATTCATGCCTTTATGAATATTACGTCAAGATTTCTTTCAGTAAAATCTTCAGTTCATTCGTTCTAAAGAACGTTTCATTTCCAGTTGACGTATTCAACGGAACATCTAAAGCTTTTTAGATCTTAGAAAGTGTCAATACCACACGGAATTTTATATCAAGTCCTATAAAACTCAATTTTTGTTAAAAACTGTAAAATGGTTTTTTTTTTTGAGGGATTTTTTTCTTTTAACTTCTAATCTAAACTGTAACGACAGAGGAACATTTAATCTTCATCTTTATAGAAGTGTTCTTTTAACACTAGATTTTTGGATTTTTCAGGTTTCAGGAAGTTTTATTGTTTAGCTTCAATGCTTTGGTTCTCTGAAAACCATGGAACGTTTTTTAGCGGTATTTAAACTATTTTCATTCTATTGAAAATGAATAATTTTCTATGTTGATAGGTATATTTTTTTGCTTGAGACTTTATGTATTATCAGAAATTTTTTTGAAAATTAATTCTCATATCAAAAAAAAAAAAATTGAAACAAACTTTTATGATTTTAGAACATGCTCCTTTGTTTTTTAAGACATTTTCACTCCAAATAACTTGGAGATTCTAAATTTTCGTTGTGTTTCATTATTGAAGTACCACACGATATGAAAGTGTGAAGCTTGAAAAGTTCCCGGAATCTTTTGCGCGTTTTTTAAAATCACGGGGAGTCGAAATATTAGGTTCGAGGGCCTTCTACCTCATTTGGATCAGGACAGCAACCTTTTTTTGAGGAGAATCCGGGCAAGCTCATCATCTTCAGGTAGAGATCGTGATGTCGTTGGAGGACGAGTTCGGCTTCGAGATCCCGCTCCAGGATTCCGACAAGTTCCAGACCGTACGCGACGCCTTCAAGTACATCTGCGAACGAGAAGACGTCTACGAGTAAACTGCCCCACTTTTCCCAGCTCCTTTTTCATAGGTTCCTTGTTTTATTGGGTAACCAAAACCGATTGGTCCGCTTTTTCAGATAGTTGAGTTTATATCTTCTTATTTTCCCCCTTTTTCGACACCATCCGAGTATGTATAGTAGCCGATTTTCAATCAAAGCGTGGAATAAAATTTTATCTTTTGCCTCTATCTTTGCTACACCGTTTTGCTTGATTGTGTTAGGATTGGAACTGAAAATGAAGTTCTAATCTCTTTTTGGAGAGAGCGTCGAGAAAAGACTTCAGACGTATTATTCTGATGCCATTTTAGGAGTTTGGATGAAGCTCAACCTTTAGCTAACTTATACGCCTGTCCCTAAATAGGCTTGGCCTGCGCCTAATCACTGGAAAGATGACGTCAAGAAAAATCAGATAAGCTGTAGCTGCTCTGGGAGCCGAGTTATAAGCTTTTGAAGATGATCTCAAAATACTTTTTTGCGCGTCAGATAAGATGTACTGACTGAGGTTGCGCGTCGGGTGAGGCCCTTGTCTGAGGCACACCTAGGTGTACTTTTCTCGCGTAAAAGAAAAAGCTCAAAATTTTTTTTCGAATTTTCGAAGTTTTTCTGGTGGAATCGATAGAAAATCTTCCATAGAGTACTGATATGATATCACTTGGAAGAGAAAGGCTCAAAAATGGGTCCAAGAAAAAGAGTAACTTTTCAGACTTTCAAGCTTCATAACTCTCTTCATTCCGAAGTTTTTTAGGATTTGATCACATCAATCGATTTGTCCTGACGTCACATCTCAAATGTACCAGGATTTCAAGATTTTCAGACACTTTTTCTTGGAAAAAGAAACTTTTAAAATTTATAACTTTTCTTCTAGGGGCCTAGGAACTTTTTCACTTGTTTTTTCGGACTTGGCACGTCATTCTCCATCGATTGATGTGAAAATCTCTGAAACTTTGGATTTCGGGATAATCGAAAAAAGTACAGTCTAACCCCTTAGGTTTTTTTTTGAGCTTCTGAGGTCATGGAAGCCAATTTGGACGAAAACTATATCAATCGATAGATCTCGACGAAAAAATAACCGGAGGCTAGGTTTGACCTCGGTAGGTCAACTAAGAACTGAGTTATAGGCGATCAAACTATGGGTCAAAATTTCAGATTTCATCGAAATTGGTATCAATCGATAGACGAGATTGCGGTGATCAAGAAAAACTTGGTCTCGAAGTTGTTAGGCCCCTAGGAAAAAAGTTAAGAATTTTCAAAGTCTCAAAATGACCAACTTTGAGGGGCTCTAACTTTGTTCTAAGGAACTTTCGAGGGAACTGAACTTGTATTTTTGGATTCAGCACGTTATTCTGCGTCGATTGATGTAAGAAACTTTAACAATTTTTATTGAAATGATAGTGAAAAGATGAAGCTTCTGGATGAAGCTCAATCATTTGATGACCTATACCATTGGAAAGATGACGTCAAGACAAATCGATTGATGTAATCAGATAAACTGTATCTGCTCTGGGAGCCGAATTATAAGCCTCTAAAAATATCTAAAAATATTTCTTTGCGCGTCAACTGAAATGCATTGAGTGAGGTTGCGCGTCGGGTGAGACCCTTGTCTGAGGCCCTTATCGGTGTATTTCTCTCGCGAAAAGGGAGAAGCTCAAAATTTCCTTTGACGTTTTGAAGTTTTTTCTGGTATATTCGATAGAGAAGCTTCCATATAGTACTGATATCATATCAGTTTAGAAGGAAAAGCTCAAATATGGGATCAAATAAAAGAGTAATTTTTCAGACTTTCGGGCTTCATAACTCTCTTCATTTTGAAGATACAGGGAAACTGTTTATATTAATCGATCCGTCTTGACGTCATCTTTCCAAATAACCAGGTTTTTGAGAGATTCATCTCCATCTTGAGGCTTCAGACTTGCCGTAGCATTTAATTCAATTTTTGGACTAGTTATCAGCGCGATGTTGTGACCTGGCTTGTTAATCTTTGTATGCTCTAACTATTGCTTTATAATTCATTTTTTTTAGGGGAAAAACTGAGATGTAAGCTGCGAACGTCGATGACGTCATTAGAGTTAGTAGAAACTTATCGAGGCTTACATCAATCGGAAGATGACGTCAAGACAAATCGATTGATATAATCAGCTCCTCTGTAACTGCAAAATGAAGAAAATTATGAAGGTCGAAAGGCTCGAAAAATATGACTTTTTTTGGACTCATTTTTGATCTTTTTCCTTCAAAGTGATATGATATCAGTACTATATGGAAGCTCCTCTATCGATTCCAACGGAAAAAAACTTCGAAAAGTGGAAAAAAATTTTGAGCTTTTCCTTTTTGGCGAGAGAAGTACACCGATGTGGGCCTCAGACAAGGGGCTCACCCCACGCGCAACCTCGGGAAACGCATTTAATCTGACGCGCAAAAAAATATTTTGAGATAAACTTTAGAAGCTCATAACTCGGCTCGCAGAGCAGCTACAGCTTATCTGATTACATGGTTCGATTCCTCTTGACCTCATCTTTCTAATGGTATAGGCTATTAAATGATTGAGCTCCATCCAAAAGCTTAAAAGTTTCAAATCATAATTTCCTGAAAATACGTCAAATGATGGTGGAGATCAATGAAATAAAGGAAAACTTGGTTTGAAAGTTTTAGAGTTTTTAAGGATCGCTTTATCATTTTTATTAATTTTTAGAGGCGGTGCCTAATCCGGCTAACCTAAAATTTGGGAAACACCGTGATTTCTAACGTTTTTTAGCCTTTTTCATTATTTTACTTGTCTTCGATCATCTGATCAGAATGCCATAAAATTTACTATCACATTGATGAAAAAACAAATATCATGGAATATGAGGGTCTCTTTGGTGGGAAAACAATAAAACTACCCGGAGGGATTCACAGGTCAATGAAAATTCTGGAAGAGAGGAATGGAAGAAAGTTTTTGGAACGTATTTCTCGAGTTATTACCGGTGGAGAGTCACAACATATGTAAGTTAAGTATCACAGGGATTTGAAAGCTCTCAGTTATCGGAGTTGTACACGCATTTGATGATGTCGGACCAGAGTTTGTCAAATTTTGTCGGATCGCCGGGGCTCGTCAAGAGTCGGATCGCTTGTTCCCGGACGAGGTCGGCTGCAAAATGAGAAGCTCTTTGTTTACTCTATAACATGTGAGAATATTATTTTCGGAAGTGAAGGACGACTTTTGGATGACTATATTACTCATATTTACTTGTCGCAAATTCGGAAGGGTTGATAATGGCAGCTAAAAGGGAGAGGCTCAGAAAAGGAGCAAAAAGAGTCCCTTTATCGAGCCTTCCCATGTTTTCTGGGTTTTTGAAGACTCAAGGAATGCTGGAAAAAGGGAGAGGCAGCAAAAATGGTGCATTAAAGCCGATGAAATGGCGCAAAAAGGCAGCAAAAAAGGAGTATTTTTCCACCCTTTCCATTACTTATGTGCCTACAATCCATTAAAAAAAAAAATGAAACCGAACTCTGAGAAAAATATCATATTTTACTGACCCAGCACATTCGCCTTCTGCACCGTGTCTTCTGGAACCATTCGGACCGTATCTTTGCCTGAAAATGGAAAATAAACAATGATGCGGAGAGTTCTCCAACCGTCATCACTGGGAACGAGTCTAGAAGGTCGATGGGTTCCATTGACGACGTCTTCTTTCTCTGAAGGCGCCGGCGACGTAACAGGGCTTTTTCTGAAAGTTGACCACGTTTTCTTATCCGTCTCGAAGACCAACTTCTCCTCATTGAAAGTGTTCAGAAGACTCTTCGTCAAGACGTCGTCCTCGACGTCTTCTTCCTCCTCCTCCTCTTCGTCGTCTTCCTCATCTCCGTCCTCATCTGCGGTTCCGACGAATCCGAAAGTCTTCAGGAGGGAGTTTGTCAAGGGGCAACCGTTAGGACTTGGAATCTCCAGACGGGGTTCTGAAGTCATCACGTCTTCTATGAAGGCTGGAGGCTTAGAGAACCTTTGGCAGGAGGGTGAGACGTTCGACCCAATGTGGACTTGTTGGGAAGCAAGGAGGCGGTCATCGGAAGGCCCAACGGCAATTCTGGAGTCACGCCAGCGAGACGGTCCATTTTGAGCTTGGTGATGGCCTGGCGTCGCTGAAAAAAAGTTAGTTGAAGTTTGGAAGAAGCTGGTGTGAACGAGTTCTGAGCAAGGCTTGATAAATACAGTTTTCAGGGAAGTTTAACAAATTTATGAGATTCTTCCAGCGCTCTTCTTTTTCAATATCCCGAACCTTTTCCTAAGCTAAGAATCAAAATCAGCGTGAAAACTTGCAAGGTCCAAGCCAAATGCAGAAGTTTTGGTTAAACATGTCTTTCATACCATGTTCAAATCGAGTAAGGTACTTATGAATTCCAGAGTGGTCTCTAAAATTCGGGTGATCCTAAAGCTCAAGTGGACCCCATAGGGGTCTCTCAATTTCACTAGAAAAAACGCTTATTTTATCAGTTTTTCCCATGGGAATGCTTCTTCGCATAGAGTTCTTAAAAATCATCAACTAGATTGTCCCCTATAGGGATCACTTTTGCAAGCTTCTGGCCCCTAGAGGCCTCCGAGGTTGCCCCTGTAGGGACCACCCTGGAGTTCCTAAATACTAAGCTGCGTTCAAAAAGATTCGATAGGAGTAAAAACGACTAAAGCGACCCCTGGAAAGCACCGAGAAGCGCTAAAGGGATCACTTCATGATAATGATGAAATTCACCACAAGTTTGCCGATGAGAGGCGCGTGGTTGTGGGGATCGGCGTCGAGCGACGGGATCACCGTCTGTTTTCTCGTCAACTTCGCGTTGGCTCGGCAGCCGGGCTTGGCACATCTGAAATTAGGTAACAGTACTCTCTGGTTAAAATACTGTATGAATTTAGACCCTTCTTGGCGCTGCTAGGTCTTTCAAAAACCTTTCGAAAAAATCTCTGGGACAAGGAACTTTCAATATTTCGATTTATAGTCTGTTCAGATTTTGAATGTCAAGTCGCTTCTAAAGCTCCGGCCCTAATGGCGCGAAGAACCAATTACAGAGCGAGCCACCCACAGAGCGTTTTCGAATGACGTTATTGTACTTGATATTCAAAATATGAGCAAACTATAGACACTTGTACATTGGTAACGCGAATCGGACGTTTCGGAGCATTTCTAGTGACCACTTTAGTAGCTTCAGGCCTCTTAAGTGATCCCTACAATTGCCGAGAAACGTCCAGTCCTATCCAAAGGAGCAAAGAGATATCTTCAGATGGAGTAAAATTTCTCAAAGACCACTGGAATCACCTTAAGGACAGCTCCCTCTCGCCGAACCGGAGACAGTCTCTTCTCGGATTCCTCAGCCGGTACTCGTAGTCCTGCTCGTCGTAGAAGAGGTAGCCGCCGCGTTGGCTGATGATGGACAACGACGGCGAGGATCCGTCGTCGGGGACGTTATCCTCCAGCGGCGGCGGCGCTTTCCTCTTCTTCTCCCGCGCGTCCTCCACGTACTTGGTGCCGGTCATCGACTATGAATAGGCTTCGGTTAGGTGACGGTAATAATTTAAACATTGAGAATCACAGAAACAGCAAAAATTTTTGAAAAAAATCATAATCTGACTCACAAACAACCATGTCACGAAAAATTTTCATTAACCCGTACAGTTTCAATTTAATTTAATTTATATATTTGCTATAGCTGATTCACGGCTAGCTAGTGTCGCGAAGGGGGCGTGGCCTGTTTTCCCTTTCCAAGAATCAGGCACTATCTCATGAATTATCGTGTCAGGACTCTTTTTCCGATGGCTCAAACCAGTCGTGAATCAACTAAATTGATTTGGAGAATCGTGGATCTTAGCTTTAAAAATCAAATCAATTTAGACCTTCAGAGACCCGTCCGGTTTGCTCTGCGCCGTCTCCGTTGGCCATACTAGATCATTTTAAAGCATTTTTTCTATTTAATACAATGAACGTAGTACAAAAAACTCGTTATCAAGGACGAAATCGCCAAAAATCGCAATCGGTGTATGCACAATTTAAATCTACAGTGTGGCAAACCGGGCGGGCTGAACAGATGTCAAATAATCTAAAAATTTTCTTTGTTTTTCAGTTACTTTGCGCCTCGAAAGCTGTTGAAACTATAACTTATTATAGGAGTTTTAACGTATTTCTGAGGATAAAATATCTTCAAAACTATATACAAGAACCCCAGTATCAAAAAAAAAAGGTCAAGAAAAAATCAAATCACCGCTATATTATCAAGGAAATGGCGAAACAAATCTCTCCTTTTTGCACACTATTTAAAAAAATGACGAATTCTTCGAATTTCATGAGAAGTTCGGGGTGAATCGCGTATATCATCGCAGGATAAATTTTTCAAAGAGGCTTTAGAACAGAAGGACGGAAAAACTGCGCACTTCGCGACGGCCGATGGGCGGTCCGTGGGGCGGGTCGTGCTCCTTTTTCTGGTGGACTTCCTCGTTTCGCGTGAGAACTGCCGAGCCGCGGCAGCGGACTTTGGTGCACCTGCAAATCGAATTAATAGCTTATTATATTGAACAAAGGTGAGTCTGATGATTCATGAGGACAAAGTAAAAAAGTTCATTTTAATCGTCCTAAAGATCAGTGAACTTGTGGAGAGAAACTTAGGAATTCTAGAGTGGTCCCAATGGGGGATAGGGCGGAAGAAATCCCTATAGGAGTCAGAAAAGTGGTTCCCGTAGGGGTTTCGGTTTTTCCCATGGAAATGCTTCTTCGCTCAGAGTTCACAACAGTTATCGACTAACACCTCAACAAATTGACAAAATTAAAGACCCCAAAAAAAACCTCAACGAAATTTCTTTGAAACCAATCAAAGCGGCGTCCCGATTCGCATTGTAATACCGGTATTCATACGATAAATCATCGTAAAACAGCCTGGATCCTTTTTGGCTCATGACTACTTCAGTGCCCCTGGAATGAATATTTTGAATCAAAAAGTGATGATTTTTTAAACCATTTATCAACAAGCGGCTTCTCAAACTCGTTCGGCGATGGTTGTGTCAAATTGTTCATCAAATTGTCCAGAATGGACACCTGCTCAGCGCTCAATTCATCGGAGTTTGTTGTCTGAAAAAGGATTGTAAAAAAACGAAAAAAAAAAATTATTAGAGTAACTTCTTTCGCCAACTTGCCGTGTTCGAATGGAAAAAGATATAGCGGCGCTCAAAACCAGAAAAGACAATGAGAAAAAAAAAATTGCCATCAAGATCAAAAATACAAAATTTTCAAAGTCATTTAAAAGCAAACTTTCTAAAAAGATGACTAGGTATCTCTGAAACGAAAAAGAAGACTAAACATCAAAATGCAATCACATATAGCAAAAAAAAATTGTTTTTAACGACGATAACTTTTTTAAACTTGTTAAACCTAAAGTTGGCAAAATCTCAAGTATCAGCCTCGAAAATAGTATTGTTTCTCAACTTTAAACAATCTGAAAACGCTATAAACTAACCGGGAAATCGAAATTAGAGAAGAATGTTTCAAAATTTATGCCGTGTTCAAAGTAATTTCCGCGAAATGAGAAATTGTCTCTGACCCTCCAAAATTTAGTTATCTTTCTCTTTCTCTGACGGCTATTTTGAATTTCGCGGAATCACATTGAACACGGCATTAGGCCGAAGGGCATTTTGCGCGGGAAATAAACATTTTTTGTGTAAAGGTAGCGTTTGCGGACTGCCAGGCTACCGTAACCCCATAAATTCACACTTTTCTTTCAAATCGCCTTTTCTCGAGTTTTATGTGTAATTTCAGTGGAATACCCTGTTTTCAAAGCCCTTCGATTTTCGAAAAGATGAAAATAAAATGTTTTTACAAGGGTGTCAGCGGGTGTTGGCGTTTCCCCGGCAACCTCCATCATATCGTGTTGAAAAGCGTCGAAATGCAGCAGCAGGAGGCCGAAAAACGGCTTTTCGGCCTGCCGGCGGCCAAATAATCCCGAATTTCCTGGAAAGGGAAAAAAAATAAAAAGGAAACGCTTCGATGACGCATTGTGTGGAAAACTACAGGAAAGGAACTATTGGAAACGTTTAAATTATCGAATCACATGATAGATATTCAATCAGAAAAGTGAGTCACTTTAAAACAAGACAAAAAAATCGGATCGAATTCAAAGTTTGGATTTTTCTGCTTTTTTCTGAACGTAAAAGTCAAGATTTGAGAAATAAAAGTTTCCGGTTGAAAAAAATGATAATTTTCAAAGAAGAATTGGTTTTTGAGATTTTTTTGTTTTAATGAAGAAAGACTTCTGGATCTTAATCTCGACCTCGAAAAATAGCCACGGCTCAAATATTTATTTTCAAACGCCAAAAATCGCTCGGAAGCGGCTAAAAATTGAATTTTCTTCCGAGACTTATTAATAATTTCGATATATAATAATTATTGCACAAAATCAGAGATTATAAATCGATTCAACTTTCAGCCGCAGCTCAAACTTCATCCCATGAGGCTTAAGAACCTCAGAAAAATCAAACGAAAACGCCAACTAGATATAAAAAATTAGCCGCAGATGAAATCTTCTCTCACGAAAATCTGAAGACAACAAGTTCTCAGCTTCATGTATTGAAAAAATTAGCAGTGGCTCAAATTTCTCCCAAAAAACGGGAAACTACGAGTAAACACATAAAATTAGCTGGACGGTTTAAAAATTCTATAAAATCTGGCCGCGGCTTAATTTTCTTTCGGCAAAAAGGGGGAAAAGACCATTCTTACAGTCTTTAATATATAATAAAATCAACAAAACCCTCTCAAAAAAACTCAGCCGCGGCTTAAAAATACTTTCTTAAAACTGAAGAAAACGAGGATTTCAAAGGATGTCTCCGAAAACAAAACAGACTTATATGATTTTTTAAACTTAACCGCGGCTCAAAATGCATCCTAAGATAAAAAACACAAATTTTCACAAATAAAAAATCATCAAAAGCTACAAAACAGCTCGCGGAAACTCAGCCGCGGCTCAAAATTCCTTCGAAACTTGGCAAAAAGGAGGAATTTGAACATCTGAATCTCTTACAACATCGTAACTTCACAGGAAAGCTTCTCGAAACTTCAAAACAGATCGAAGAAAACTGAGCCGCGGCTCAAAAAAAAAAGACTGTCAAACGATATGAAGACCAAAAGGCTGCGCCAGAGGACGTGTGCTATTTTGTGAGCGGCCAAGCGGCCGCGGCGCGGGAAAAGACGAAAAAGAAGAAGCGAACAAAAAAGAACTGAAAAAGGGGCATGCTGGTCTGTCGCTGTGTTATTTTGTGCGGCGGGGCGAGATAGCGCCGCGCCACGAGGCTCAATCGATCGTCCGTCCCCGGCCCAATGGAGAGGAGAAGAAAAAAAACGGCCGTCGGCGCAAAAATAGCCGCGCTCACGGCTGCTTATTATTTCGATTCCGGCGCCAGGCTGCGCGGCCAGTTTGGAAGCAGGGGCGGGGCCTCGTCTCTTTCTCCGACTTTCCAGCATTTTTCTTCTTTTTTTTGCAGATGAAAATTTTCAGAAGGGAGCCTGCAGATCATTTCGAAAATTTTGAGATTTAAAATTTCATATTTTCTTGACCAGATCTTTAAGTCGATTCGAATGCATTAAAATCATTTTTTAAGAAATCGAAAAGGTCGATTTTTGAGTCTAGAATGAAAATCTGAAAATTCTGAAGGCTTCAAGAACTTTTTAGCCCTTGATGATTGGCTGGACCTTTTTTTGGCTATTCTGAAACTCATTTCCAGGAAGTCCGCTGGTTCTCAAGCCTATAAAAGTCCAGAAAAAGATTTTTAAGCCTGAAAAGTTTTCTACTTCTACAAAAATAGCTTTGTGGAGGGTTCTAAATCTAGTGCAAAATCCATAAAAGTCGAACTTTTAGAGAACTTTAAAAAATTCAGAGCTTGAAAGGTTGAAAAATGCAAACGTTTCAACTCTAGGTCCAACTAAAAATAAACAGGTTCCTTCAAGTACCGTATCTCGAAAAATCCTACAGTAACCCAAGATGGTATATACTGAAAAAATACTAAAATTGCATGACCTATTGATTAATATACAAATTGACTAGAAACAACTCGTCGATTTTTAGACACGCAGGCTCCCTACCGTAACCTACAGTAAGAGAAAATGGCTCAAAAAGTTGTATCCGTATTCTTGACGTCATAGGATAGCATTGGTTAAAATTTCATCAAAATCAAAAAATAATTTTTTCTATACCCGTCGATTTTGAGAAGAAACCCAAAAAAAGCAAAGCTATTTTTCGAAGCTTAAAAAAATCAGAAAAAGCCCAAAATTCGCTAGAACGGCTAAAAAGCGACCTCCACTCTGCCGCGGCTCAATTTTCTCGGCTCTCAAATTTCACTCATCCTCCCCCGTCTTTGCAGTAATCTGAGCCGCAAATCGATTCTTTTTCGTTGTAAGCTGCTTTTTTTTTTTGAAAGTTTCGAGGATTTCAGCTTCAAATTTCATAGAATGAGCCCGAAATTCGCTTCGAAGTGGCCACTTTAGTGAATTCATCCTACAAAATATCTTTTGTTCACAGGAAAAGCACAGAGAGGAACGAAAAAAAAAAATAAAAATAATATTCTAAACATTTCCAAAAAGGAAATAAAATAAAAAATATTCAATTAAAGTCATAGGTGTTTACAGACTCTAAAAAAAAGTACAGTAACCTAAAAAAGCGGAAAAAAAAACTCCGAACGCGAATTTCATACAAAAAATGGTGCATAAACCAAAAATCTCGTTTTTTTTCGTCATTTTGAAACATTTTCACAATGTTTGACTGAATCGAATGAAATTCTAGCAAAGTGGGAGGGAAGGAATTGTACGATCCCACGCAACCAAAAAAAGCGGCTCAAAGGACCATAAAGCGTGAGATTTTGAACAGAAGAAAAATGTTCAAACACATAAAAATTCTTTGAAACGTTCTTAGGAACCCCAGAGTGGTCCCTATAGGGTCCTTAGAGGCTCATGTCTAGGGGGCACTTTATTAACCCCTATAGGGGCCACTCAAGCTTGCAAAAGAGGTCCCTATAGGGGACATGATGAGCTATGAGCGATGAAGCATTTTCGAACCGTTTTTTTTTAAAATGAAATTGAAAGACCCCTATAGGGTCCACTTGAGCTCTAGGGGCCAAGGAGTCAGACCCTCAACCCCTACAGGGCGCACCTTAATTTTACCCCTATAGGGACCACTTTTTTGGCCCCCATAGGCTGTAGGAATAGTTTTTTCTCCTAACCTTCTCCTAAGCTCTATAGGGGCCACTGAAGCTTGGAAAAGTGGCCCCTATAGGGGATAGGATGAACTCTGAGGGAAGAAGCATTTTCTTGGGAAAAACTGAATATAAAAACGTTTTTTGAATGAAATTGAAAGACCCCTATAGGGACCCCTTGAACTTTAGAGGCCAAGGGATCAGAACCCCATACAGAGAGCACCTTGATTTTACCCCTATAGGAACCACTTTTTCGGCCCCTATTGGGGTTCTTTTTTCTTCTAACCCCTATAGGTACCACTTGAGCTTTAGGGGCTAAGAATTCAGACGCTAAATCCCTACAGGGACTACCTTAATTTCACCGGGACCACTAAAGGTTACAAAAGTGGTCCCTGTAGGGATTTTAGTTAGTGACATCTATAAGGGACATGATGAGCTCTGAGCGAAGAAGCATTTTCATGGAAAAAACTTTTAAAAAAACCGTTTTTTTTTTTGAAAGAAATTAAAAAACCCCTATAGGGTCCACTTGAGCTTTAGGGGCCAGGGGGTCAGAGCCTAAACCCCTATAGGACCACTTTAAATTTACCCCTAAAGGGGGCCCTTTTTCGGCCCCTATAGGGACCACTCTGGAATTCCTAAATTCGGCTCGAAGTCCCAAAAGTCGTATTCAAAATAACCTCACGTTTTCAAAATGACTTTTTCCGTAAATCGAAGATAAGGATCTCGAAAATTGACGTGTAGACCAAGGAGTGCTCCAGTCATTTTTCTATCAAATAACTTCTCCTATCAAACGTCCAGATGTCTGGCGGAAGCAGCGGTGGGTTCAGGGAGCCTCAAATTTTCTAGAGGGATCCGAAAAAGAGTGTTTCTACAGTATGAATGTGGGATCCAAGTTCTGTTACTCGGACATTGGTAACGCGAACGGGACGCGGACCTGTCGAAGCGTTTCTAGTGACCACTTTAGTAGCCTCGGCACTCTTAAGTGATCCCTAGAAACGTCCGTTCCGCGTAACCAACGTCCGAGTTAATGTACTATAGTCGATTCATAGTTAAATTGGGACGCTAACGGGGCGTGGCATGTCTGCGCTCTCCACTAACCAGGCACTATCTCGTATCGTGTCAGGACCCTTTTTTCGATGGCTAAAGAAAGCCGTGAATCAGCTATAAAAAGGCACGAAATCCAAAAAGTTCTCACAAAAAAAAGGCGTCTGTACTATGACGTCAATAAAGTTCATTAAATGACGTCACTCAAAAAAGAAAAATAGAGCCTAATTTTCGAAAAAGAACAGCTCTATTCAACTAAGATTGATAACTGAACCTGAAAAAAAATAGCGGTAAAAGTTATACTCCTCAGTGACGTCATTTTCATTCTTTCAAGTGACGTCATCGCTAATCTTCTTCATAACGTCATCAAACTATCTAATTAATACCGTGACCTAGTTAGATTCATATAGCTGATTCACGGCTGTCTGCCATCAAAAAAAGGGTCCTGACACGATAATGCACGAGGTAGTGCCTGGCTTGTGGAGAGCGCAGACAGGCCACGCCCCCTTAGCGTCTCAAGTTAGCCGTTAATCGGCTATAATGACGGAGAGCTTATAGTCTGTTCAGATTTTTAATGTCAAGTACAATGACGTCATTCAAAAACACTCTGTGGATGGCTCGCTCTCTGATTGGTTTATCGCACCATTAGGGGCGGAGCTTGAGCGACAAATTGATATTCAAAATCTGAACAGACTATAGATTTAAGAAAAAATCGAAACTACACCTCAAACTTCTCAGTAACGTCATCTGAACTTTCAGTAGAGCAGAAGGCATCAGAAGACTCACAAGAGTCTCTAGTGGAGTCACAAGAATCGAAGGAAAATTGTAAAAAGTCGAAAGAACAATCGAAAGAGTCGACGGAGGGCTCGAAGGAATCCATCGAAATGACGAAAGAATCAAATGAAACGACGACTGAAGCCAAAACCGCTCCCCGGGAATCGAAAAAACCGTCCAGGGAGACGGAAGTGACTTCCAAGGCGACCAAAGAGTCAAAGGAGACGAAGGAGAAGTCGCGTGGCTCGAAAAAGAGTCCGGAAAGGCCGCAGAGGAGCTCGAAGACGGGCTCGCCGAAAGAGAGGGAGCCCAGGTCGAAGCCGGCCTCCAAAGAATCGGCATCGCCGCCGGCCGAGAGCAAAGACATCAAGCTTCGATTCGGCACCGACGTCATCGAGCATCTCTCGACCAAGCACAAGCTCGACATCACCGAACTCCTCGGTAACGTGTTCAGGTAGATGTCGCGACGTCATTGATGAGATTCAGGCGACGGATCTTACTCACTTGTCGGCAAGGCCTACGACAGGGACAGGAAGGAGACAGTCGCACTCAAAGTCATCGATTGCAGGTGAAAAGCTCTATTCATTTAGTTGGCCCAATTGGCTGCGCATCAACTGAGAGGGTTTATTGGGGTTGTTAAGATTTTAGATCAACGCCCAAAAATACGGGCTCAAGCTCAGATATCTTTCTAATTAGCTGCGCATCGACTCAAACTCCGTATCAATACAGTAAAATTGGCTAACACCGAGATTTTTTCTTGTTTTTCTAACAACAGGTTCCAAAAGGGTTTCTAATCGACTGCTCAAACTCGTATCAATCCAATAAAATTCGCTGCACATCAACTTTCCTACACTTCCAGGGTCACTCCGGCAACGACGGAATACTTGAAAAAGTTTCTGCCCCGCGAGAAAGTGCTGGTCTTGACCCTGAACCATCCGAACGTGATGAAAACGATGCAGGTGAGTGGGGTTTTGAGGTAACATGAGCAATAGTGAGAAGTTTCCAGGTGCTGGAGACGATCCCAGAGCGAATGGTTTTCGTGACGGAGTACTGTGCCAAGGGCGACATGTTGGGCCAACTCAAGAAAGACGGTCCTTATGAGGAGAAACAGGCCAAGTTCATCTTCCGGCAGCTCATGGAGGCGTTGACTGTTGGTTTTTTATATTTATACTTCCTTTTTGGGATTTTTGACTTTTTAAGAGGGATCCTTTGGCGGAAAAAAGGTATAGTCTGTTCAGATTTTGAATGTCAAGTTCTCGCTCAAGCTCCGCCCCCTAATGGCGCGATAAACCTATCAGAGAGCGTTTTCGAATGACGTCATTCTACATTCAAAATCTGAATGGACTATATAAAGTTGTGCACTCTCAGAGGGTTTCTTACTATTTCGATGAATTGAGAGCATGAAAAAAAAATATTCCTAGCTAATCTCTACAACTAAAACTCCGTATCAATTCGATCAGTTTGGCTGCGCATCAAATCTTATTTGTTCTGCTCACTTCCTCTTACTACTAACTCGTGACTCATATCTAGTCTTTTTAAAACCGCTAGAAAACGGAAAAGTTTTTTTTCGTGGCCTCAAAGGAACTTTTCTGAACCTCCTGGAATCTTCTCGCTTACTTGATAGTCCGTTTCTCGCTACTTGAAAGGGCGTGACTTCTCTGCGCCCTCTTTATCTCTCGGCGACTCTCCTATGTTTACGTGCTGTTTTCATGTTTCTCTGACCTCGCCGGTGAGGGAACAGAGAGACGCTGACACGCAAAAGTCGCGCCGGATACAGCCCCTTTCATTGAAGAAAGCGAAAAAGATGTACAAATTTTGAAAAAAATGTCGCTTGGAAGCCTTTAGAAGCTCTTAACTAACCTTTCAGAAAAAAATCAGCTTTTTTTCAAGTACCTCGAGGCGAACGAGATCGTCCACCGGGACCTCAAATGCGAGAACATCTTCTTCGACGCCCACGGCAATGTCAAACTCGGCGATTTCGGTTTCGCGCGCGTCCTGAAGAGGGGCGAGTACTCGCAGACGTTCTGCGGCAGTCAGGTGTACGTGGCGCCGGAGGTGCTCCTCGCCAAGGACTATACCGGTCACCAGGTTGGTCTTTGTTGATGAACAACGACGTCGTGGGGGGTTCAGACGGACGTCTGGAGCGCCGCCGTCATTCTGTTTGTGATGGTGACGGCGTCGATGCCGTTTGACGACACCGACCCTGAAGCGATGCTCAATAAGATGCAGAAACACGACATCGCGTGGGCATTTTTTAAAGGCTTTGTAGGGTCACGGAATTGTCAAAATCATTATAGTTCATTCAGTCTCGGCAAAGTCGGAATGGTGGATAATGGCCGCTAAAAGGGAGGCTCGAAAAAGGTCGCAAAAAGGCTGCAAAAAGGCGGAAAGACCTCAAAAAGGCTGCAGAAAGGAAGCAAAAAGGGTCCCATTATCGAGCTTTCCATTTTTTATTCTGGGCTTTTGGAGGCTCAAGAGAGGCATCAAAAATGGTGCAAAAAGACTGCAAAATAGGAACCCTTTCTAACTTTTTTCCACCCTCTCCGGCTTTGCCTATGAATGGAGTTTTGAGAGGATGAAAAATTTGAATGTCGAGTCAAACTCCGCCCCTTATGCTCAGATCAAACCAATCAGAGAGCGAGCCATCCACAGAGCGGTGTAGAGGGCGGAGTTTGACATTCTAAACATGAAGAGACTATGAAAACTTGAGATTCAACATGGTCTGCTAGCTAAAAAAAATTATCTTCTCAAAATCATTTTCACATGATGAAATGACTATTTCAGGCGATAACCTTGAATTTTAATTTTTCGAAAATCTGATATTTCAAGCGAAAAAAGCTGATATTCAAGTTTAATCAGTTCAATCAATCATGGCCTTCTCGAAAATCTTTTCAAAATTTAAAACTTTGACTATTCCAGATTCCCGTCAAGTCCCTCAATTTCGACAAAAGTCAAGGCCCTGATTATCGAAATGTTGCATCCGAATCCATCGTCGAGGCCGAGTTTCAAGCAAGCCTGCGAGAGTGACTGGCTCCGCGACACGAAATACTCGTTTAAGGTTGGTATAGTCAATCCATCCCGAATTGAAAGGCGAGGGGGCGGCGAAGTGGGCAAGACGCGTCGCGTGTGCGTACGCGGTTTTTGGCACGAGTTCAATTCAATTAGTCGCTGGGGGTTGTTTTGAACTCGTGCCAAGAACCGCGTACGCACACGCTACGCGTCCCGCCTTTCAAGCCGGAATAAATTGACTACATATTTTGAAGAAAATGGTTAAGACTCGAACTAAATCACCTCAAAATGACCAAAATTGAGCAAAATCGTGAAAAAAAAAATAAAAAAAGGTTGAAGAAAACTCAAGAAAATCTCTTTTCTGTAAGCTAGCACCATCAAAAGAGCTTAAACACGTGAAATCTTGTTCAAATTGTTAAAAAATGCCGGCTTAAAACATCGAAAAAGAGTCTTGAAACGATAAAAAAAATATATATTTCACGGTTTATGGAGAGCGCAGACATTGCCACGCCCCCTCAAGCCAACCGTGAACTTTCAATAAAAATATTAACAAGAATTGAAATTATTTGAACACAAAAAAGTCCGAACCTGGTCATTTTCCTCCAATTTTCTCGATAAATCTTGTTTTTCCCAATGACATTGTTTCAACTGAACACTTCCTAAAATGAAAAAAAAAGCTTTTTCCCTATAATTTTCTTCCAGACAGCGCAAAAGTCCACGATAAGAGCCAAATCAGTGAGCCGCGACACGAAAAGGGACACGACAAAGTCGAAAAAGTCCCCGTCAAACGGACCAAAAGCTCCGACGGCCCGGGATCACAAGAAGAGCAAGGACAATGTAAGTTTTAATCATTTTTGAATCAAAAAAAAAACAGCCAAAAAGGAAGTTTTGTGAGAAAATGAAACGCATTTTGCGTCGATCGGTTTCAGTAAATGCTCATTTCTGGCAGAAAACTCAATTTTTTTTTTGTCTCTCGGCTTGAAAATTAATATTCACCTTACGGAATCACTTTCAGATCTCGGTCAAAAAGGCCAAACCAATGTCCACTCGGCCAAAAGTTGCGACGGCACGCGACCATAAGAAAAGCAGAGAAGCCGTTAGTTTCATCATTCTCAAATTGAAAACTCTTAGCCGGTCGAAACTTGCCTACTTTTCGGCTACAATAATTCGAAAAAAATAAAAAAATATAAATTCTTTTTTTAGAGAATGTATTATATTTTCCAGCTATTTTTAAGAGTAACGAAAAATGATTCCAGACTTCGGAAAAAGAAGTCCAAAAGCACCATCAAGTCGGCCAAAAAAACTGCGACGGCACGGGATCATAGGAAAAAGTAAAGAGGCCGTGAGTTTCTCCATGACAAAAAAAGTAGGAAATGAAATTTAAATTTCTATTAAAAATTTTTTTATTTAAAAAAAAGCCTAAAAAAACAGTTTTTTTGCGCGGGAAGTAAAATACATTCCGAGCTCACGAGTGCATGGGTATTTGTTGACTACAGTATCCCGAATTTTCGCACAAATTCGAAATTTTCATTCTTTTTTTAATTTTTTTACATTTTTTTAAGATATAAAAAAATAGCTAATCAATGATATTTTCAGACCTCGGAAAAGAAGCCCAAAACGAAGAAGGAAGCAGCCTCGTGTCGCAAGTGATTTTTTTGCGAGGAACTCGTCGCGATTTTATCGCATGAATAAAAATAAAAAACCGAAAAGAATTGCAATATTTATGAAAAAAACACACACATTGGGAAGTGGGAAAGTACACGTTTCATTTGCATTACGGGGCCACAAAAAAATACACCTCAAAAATTTTTTTTCTTTTTTTCACACAACCGATTATTAGGAATTGATAACGTTTTTCAAATATTTCTACAAATATATGTATATCGAATTTTGTTGACGACCTGAGGGTATTCTCTTCTATTATTATTATTACAAGGAACTCTATAAAAATTATTAAAAAGAGTAGAAAGTTATAAAAAAAGTGTTGAACTGAATGGGGAAAAATGGAATATTCAAGGAAAAATCAATCGCTCCAGCCTTCGCTCTCCGAATCGTCGCTTTCTGGAATGAAAAATACTGAAAATTGGGTTTTTAAAAGAATCAGTAGCAATAAGAATGGTGAAATTTGGATTTTAATCGACCAAAGTTCAAAAAAGCCTACAAGAAGTTTTCAAAAAGTGCGAAACCTTTGAAACAACTCAAAAAAAAAATGGTTTCTTTTCCAAAAATACATATCAAGGGTTCTTTTGAACGTAGAACTACTGAAAGACCTAGAAAAAGCACTGAAAAGGCTTTTCGCTTCAAGAGAGATTGCTGAAATTTGCCCATGCTCCTTTAATTTTTTTTTTCCAGAAATTTCTCCGTTGGTTTTTTTAGAGTTTTGATTTTTAAAAGGATCAGTAACACATGGGAAAAGTGAGTTTGAAATTTATTCGACGAAAATTCAAAATTCCTCTCTGGATATTTAGAAGAAACTTGAATAAAAGGTGCTCGAAAATACTTATCAAGGGTTCTTTTGAACGTAGAATTTCTGGAAGACCTAAAAAAACACTGAAAAAGGCTCTTCGCTTCAAGAGAGATTGCTGAAATTCGCCCATGCTCCTTTAAAAAACCAGCTCTCAAAACTCCAATTTTTTTAAAGGAGCCCATGCTCCTTTAAAAAAACCAGCACTCAAAACTCCAAAACGGGTTGATTTATGATAAACTTTATCATTTCAAAAAATGTTTTTTTTTCATTTTTGAGCGATAAAAAAACTTCAAAAAATGGATAAAATATTCTAAAAATACCAATAAGTACAAAAAATCCCTCTCTACAACTCAAAAGTGAGAAGAAAATTATGTTCGGACGTTTTTTTTGAAGTTAGGAAGTCGGGAGGTTCTATGAGTTTGAATACAAGAAAAGAAATTTCCTTAAAAAATCTGAAGAAATGGGAAAAAAAAGAGATCAAGGAAGGTCCGAAGAGACGCGAAAGAAAGAGAGATCTCTGGGGCCTCTTCAGGCTCGTGCTCTCTTCTCACCTTCTTCATCACTGGGGCTGATTCCAAGGCGGCGGGCGATGAGGAACTGCTGAATCTGGTCGATGAAGCCACCGCCGTCGGAAAGGACGCGTGGACTTGTTTCCGGCGGCGTGTCGCTCACTTTCCGGAGCATTTTCGACTTGTCCGCGTTTTGGATCTCCTGTATTTTATTTTGTTTCGGTGTATTATAGGAAAACAAGACAAGCTGATTCTAACTGTGCACGGAAGCAATCAAAAGCTGACTGGGGAAATTTTTAGTGGCCACTGTAGTAGTCAAATTAAAAGCCACTGTAGGGGTTAAAAACTAGTGGCCACTATAGAGGTCTCAGTGCTACTACTGAACCACCAAACATTTTAGTGTCAACCTTAGGGGTCTATGGATCAACATAACTGGTCCAATCTGTTTTTTTAAAAGTTATCAGTTACTGGAAGGACTACTGGATAAAAAACTACTGAAGTGGCCACTAAAACGAAAAATAGTGGCCACTTAAGAGGTGGTTTTAGTGGCCACTTCAGCGTCCTCTCCAAGTAGCCTCTATAATGGCCACTAAAAATTTTCCCGGTACGGCCAATTTTTACAGATTTTTCAACACCATAAAAATCTCTTTTTTTGGGGACTAAAGTATGATTTTTTCCATCTTCTCAAGAACTCTCCTAGCCCTAAAAACCTTCCAAAGAGACAGGAATTTTAAGGGGCCCATGAATGTACTTAAAAACCTTATAACACTTTTTTCCAAGTCCAGAACCCTTCAAACAAAACAAAAAACGCCTTGGGGACTAAAATATGATTTTTTCTAATCTTCTCCATACATCGGCTGGGTCCCACCCCAGCTTTTTGCGCGCCGCACCCCGGGGTGGGATCCAGCCGACGTATGATCTTCTCAAGAACTCCTCTAGCCTAAAAAACCTCCTAAAGGGTCAGGAATTCCAAAGGAGCCCATGAATGAACTTGAAATCCTAACTAAACTATTTTTCCAAGCCTAGACACCTACTACAACTCCAAATATCTATCCTAAAAAACTAACCGCCAGCAAACTTTGACGCTCGACGCTGACCGACGGAAGACTCGACGGTTTCTTCAAGTTGTTGTTCTCCAAAGCTGTTGGACGCATGATCGGGGCATCCTGGAGATCAATGAGGTTCAGGAGGCAATTTCTTCGATCAATACTTTATTGATTGGAGACCAATTTGGGGGCGGTGGCGGCGGGGCCGGGGGAGCGCTTGAAGCGATCGGCGGGATATCATCAACAGCATGGGGGGCTTCATCTTCTTCAACCTGAAAACGGCTAGCTTGAAAAGGGGCGTGGCTTCACTGCGCTCTCCAATAGCCAGGCACTTTCTCTTCTTTTATCGTGTCAGGACCCTTTTTTCGATGTCTCAAGTCGCATGTGAATCAGCTATAGATTCAACACTTACTAAGTTAAGGTAAAAAAAGAAGAAATGATATGATGGATAACGAAAATTTCAACTAATCGTTGATTATTCTTCATTTCTCATTTAATCTTCACCTTGAAACCTATTCGATTCAAGTTTCTAAGTGCTATTTTCAGTAAATATTTTTTCGATGGCTCCAGCCGCATGTGAACCAGCTATATTAATTTCAAGTCGAAATCGATCAGAATCTCTCTCAACCATTAAAATGACGTCATTTTTGTAAACTTTCTGATGACGTTGTTCCCGTTTTTCAAAAATGATGTCGCGGCCTTTAGATTCAAGATTTCAAAACGTTATTGAAAAGGGCTATTTTCAACCTATCTTCTGGGATTATTCCAGAATGTTCTGGTTATGGGGGGTTCTAGAATAAGATTAAGTCCCCACCAAAAGGTTACTGTAACGGGGGGTGGAATTTTCCCCGACATTCTAAATCCGTTCAAGTTTCATTTTTTTGAAAAAGCTCAAATGACGTCATAATCAGCTGAAAACTTTAAAAAGGACGTCAATGTCTAGATTTATTTTATTTTATTTTATTTTTTTTTTCTAAAGACGGTCACGTCTCACCTTGACCTCGATGACGGTCCTCTGATGATGAGCAACAGGTGGCGGCGGCGGCGACGAGGAAGCCTGCGGTGGGGCGGCGGTTGTCCGGCGGGGCAACACGTCATCGGCTTCGCGATGTTCGTCCGCCGTCGCCCATCGGTACGAGGCCCGGTGTCGGTGGCTGGGTAGTCGTGGCGGTGGGTCTAGAATCATTCACTCTTCTTTCCGTTCAGCTGACTTCTTGAAACCGTTAGGAAATCTAGGAACGCTGGTCGGGGTGGGTCTCCGGCTGAGCAACGACTTGGATCGATCCGGTAGTGGTGGGGCTTCTTCAGCCTCATCTTCTGCTTCTTCATCTTTACTCTGGAAATAAAATGGTAATTCACGGCCATCTTGGGACGTGAAGGGGGCGTGTCCTGTCTGCGCTCTCCACGGGTCAGGCGCTATTTCATGCATTATCGTGTCAGGACCCTTTTTTCGATGGCTCAAGTCGCATGTGAATCAGCTATATAGATGAACGTCACAAAATATTAGAAACTAAGGATGAAAAAAATGAGCATGACTTTACTACTATTCAAAAACTTCCCTTGATTTAATTTATACACATTTTTGTTTGAAAAAACTTGGTGAAAAGACAAAAATGGTTACTGTAGCTCTAAAGTCTGCACAAACGGACTCAGGAGCCGATTGTGCAGTTTTGCGTCACAACATTTACGCAATTTCTGATTTTTTTCACACGCGAACCCAACTGTGTAGCGTTGTCCTTTCTCAAACTTCGCCATATTTCTTTCAAAAAGCCGGTCCAAGCGATCTTTTTCGAAACTCTATCAAGTTCATGCTCCCTACAATAAGCCTGACCGACCTCGAAACGGTATAGCATGTGAGGTTGCCGTTCGTTCAAGGGAACGACATCATTGCGAGGGGCGTTGACCGAGTAGGTGGCTCTTGTGAATTCGGTGACTGGAGCAGGTCGGACCGAATCGAGACGGAATGAGGCTGTCGCTCGGATCGTCTCCTTGTTGGCCGCAGAAGGCGCCTCGGAATCCCAGTCCGGATTCAGAGGATCTACAGGCATCTGGCCGAAGGACGGCGGTGCTGGCGTCGGAGATCGATCTTCTGGTTCTGACTTTCCGTTTCGGGAGTTCTGAATCAGGGAAAATGACCCATATGACTTTAAATTTGAGGTCTAGGGTTAAAAGTTGATTTTATTACTTGGTTTTCGAAATTTTTGCCTTCTATCGGTCTTATAGTCTGTTCAGATTTTGAATGTCAAGTCGTCACTCAAGCTCCGCCCCTAATGGTGCGATAAACCAATCAGAGAGCAAGCCATCCACAGAGTGTTTTTGAATGACGCCATTGCACTTGACATTCAAAATCTGAACAGACTATATTGAACCTTTAACTTGCCCTTCGCTAGAAAAAGGTCCTTGAAAAGTTTAAAAAAAAAGCGAAAACTACGGTTCCAAAGGACGCTAGAAGCGCTTTTCTGACATTTTTGAGACTTGCTGGTCTTTTCAGACCTTCGGTGATAATTTTAATGAAAGGTCAAGATCAATGGCTACCTGAGAGAGCTCCAGAGAAAGAGAGAACCTTCTATTTCTCAAAATAAAATTTTTTAGGTAACTTTGAGATAAAAAATTCAAAAAATCTCTCAGATCTCATCGGGCAACTCAAGATTTGCATTTCTAACCATGTCACTGGGAAAATTTTTAATGGCCGCTATAGAGGCTCGTCAAGGACTACTTGGAGAGGACACTAAAGTGGCCACTAAACCCACCTCCATAATGGCCACTTCAGTAGTTTTCGATCCAGTAATCCTTCCAGTAACTCTGATAATTTTAAAACAAACAGATTGGACCAGTTATGTTGATCCATTGACCCCTAAAGTGGCCACTAGAACTTTTAGTGGTTTAGTAGTAGCACTCAGACCTAGTGCCCATTACCTTCAACCCCTTAAGTGACCACTATTTTGACTACTATAGTGGCCTCCAAAACGTCAAAACCCTATAGTGGCCACTAAAAATTATCCCAGTCAGTTTAGAAAAAACTATAAAACTGGAAAAATCTGAAGTAGTCCCTCTAGGGCTCAAGACTCTTTACAAATTTTATTCCATTCGGAAACCTCTAAAAAATTTACTCCAGAGTCAAAAAAAGCTAAAACCTGTACAGGAATATGGCGAACTTTCCTAAATTAGACTGAAATTTGCACGTGGAAACCCACATTGCTCTTGTTCTTGACTCCTTTCGGGGTTTTCCTCTCGTTTTTCCTCAAAGACCTCCGGATTTTCTGGTCGTGTTTCTTGACGATTTCCGCCAGCATCAGCTTTTCCTCCTCGTCTTTTACCTGAAGTTTTTTCTTCAGCTTTCGAATAAATTGTGATTATGGACCTCGACGTGGGCCAAAACTTCCTGGTACAGTTCGGCTTGATCCGAATTCAGGCCAACGTGGCTCAAATGTCTGAAAAATCAAAGTTAAACCAAAAAAAGCTTTCTTTCATTTTTTTCATTGAAAATAACAAATATAGATTTTTGAAGAGTTTTCTTTATTAAAAAAACTTCAGTTTTCTAATCAAAAAAACTTCAAAAAAATCATAAATCCCACTTAAAAATCGGTCGGCGCATCGATCTGCAAGGCTGACGGCTTCTTTTTCGGGCCTCTATTGAACAGTGAGGTGAATATTCCAAACCCTGAAAACCAAATAAAAATCATTAAAAAAATCCTGTTTTAAAAAACCTTTTTTTTCTTCTTCTTATCCTTCTTCTCTGTCTTGAGCGTATCACTGGAAGATTGAACTAAAAAAATAACGAATTAATTTCGAAAATTGAAAAAAATACCTTGTAAATTGTTCCCTAGGGTCGTGGTAGCCATAGGAACATGCTGATATATATATAACAAAGAAAAATAGAAAAAAACTTTTTCGAATGTAATACTTCTTGTGGAAGATCCTATTGGAAAAAGACCAAATTGATTTTTTTAAAAAATGAAACTGACAAAAAAATTTCTAATGATAACCCAAAAGAAATTTTTTTTTTCAAAAAAATTACCTTCTGCCAAAGAAAACTGTTCCTATTTCCAGCTTCCGACAGTACGCAATCGCCCATTATTGTATAGAAAAAATAATAAAATAAATACAGAAAATTTCAATTTCTCTAGAAATAAAAATTGCAGAAAATCTAGCGCAAAACGGCCAACAAAAGGTAGTTAAAATGGGAGGAAAGGCAGCGAATCCTTATCAGAAAAAAATTTCCTCCTTTTCCTCGTAATGCAATGCGATAACGTCAAACAAAAACCGTTCGTCCTTTTCTCGAAAAGGAAGTTTTTGCAAAATTACATGGAAAAATTCTCGTGGCCATATTAAAAACTACCTCATTCTCACTGCTTGGCGGGGCGGGTGCCATCCTTTTTGGTGATTTTCGAGCTGAAACAAAAATTTCAAAATGAAGAAGCTAAGGTACTTGAAAAAAAAAACAAAAAAAAAATGATGATAATGAGCGTAAATGTTGAGACGCAAAAATGCACGAACGGCTCTTGTGGTCGTGTATGCAGACTTCAAAACTACCGTAACCCTTTTCGGCGAAATTTCCAGACTTTCGCTTTTCTTCTACAATTTTTCTTGAATAAAACGTGTGAATGGAAATTTTAACAACGCAAATAAATGGAAAAGATTTTGGACAACTATTTTCCACCAATTTCTCTCAAAAAACGAACATTTTCGCTCTGAAACCGCCTCGTGGAACTTCTTGGCCTCTTCCTTGTCGTAGAAATTCAGGCCAAAAGTCTCGAGAGGCTCAATTTCCGTGGAGAAAGTCACCAAATGGTCGTGCTCTTTGGATGTTTGGAATTGGGCGCTCCTGGAAAAATTCAAAATTAATTGATTTTGGGATAGATAAAGGTCGAAGGAGGGTAAAAAAACTCACACGTTTAGGGACCAAGAAACCCTGGCCGACCGACCATCAACCATTACTTCATAAAGGGTTAGTCGATACTTTCTGATTGCGGAATCCTGAAAAATCATACATCTTGTGATTCTGGGTATGTTTGAAATTATTGGATGCGTCGCGGTTGCGTTGCGGGTTGATCTAACTACTTCGCGCGCAAGCCGTTTCAAGTCGGGCGCAATCTATTTTGCTTGAATTAACTCCTTGGCGTGATCTAAGCAAGCCGTTTCAACTCGGGAGCGATAAATGCAATAAATTCTACTCGGTCTTACTTCGTGGCGCGCAAGTCGTTTCAAGTCGGGAGCAATCAATTTTACTCGGTCTTACTTCCTGGCGCGCAAGTCGTTCCGAGTCGGGCACAACCAAACATTTCCGAATTTTTTTCCAAATATCAAAGTCGACAATAACTCGGACTACACTACCGGAAACCGGACGCGCTCCGAAAGTTACAGAGCCATTCTAGGGGTCACTTAAGAGGGCTGACGCTACTAAAGTGGTCACTAGAAATTCCCCAGCACGTCATATTCGCGTAAGAACTTGAACAAAATCGAAATTGATCGAAATTTTCACAAGAAAATGCAAAAATTGAGAACCTTAACAAACGCAATGAGTCCGGGCTCGTGCTCATCGTTCCAAGACCCATTTTTGGCTCGAACCAGACGACAAATCCCCGAGGCTTCGACCTGGAAAGCAAGTTTTCAAACCAAAAAACTCAAACTAACATTTTAGACTATAAAAATGACTGTAAAATGAGAAATTTCTGCGAGAAAATGGGCTCAAACCAACACCAGAAAGGTCACAGGTTCGATCCCAATCCAGATTTTCCAAATTTTTGCCGTTTTTCAAAATTTATTTTAATGCTTTTTTTGAAGAAGAAATGAGGTCAAACCAACAAAATAAAGGTCACAGGTTCGATCCCTCTACAGACTCACATATATTTTGCCATTTCTCAAAATTCATATAAACGCCTTTTTTCGATTCTAGTTCACTTTTAATGCTTTCGAAGTGCTACCAAAAAGGTCCCAGGTTCGAAACCCGTGTAGTTAAAAAATATTTTTGCCATTATTCACCTTGCAGTCGATACCATCCAAAGCCTTCAAGACGCTTTCTTTTTCGTCGTCGCTGAGCCAGGAGCTCAGGCTATGAATCGGGTCATAGGCACTGGAATTTTAGAATATTAATGGATGGGAACAAAGAAAAAAGGCTTGGAAACCTGTTGTACATGGAAGATTTCCGAGATATTGACTTTTCCGGAGGTACCGGCGTATCGGTTGAGAAGAAGAATGAAGGGTCTAGAAAAAATATTTTTTGTTAAAAATGACCTATTTTTTGAATCATAAAATGAAAAAATTGATGCCTCCTACGCGATTTTGAAATATTTAAAGCCGCTTCCTCAAAAGGGGGAAAAATCAATAAGAAAATGTACAATCGTCCAAAATTCACACGTCAAAGATGCGTTATCAGCCGCTTGGCAAAGTGTCTTTTATCGCAATTTTGCGGGACCTTATCGATAAATAATCATCATAAGTCGTTGAAATAACCGAAAAAGGCGATTCATTTAGGTCCAAGAAAGGGGAAAATCGTGAAAGATCAATTTTGAGAATCTTCTCACGATTTCTTCAGGCGAAAGGAGTTGAAATTCGGATAAAATCAAGGTTTTATTTAATTTTTGATTCAAATGAATATGAGTTTAGGATGATATTTGAAGAAATCTGCATGAAAAATCCTCAAAATTCAACAAATTTAATGAGAAAATCCTAGAAATCCTTCAACAAAATTCGTAGAAAAGTTGAGTATAGGATAAAAGCGCCGATTCCAAGAGCGCCGTTCAAATTTAGCGCCAGTCCGCAATGCGCCGTCGCGTGTATGCGCCGTGTATGCAGACGCCGCTTTCTTTTGCGCCGAGTCCGTTTGCGCCGAATCGTTTTGCGCCGTTATTTCAAACTTTTATTTATTCGCTGTTTTTCTATCATTGTTTATTGATTGTGTAGTACACATTCATATACGACTCGAATAATTTTCGCGCCATCCGTTAATGATGAGTTTTAGGTCCACTTTGGTCCAGGTAAAATATTTTTTCCCCTTTTTTCTTTTCAAAGTAAAAATAAAAAAGCAAATATGCTTTTCTGATTTCGAAAAATACAGAAAACGTAAGGAAAAGAGAATGGATAAAAAAAAATTATTGCTTTAAACGACATATTGAGTGATTGCAAATTTTCTGCGTTAGGTAGGGCAAAGTTTCAATTCTAGCAGACGTGAAACAGCAGAAAATCGTTTTTCGTAACGTTGAACTCATTTTCTTGAAACAATAGTTCGAGTTTTTCCGAAAATGCGGCAGAAAGGTCCATATTAACAGATGGCGCGAAAATTATTCGAGTCGTATATGAATGTGTACTACACAATCAATAAACAATGATAGAAAAACAGCGAATAAATAAAAGTTTGAAATAACGGCGCAAAACGATTCGGCGCAAACGGACTCGGCGCAAAAGAAAGCGGCGTCTGCATACACGGCGCATACACGCGACGGCGCATTGCGGACTGGCGCTAAATTTGAACGGCGCTCTTGGAACCGGCGCTTTTGTCCTACACTCGAAAAGTTAAAAATCGACTTCAAACGGAGTTAAAAATACTACTTTGTATTCTCTAAAACCAAAAAAATTCTCATTTTCTCAGAAAAAAATGACAAAAATTAAACAGTTTCCCATTCAATTTCCTTGAGAAAAATCGGGGAAAATGGGTCATTTTCCTTTTTTTCAAAAAGACAAAATTTTCTCCCGAAAACTTGATATAAATCTAGCGATTCATGGGAGAAAATATTCAAGAAAGGAAAAATTTTGAAAAATGAAACGCAATAAACGGAAAAAGGGACGTCGTAATTATCCTGGTAATCTAAAATTTTCCGTTTTTTTAGAAAATAATGAATTTGATGCTGAAGGTCATTTTAAAAAGTCTAGAATAGAAATAATCGAATTAATCCTGAAAGCATATAGCTGATTCACGGCTAGCTTGATTCATCAAAAAAGGGTCCTGACACGATAATGCACGATATAGTGCCTGGTTAGTGGAGAGCGCAGACACGCCACGCCCACTGGAAAGCCAGAATCACTCACCAATGACCGAACTCCTTTTGGTGGAGATTCTGGAGGCGAATGAGGATTTCTCGAACAAGGTTGTCGAATGAAGAAACTCCTTGATTGAGATCCGACGTCTTCTTGACGTCAACGTCGAGATGAGCAACGTCATCTGAAATCTAGAAGTATTGATTCTTCAAAAAAGACGATGGAAGAGCGGTTCAGGAAGGTATATTTCATCGTGGGAAATTGTTGATTCAGGGCTATTCAAGGTCAAAAATTTTCAAGAGTTGTAGAACCTGGTTGAATGAAAATATAATAGTTCACAGTTCACGAAACCTTAAAAAAAGTTCAGGAAAAAAACGGTAGCCTGGGGGGGGGGCGGGGGTTTTGTCAAGTCTTACATTTGAAGGTTTGCCCAAGCCGTTGAATTATCGGACTCTTCATGTATAGGGACCGCAGACCAATTTTCAAAAAATTTTTTTCAGCATTGAGCTTTGTATGGTTTGATAGCTGTTTCGATTCAAAACTCAGAACCGTTTAGTTTTTCGAAAAAGATTGAGGATGAAAAAAGTTATGACGAAAAATGTGGCGCGCCGCGCACCATTTTTTTAGTACTGAAATTTTGGTATTATCCATTTTGACATTTTTCTCGATTTTTCTTCTAGAACAAGTTTTGATACTGGTCTATTATGATGTAACAAATCATAATAGAGTGCTAAAATGATGCTCATCAGCTAGTTTTGCCGAAAAAGTCGGTATTTTTCCAGAAAACAAAAAAACTGACGCTTGCGGGCATCGAACTCGCGACCTCAAAAAGAAAAAAATCGCAGCGCACGCGCTGCGCCAAGCTGCTAGGGTCTAGCAAGGGGAGCTTCCATCCGCCTTTACCCTTGAGCCGTTTAGATAGCACAGATTGCCTATTTCAAAAAAATAAAAACTTGAAGTAATTCAGCTATTTTTTTATCAGAATATGTTCGCAAATCTTTACTCAAACTTTCCGTGAAAATTCACTTCGAAAAAAACTGTTTTTTTAGTGCTTTTTCCTCGTTTAACGATCGCTGCCTTAAAACGGCCCCGTAAATTTTTTTGGCAAAGACGAATTTTTTTATTTTATTCTTTTTAATTGAAAGATTTTTTTCACTAATAAATGTATATAATCGTTTAAAAAACCTGCGTTCGGCCGCTTTCTGTGTGATAAACGCCGCTAATTTTATTCTCTAGTTTCAAGAGCATTTTTGCGTATTAAACAACTATTTCAAGCACAGATACTGTGAAGAAAAATTTAAGTAAGGCCATGATCTAAATTTTTTTAAAAAAACAAAAAAACTCAATTATATTCGCTTATTAACGATATTTTGAATTATGACTTTCGGCGCTCCCTAAAAATTTTTGGCAAAGACGAATTTTTATTTTATTGTTTTAAAAATTTTTCGTTACTTGAATCAAAATCATTATTTAAAAAAGAAAGAGTGCGTTCGACCTGAAAAACACATGAAAAAGCAAAAAATGACAAAATTTTTTAGTTCCATTCACGTTTTTGTACGACATTCCGCGCGAACGCATCAAAAAAGCGTGAAATATTTTTTAAACGAAAGAGGAAGCTTTTCTGTACATGTGTGTCAAATTTTATTCGCCAGTTCCACATATTTTGCAACTACAACAAAATGAAAGTTGAAAACCAAAAAAAAGCCACTTTTTCTATCGCGAAAAGGGGCGTGGCTTTGCGGTCCCTATTCATGTATTCCATGGTTCAGCAGAGAACCTTCTCTTAAGACTATATAAACTTGTGACTTGTAACTTATTCGTTCCTGGTCGCACTTGGAATGACTATCCAGTTCAAGGCCGAAAATTATCCATGGAGCGCAAAAGTTCAATCTCTGGCGGCTATTTCTTCCCACCTACTTTTGGAATCCATTTACTCCGAAAAAAATACACGTCAAAGCTTGAAAACCACTTGGAAAACAAATAAAAAAGTGTCCACAGAAAATGAGAAATCAGAGGAAAAGGAAAACCGAAAAATTATCCATGGAGCGCACAAGTTCCATCATTATACGGCTATTTTTTTACCATACTTTTTCGAGGGTCATTCACTGACAGTAATCACGTCAAAACTCGAAACGGATCACAAATTTCTCCATGGAGCGCGAAAGTTCAACCTCTGGCGGCCATTTCTTCCCACCTACTTTCAGAAGCCATATACTCCGAAATACACGTCAAAGCTCGGAAACCACTTGGAAAACGAATAAAAAAAGTGTGAGGGACAAGAAAAGAGAGCACAGAAAACGGGATATCAGAGGAAAAGAACAACCGAAAAATTATCCATGGAGCACACAAGTTCCATCATTCTACGGCTATTTCTTCCCATATTTTTTCTAGGGTCTTTCACTGACAAGAACCGCGTCAAAACTAAAAACCGATCTCAAAATTATCCATAGAGCGCAAAAGTTCCATCTCTCGCGGCTGTTTCTTCCCACTTACTTTCAGAAGCCATATACTCCGAAATACACGTCAAAGCTCGGAAACCACTTGGAAAACGAATAAAAAGGCGTGGGGGACAAGAAAAGAGATCACAGACCACGGGATATCCTGCAGAGAGAGTGGAAACCCTAAAAATTTATCCATGGAGCGCAAAAGTTCAATCTCTGGCGGCTATTTCTTCCCACCTACTTTCAGAAGCCATTTACTCCGAAATACACGTCAAAGCTCGGAAACCACTTGGAAAACAAATAAAAAAGTGTGAGGGACAAGAAAAGTGTCGACAGGAAGTGCAAGGGAGGGGGTTGTCGAGTCGAGGCGCCACGCCGAGGCGAAATCCTGTTGGCTCCAACGGCCGCCGCCGGGATTATCTGTGTGTCGTCCACCACCGCCACCAACTCAAATCTTCTACCCAAGCGAAGAAGCGAGGCAAAAAAAAAAAACACATGTGAAAAGAAAATAAATACGGCCAAAAAAGTGCCGAACAAATACACAGAGAAAATGTTTGTTGACACGTTCTTCTTCAGCTCCGTTTCTTCTTTTCAGCTTAAGTGGCATATCTGCAGCATAATAGCCTTGAGGAAGTGTCACCTACGAAGTGGAAATGATCGCGAGAAGATATCCGCTTCGAAAAAGGCTTCAGGATGGGCTTCAGTCAAAAATAGTTGACAGAAAGCGAAATTTAATTCAATGAAAGTACACCCTGAAAAAATTAGCCTCAAAAAATAGCCAGCTTGAAGACAGGTACAAAACATTACAGAAATAAGCAAAGAGAACAATTTAAAAAATATAGCCGTTAGAAAACAGCTCGGCTGAAAAACGAGCTCTATCCAAAAAAGGTCTCGAAAATCTATATTTTAGGATTTTAAAAGCATATTCTGACCTATAACTTCCAAAAATAAACCAATATTCTTAGCTTCAAAAATAGCCTCAAAAACAGCCAGATCAAAGAAAGGCTCAAAATACTCCAGAAAAAGGTAAAGAGAACGTTTTTCGCAAAAACAGCCAAGATACGTAAGGGCTGAAAAAGGAGTTTCATTCTAAAAAGCTTCCATAAGCGGATTTTATTAGCTTCGAAAAATAGCCTCGAAAAATAACAAGTTCAAAGGTAGACACAAAATAAACTCGAAATCGAAACCGAACGAATAGCCTTGGAAAAAAAACTTCAAGAAAGCTAGAACTTCAAGAAAGCCTCAAAGTCTAACCTTCAACCTAGAAAAGGTCCCAAGAAACCATTAAAAAAAAGCGATAAGAGCAATTAAAATAAGTACCATTAGAAAAAAAGCCCGGGACAACCAAAAGTCCAAAAATAAATGAGAAAATTTTGGCCTCTTTGACCTTTTTGGACCCAAAAGGGTGTTGAACTGAGCGCTCATCAAAAAAACCGTTTCCCGGAGAAATTTAATACCCAAAAAGAGCAAAAAAAAGCGAAGGACCAAAAATATATACTTGAGGAAAAAAACTGTTTGTTTTTGAGGCCGGAAATTTGACCAATAAAACGAATTCAAAAGCGAAAGCCAAAAAATAAAATAGAGACCATGAAAAAATGAGAAAAAGCTTTTGTAAAATAGCTCTCTGTGTGTCTAGAACCTCTCAATTTGTAACGCTGCTTCCAATTTTTCAAAAATCAAAAGTCTTTTCCATTCAAATTCACTACAAGAAAGTTGAAGCTACATCCAGAAACGATAAAATAAAAAACTGAGGACGTCTCGAAAGTGCGAACACTTCCGAAAAACGTCAAAACAAGCCACCATTCTTCACGCAATTACCTTCTCCTAAAGCCGCTGCAGTTTTCTCCTTTTTTCAGTTCAAAAAAAAGTAGTTTGGCTTCACTTTCTTCGTCCTTGAGAAAGTGTTCGCATATTAAAGGCTGTATGGGTTTTTGGCGGTGTAGGGAATCTTCAAAAAGCGTATTTTAAGCTTGGAAGGTTTACTTATAACTGAATAATCATAATAGAGCTTGAAAAAAAGTTCGAATTTGGGGGTCGAAAAAAATCAGCGTGAGAAGCGCGAGAAAAAAACAATTTTTTTGAGAAGGGGGGAATTATAAATTCAGAAGGGCCACAAAAAAATCAGCGTGAGAAGCGCAAAAAAACAATTTTAGAGAAGGGGGATTACAAATTCAAAACGGCCACAAAAAAATTAGCCGTGAGAAGCGCAAGAAAAAAACAATTTTTTTGAGAGGGTCGGAAACGCCCAGAAAAAAATCAGCGTGAAAAGCGCAAGAAAAAAACAATTTTTTTGAAAGGGGGGAATTACAAACTCAAACGCCCAGAAAAAAATCAGCGTGAGAAGCGCAAGAAAAAAACAATTTTTGAGAAGGGGGATTACAAATTCAAAACGGCCACAAAAAAATTAGCCGTGAGAAGCGCAAGAAAAAAACAATTTTTTTGAGAGGGTCGGAAACGCCCAGAAAAAAATCAGCGTGAAAAGCGCAAGAAAAAAACAATTTTTTTGAGAGGGTCGGAAACGCCCAGAAAAATCAGCGTGAAAAGCGCAAGAAAAACAATTTTTGAAAGGGGGGGGGGGAATTACAAACCCAAACGCCCAGAAAAAAATCAGCGTGAGAAGCGCAAGAAAAAAACAATTTTTTTGAGAAGGGGGGGCGAAATTTGGGACTGTTTGCGTGGTACATACACGGCGACGTCGGAATATGCATAATGGGCGCCGTTCAAAGAGGATAAACAGCGGCCCGTTTTGAGCGATTAGACAAGTCCCGGGGTGAATCTTCAAAACTGAACAAGAAGAACCGACAGAAAATTGCTCTTTTGGATAAGTTTCTAATAGTTTTCCAACCACTTAGGAACGCAAGAGTAGTCACTAGAGGGGTTAGGAGAGCTTCCTTACCTGACAATATTTTTTGGATGAGTTTCAATCGGAACCCATACATTTCCAAGCTAACATCGACCACTTAGAAACGCAAGAGTGGTCCCTAGAGGGGTTAGGAGAGCCTTTACACTCAATAATGAAGTGTTCGTTAAAGGACTAAGTGGTCACTATAGGAATTTACGGTCTGACCCCAAAACCCCTGAAACCTAAGCGGTCCCTATAGTAATCTTCTAATTTTTTTGTGTTTTTAGAATTATTAAAAGGCTTTTAGGGACCACCAGATTGCTTCATTAAAGTGACCACTTATGTAAGCTTCAGAGCCCTTATATGAGAAGATATGATGGTTTCATGAGAGTGGCCTCTGTAGTGACCGCTTAGGCGTTCCTGAGCATTTTAATCAATAAAATCAACATGAATAAAACGAACTTAAAATCTGGAAGTTCTGGAGAAGACTAGATCTATTTATCAACGAGACCAGAAAAATTCAGAAAAAGAGGAAATATCGCCCTTTTCGAAACGTTCGGTTGTTCAAAGGCATAGGGGCAGTAAAAAATGGGGTTTCAGGTGAAAGCAGTATCTTATACAGTTTTTCTTTGCGAATTGAACAGTGTACTCAAAAAATTACAGATGTGACCACTTTTGAAAAAAAAAAACGCTATTTAACTTTTCCGCCTTTAATTTTGAAAAATGCTTTGGATCGGCCTACGGACAAATGTTTACAGTAGCCGTGCACGAGATGTTGCGGACGTATCATTAAACTCGCATTTTGTGTGAAATAACCGGATACCTACGTTGAGTCAAGAGTTTCTTTTCTGAAAAATCAATTAAGAAAACAGAAAAAACACATTGATAATAAATAAAACACAAGTATTCGTTATTCCAATCGAAACCTGTGTAAAATCATCATTTTTCACCAGAAAAGCTTTTTTGCGAACAAAGTTCGCAAATTTCTTATATATAGGAACTTTTGAGGACGAAAAGAATTTTAGTGATAACAGAAAAAATTAAAAACTGAAAGAAACGAAGAGAAAAGCCAAAATCCGGAAAATGGCGAAGCCTGTTGTCCATAGAGCAACTTTACTGCAAAGCGCCCTTTTTGGCGGGAGCTCAAACTTTCCTCTCTCCGACTTTGAATTATTTTTTCTCCAAAACTAAAAATTTCTGTACGTTTTCAATTTCACCATTCGATTCGCAATAAAAAGCTCTACAAAACACTGCTTTTAACGGAAACACCGTTTTTTACTGCCCCTATGCCACGTATTTTGAAAAGATTGCGCTTCCCAAAATAATCTTCTTGGCAAAAAAATCTGAAGAAGCACTTTTTTGAATCAAATGGACAATTTTTATCAACTAGGAAACTGTGAATTCTTAGAAATAAACACTGATGAACCTTCCCTGAATACTAAATAAATGTTCCAGTGGAAAATCGGGAAATTAGAGGACTTTTTCGAGAAAGACCTGAAAGTGTAAACCGTGAAAAACTGTTAAATAGGGTCCTTTTTAGACGTTGAGTCCTTATTTCTTAAAAGCTAGGAAGGTAGAAATTTGCAGGATCTTAATCTGGAAGTCATCAAGAAGCCCCAATCGCTTAATAAAAATACCTTTTTTGTCAATTCTTCCGATCATTGATTCTGATCCAAAAAAAGTTTCAGTTGGTTAAAAATTTTACGAGTGGCGAAAATTGCGAGCAAACTTCATCTCATCATTTTTCATTAAAAAAATTTCCATGCTCCTTCAAAATTTTCCAGAACTTTCAACGCAAAATAATTTTTTTATACACATAGAAACTACATAAAAAAGGAATCAACGACAAAAAAGCAGCCGATTCTTTCCAAATTCGGAAATCTCAGGAGCCTCTCAAACCTCCAATACTCCCAACTCGTTAAAAATACATTATAACCAACATAATCGAATGGATAAAACACCCAAAAAAGGCGCAGAAACGGTCCAAAATCGGAAAATCGGATATAAAAGTCTCAGGAATCGGAACGGACGAGAAAAGGACCGGCAAATTGTTGTTTGTTTCCGTCGCCGGGCGCACGAAACGAAAGAATCGAATTGGAAAACCGTTCGGAGCCGCTGTTGTTTGATGTTTTTGTGCCCCGCTCAGAAGATTGTGCATGACCTTTGGGCTCATCTCTTGAAGAGGGTCTAATTTGTGAGAGAAAACAATTTTATAGTGTATTTGAAACCGTTTTTTTATAAAGTATATTATATAACTAATTCAGTGTCCCCGCCCCCCACTGGTGAATTGAGAGGTCGATACAAGTAGGTACCGGATGTCAACTCAAGTCAATCAGCGTATCGTAATCGGTAGTCATTTGTAGGCGACCGGGTACTATCTCTATGGTACCCGGCCGGTATCTGGATGCTACCGGGTAGGTACCCGGAATTCGCGATTGTTAGTGGCTTGCACATCGGTCGTTTTTATAGCACCAGTGTTTTTTCCCACCTTTCTAAGTCTTCCAGGGTCTTATAGAATAAAGCTGAAACAAAACATAACACCCGGCGAGCAATTCCAGACTTTCCGAAAGAAATCGCGAATGTCAGGTAGCTACCCGGTAGCTACTTGCATCGACCTCCGACCCAGGTACCATAGAGATAGTACCCGGCCGCATACAAACGACCACCGATTACCATACGCCGATTGACTTTTTCAATAGTTGCTACCCGGTAGCTATTCGACTCACCTATGTCCAAATCCGGTCGATAGATCTTCCTAGCTTCCACCTAGCTCTTCTAATAGCTACAAACTTTATACCTTCCTATTCACAATAAATTTCATATAAATCTGAATATACGATTAAAAACTTCCTTTTGAAATTCCCACACCTTTCAGAAAGCTTTTTTAGAAGCTACAGAACCTGCCTTCACATGAAAAAATAACTTGAAAGACAACCTGAGAAGGTTTTTCATAGGGAAAAGCTTTCTAATTGGTAGTCTGACTAGAAATTGAAATGAATATCGGCTTGAAAAAATAATGGTGAATCCTTTTCACGTTCTGAGAAAGTCATAGTTTTGCGATCTCCCATCAATCAAAGCCAACTCTATTTGCTTCCCATATCCGATCCTGTCAATCAGAAGTACAAAGGGACAATTTAAAAGGTGCTAGATCTCGCATTATTAACACCTCCAGGCATTTCCACGCTTTCGGCATATATCATCTTCAAGCGTTTGCCTGGGGACAACAGTGAGAGAAAGGGGCGGAGTTGGGAGTCGGGTCAAGTCCCAAGCTCCTCAGACCTTCATTCTGTCCCAACTTTGCTCTGCCGAGCGGTTGTCCAGTGTTCCCATCTCACTCCATTCGACCATGTCCGCCGTCAAGAGAGACTTCGAGGATTTCCACGGAGAAATGTACGAATCTTCGTACTTTCTCGAGACAGAGCCCATCGCTCCAGAAATTGTGAGTTTCTTCTTTTACTTATCGTTTTTTTTATTTGATACTTAATTCCGAATTAAATATTGACTTTTCAGCGCAAAACCGAGAAGGAACGCCAAAACAAGCGCAAAGTGGCGGGAAAAAGCGGAATCAAGATGGTACGTTATTTCAAATTTCTGAAATATATTCGCTTCAATCACAGAAAATGTCATGTACATCTGAACTAATATGCCAAAATTTCAGGGAAAACAAGTTAAACGCAATCATGAAGGGAAAACGCCAAGCGAGGAGTTCGAGGAGTTCTATCGTAACATGTACGAAGCGTAGCGCATGTACGGTCCTATCGTCAAGAAACCAAAAGTGGAGATCAACCATATCAAAAAGGTTAATTTTTTATAATTTGAAATCATCTTTTCTGGATCAATCCTTGAAGATTGCAAATCACTTCTTCCATAAAATATAGACAGCCTTTTTTGCTTCCATTCAAATTATTTTAAAACCATTTCGAACTATTCATGAACGGAACTTTTCAAAATAACATCGAAAAGGTTCTTCTATACAACTTGAAAAATTTCTCTTTGTTCTAAAGATTTTTTATTCACCTGAGCTAACTTCTCATCGTTATAGGAAATCAACGTCGAAAGCTGCCGTCAAGAGAAGCCGCCGGGCGAAAAATTCGAGGAATTCTACCGGAACATGCCGTCAAGAAGCCGGCAAACGCCTGAATGGTCCATTCTCTCAACTATTAAGAATTTTCACTAGGCTGTAGTAATGATATTGTGATATCCCAAAACGCCTGATTCTATACCCTCCTAGCTTCAAAAGAACCCCCTCTGCTGTGTTGAGCTGGTCCCGCGTATCCCCTCTATCTTTCCTCGACTCCTGCCTGCCTGTTAATTCCCTGTGTCATGCAGCTGACATACCAAACAGGAAGGTCCATTTTTTTCAACCATTAAGAATTTTTTTGCAATAGAAGAACCCCCTCTGCTGTGTTGAGCTGGTCCCGCGTATCCCCTCTATCTTTCCTCGACTCCTGCCTGCCTGTTAATTCCCTGTGTCATGCAGCTGACATACCAAACAGGAAGGTCCATTTTTTCAACCATTAAGAATTTTTTGCAATAGAAGAACCCCCCCCCCTCTGCTGTGTTGAGCTGGTCCCGCGTATCCCCTCTATCTTTCCTCGACTCCTGCCTGCCTGTTAATTCCCTGTGTCATGCAGCTGACATACCAAACAGGAAGGTCCATTTTTTTCAACCATTAAGAATTTTTTTGCAATAGAAGAACCCCCCTCTGCTGTGTTGAGCTGGTCCCGCGTATCCCCTCTATCTTTCCTCGACTCCTGCCTGCCTGTTAATTCCCTGTGTCATGCAGCTGACATACCAAACAGGAAGGTCCATTTTTTCAACCATTAAGAATTTTTTGCAATAGAAGAACCCCCCCCGTCTCTGCTGTGTTGAGCTGGTCCCGCGTATCCCCTCTATCTTTCCTCGACTCCTGCCTGCCTGTTAATTCCCTGTGTCATGCAGCTGACATACCAAACAGGAAGGTCCATTTTTTTCAACCATTAAGAATTTTTTTGCAATAGAAGAACCCCCCCCTCTGCTGTGTTGAGCTGGTCCCGCGTATCCCCTCTATCTTTCCTCGACTCCTGCCTGCCTGTTAATTCCCTGTGTCATGCAGCTGACATACCAAACAGGAAGGTCCATTTTTTTCAACCATTAAGGATTTTTTTGCAATAGAAGAACCCCCCCCTTTGCTGTGTTGAGCTGGTCCCGCGTATCCCCTCTATCTTTCCTCGACTCCTGCCTGCCTGTTAATTCCCTGTGTCATGCAGCTGACATACCAAACAGGAAGGTCCATTCTCTCAACAATTAAGAATTGTCTCTAGACTATAATAATGATAATTCTTTATTTATTATTTCTGAATCTCAATTGTTCTTCTACTCATGTTCAATGTGGTTTCATCATTATTATCAAAGTTCATATTCCCTAATAACTTTTGCTGTTTTATTCTTACTTTTGATGTGTTCTCCTTTCAAGGTTGTCATTATATCCTTTTGAGTCCTAGTTTTATTTTAAAATCTCATAATGTTTCTTCCCTTAAGTGACCTCTCAGTTCACCTCAATACCTCATTTCCTTATTTCTTATTCACTTTCCACATATCACTTTTATCTACGGGCTTAATTATCTTTTGCTCAATTATTATATTTTTCCGGGTTCATTTTCCAATCCTTTGTTATTTTTCTAATGAGTTGTTTCTTATTTATTTATTCATGACTTTATATTCCTGTTATTCTTGTTGGTAATTTTAATAAAACCCAAAAAACCCCTGCAACAATGTTCAAACGCATCAGAAAGAAGAAAATAGACATGGAAAATCACATGAAAGCTAAAAATCTTTTCGAATCGACTCGGACAGTAAAACAGACTACAGGAAATTCTCAACTTTCGGCTCTCCGTAAAAAAAATTTGTTTCTCTTCTTTTTCAAAAAGCTCCAAAAAATAACTCAATGAATTGAAACTAACCAAAGTCAGGAGCTGGGTTAAACAGAAGTTGTCGGATGAATGTGTAGGAAAGCAGACGGAAAATCGAAATATCAGGAACAAAAGTCGACGTCAACATATTCAAAAGGTCTGGAAGAAAGGATAGTTTGAAAATTGAATGGAAATAGACGATCTCAGAAATTAGTTTTATGGTGGGCAAACCTCGATTTTCCGTTAAACTGAACCAGAGGGCGTGGAAATTGGTCAGATTGTAGGGGCATATATCAATATGATTTTATCGAAACAAGATAGCAAACGCATTTTAAATGCATCCGGGGGGTGCGCCAGCGAATATAGCGAAAGCACTTTGAAGGGTTTTCTCTTTGAAAGGTTCGCAGCTTGAATTTAGTCTCGATTACTTCTTATCTAGAGATTAGGTATCCTATCATACAAAATGTTCGCGTCGGGTGCGTACTTTTCCAAGGCGGGTGCCCACTTTTTCAAGGGGGGTGCCCACTTTTTCAAACGGGTGCGCACTTTTTCAAGGGGGTGCGCACTTTTTCAAGGGGGTGCGCACCTTTCCAAGGGGGGTGCCCACTTTTCCAAGGGGGTGCCCACTTTTCCAAGGGGGTGCGCACTTTTCCAAGGGGGTGCCCACTTTTCCAAGGCGGGTGCGCACTTTTCCAAGGGGGTGCGCACTATTTCAAGGGGGGATGCGACGAGGGACGTCACACATAAAAAAAGTGGCCTGATAGTAAGAAATAAAAAAATGCAAAATTCAGAAAAACCTGTTCTCTACAACTTGTTCTGCAAAGAAAAAAATAAAGACGACTCTCTAAAAATTTTTTTATTTTTTTCATGACAATGTATTTTCAAAAAAATCAATTCGCTAGATATAAAGATTCTAATTAACCACCGAGTTTTTTTCAAGATTATCACAGAAAAACCTCAAAATAATAAATGAATCACCTTTTTTTTCAAGTTGAGAAGTCATTGAGAACGTTAATGGTCGGTTGTGGAAAAATTGGTGGAGAATTAAAAAAATATACGGATCAAAAAGGAGAAGTCGGCGAATCTTCAACAAGCCTGAAAAATTGAAATATTGAAATCACTTCTAAACATCAAATAAATCAAATCAAGTTATTTTTTTGAAACATCGAGATGATGTGACGATGCTGCAGGGGTGCTACGACTCCAAAAATTCTCTTTTTAGTTTTGAAGATATGCATTGTTAAAGCTTGTGATTTATGCAGAAGACCAGTTTTGAAACCAGAAAAAAAAACAAGTTTTATCAAGAAATGACACTTTGAGCTGCGGCCAAAATACAGCTAAAACTTCGATAAAATAAGTTTCTTCAAAAACTTTCTCCATTCAAGCTAAACTTCTTGAATGGAGAAAGTTTTTGATCAATAAAATCATTAATCTTTTTCAATAATATTCTTTCCAATCTTGACAAGAATGTTAGTTTTTAGTTCAGAGTTGGTTTTCCACTTCCTACTTTTTTTAAACAGTTTGAGTCAGAATTTTCTGCTTTCTAATACAGTTTTGATGCATTAAAACTGCATGAAGCTCAAAATCGAAATGGAAAAAGCGCTAATGTCGTAGAACCATAATTTTCTATAAGTTGCTCAAAAATTCCTTTTGATTAAAATACCTCGAAGTCAACTACCTGCGCAAACTTCAAGCTTTGATGACATTAAATTTTAAAGCAATTAAAATAATTAGTCTTATCAAGAAATGAAACTTCAGCTGAGGCCAATATAAAGCTCAAACGTCAATAAAATGAGTTTCAGCTGAACTTTTTAAAGGGAGAAAGTATATTTGATTATTAGTGTCCCGACAGTTTTGGAATATTTTCCTCGAATCGATCTTGACAAGGGAGTTAATTTGAAGTTTGTTTTTTTTTTTTTTTTTTTTTTATTCAAAGTACATTCACCATGGGCCTGGGAAAATATCGCATGGAAATATGATTAGCGAAATAGCGTGCAGAAAGAAGAGATTCAGAAATAACTGTAGTCTCTTTCGTCTCAAGCTTGTCTTGAATGGAATGAAAGCTAGTAACACATTTTTAATAGCAAATCCGAAGAATCTTCGATATTTAATAAGAGAATGGTTTGAACCAAAACGCGACAAAAACGGTCAAAAAAAAAAAAATCCTGCGTGAGGTACAGATTCTCACGGGAACGTTGATTTTCTGTTACTGTTTTCCGGGCAATAAAGCCAAAAAATTGATTTGAAGGTTAATTTTTCTGGCTTCAACCTCGCATTTCTTTGGCTTCAACCTCGCAACCCTAACATCGCATTTTTGACGAATCAAATAAACTTCCGTAATTTTTTTAGATATAATAATTTATTAACAGATCAGGGTGTACACTAACATGCTCCCTAAGGTAGCGACCGCAAAGCCCCGCCCCTTTTCGCGAGGGAAAAAAGGCCATTTTTTTGGTATTCCGTCTTTGTATGTTTCGTACAGCCGATAGAAACAATGAAAAAAGATGAAAATTTCAGCATAAATGTAGAAAAGGTTCCTCTTTCCGTTGAAAAGGTTTTTAGGTACTTTCCATGTGTTTCAACGGAGTGTCGTACGGAATAGTGAGGCGAGTTCGAAAAATAAACTTAATTTTGCGTTTTGATATTCATCTACAGTACCGCTCAAAAGTATATTAAGTTTTGGTTTTTTGAGGATATCTCAGCGAGTACTTATCCGATTTATATATAACTTTCAGGGATTATGTAAAAATATACTTTGAAACATATACGGTATACAAATACATGTCCGCAATCACTTTGACGCGTTTTAGGCATTTTTTTTTAATTCAATTTTTTTTTGTTTTTTATGCTTTTTTAAAATTTATTTTTATTAAATTTTTTAAAAGTAATAATGTTGCCATATGTTTTTTTCCATGATTTCAGACATGAGAAGAACCTCTGGAAAAAAGAATTTGACTGATAACGACAAAAGAGCCATCGTTGTGGGTCGTCAAAATGGACTGACCATGATGACGTTGGCAGGAATGTTCGGCGTGACAGAGGCGTGCATTTCTCAGTTCCTAAAGCGTCGGAAAGCTCAAGATGGCTCTACTAAGAGCCAACGCACTGGAAGACCACGTGTCAGTGAGGTGGTATGAAAAAAACACCAGCGAAAATTCATACGGCGACTTTTCCGATTTTTTCGTATCGCTAGGGAACTTTCCGACGGCCACCTTTCCGACGGATCCCTTTCCGACTTTTTTCCCTCATGTTTTTCGGTTTATAAAACATTATAAAATTTTTTTCCCTGTTTTTTTTGTGTTTTATTCATGAACCAACTACCTACTTTATATAGGGAAATTTAAAACGAAAATTTTTATCGAGAAAAAAAGTCGGAACAAGATTCGTCGGAAAGGTGGCCGTCGGAAAGTTCCCTAGCAATATGAAAAATCGGAAAAGTCGCCGTTTTAATTGTCGCTGGTCTTTTTTTCATACCACCGTCAGTGATCGTAATGACGATAGAAACATTTTGAAGACGTCCAGAACCAATCCAAGACTCACCGCCCCTGCGATCAGACAGGAAGTTTTCTTGAATTCGCCATCTCCGCCATCCGTCTCGACCGTGAAACGACGTCTGCTGCTGGAATCATGAGAAGACGTCCAGTGAAGAAACCGCTGTTTCCTGGAAAGAATCGAGCCGCCAGGGTGAAGTGGACGAAGGAGCATCTCAACTGGACCCGTCAAGGCTGGAACAAGATTCTGTGGTCCGACGAAACGGTCCTCCACCATGTTTCACAGTGAGTAAGTGGTATTTCGGATGATATCTAGACCCAATTGGTCTACGAACCCACTGAATTCCATCACTCCCGAAGAGGAGGAACTTGTTTTCGTCGGACCACAGAATCTTGTTCCAGCCTTGACGGGTCCAGTTGAGATGCTCCTTCGCCCACTTCACCCTGGCGGCTCGATTCTTTTCAGAAATAAGCGGTTTCTTCACTGGACGTCTTCTCATGATTCCAGCAGCATTGAGACGTCGTTTCACGGTCGAGACGGATGGCGGAGATGGCGAATTCAAGAAAACTTACTGTCTGATCGCAGGGGCGGTGAGTCTTGGATTGGTTCTGGACGCCTTCAAAATGTTTCTATCGCCATTACGATCACTGACACGTGGTTTTCCAGTGCGTTGGCTCTTGATAGAGCCATCTTGAGCTTTCCAACGCTTTAGGAACTGAGAAATGGACGCCTCTGTCACGCCGAACATTCCTACCAAAGTCATCATGGTCAGTCCATTTTGACGACTCACAACGATGGCTCTTTTGTCGTTATCAGTCAAATTCTTTTTTCCAGAGGTTTTTCTCATGTCTGAAAACATGAAAAAAAAACATATGGCAACATTATTACTTTTAAAAAATTTAATAAAAATAAATTTTAAAAAAAGCATAAAAAACAAAAAAAAATTGAATTCAATAAAAAAATGCCTAAAAACGCGTCACAGTGATTGCGGACATATCTTTGTATACCATATAAGTTTCAAAGTATATTTTACATAATCCCTGAAAGTTATATATAAATCGGATAAGTACTCGCTGAGATATCCTTAAAAAACCAAAACTTAATATACTTTTGAGCGGTACTGTAGGTCGCGGACAAGGTTGATTTTTTGAAAACTACTTATAAACAGTAAATGCAATTTTTTAAGCCAAAAAAATAAAAATTCTATGTTCGCCGAAAAAATTGAGAGGCGCGCAAAGTCAAAAATTGTTTTCTCAATTGCAATGCAGTATTGGAAGATGTTTATGCTTTTTTCATATTGAGAAAAACATTGCTCAAATAATACTTGTTGAAAAACTACAAGCAAATGTACTGTTTTGAGTGGTAAAAAAGGTGGAGAACTTTTTGGGAGTGATTTTGAAACATTTCCCGGTCGAAGACACGCGTTTTTTTCTTACTCATTTATAAGAGTTTTTTTAATTTTTCAAACAAATAAAAGCAATAAAATCGAAAAATTCAAGATCGCCGAAAAAAATTTTTCTCAACAAAAAAAGGTGAATAAAAAGTAGGCGAAATTACATTTTTTTATGGGATTCAAAGAGCACTGTAGGCTGTATTTGTGCAGTCACTGAGACGAAAAATGATGGTAAAGTGGAATTACAGCTCGTAAAACCTTCTCTTTTTGGCTCCTGAAACCGTGCCGCCCTTTGCAAATAAGAGTGCGCGCAGATTGCATGAGAATTCGCAAAACCAAAAATTTCAGTGCAAACATTTTTTTGCTTTTTCAATTACTTTTAAATATTGTTTTTCTCCTCTTATTCTTAATATTTTTTTCGTTTTTTTCTTTTTCTGTTTTCGCATACTACATGTTAAAAATCATTATTTTTTTATAACAAAAACGAGGAGCTAGCTTGAGTTCGAAAAAAATAGGTCTGTGGTCCCTACTCTAAGGTATAAGATTCAACACAGGCAAACTCCAAACGGCCTCAAAGAGCCTTAAAAAGAAGAGTCTAAAACTCCTTTTTGAGTTCTTAGAAAGGTGTCAAAATTTTCTCGGAATCTCCTTTTTTCCATCTTTCTTCTTTCCGCCTTTTTTACACTTCCTTGAAAGGTCTAGAAAAAAAAACGCCTTTGAGGCCTTTTTCCAAAAATTCTTTTTGAGACCTTTCTGACTTTGTCCGTGCATTATACAACTTCAAATTTAAATCTTGGAGGAACAGATACAAAGAAAAAAATTCGAATATTGGCAGATTGAGAAGTAATTTTTTTTAAATGCTCTGGACGTTGGAAAGTGAAAAAATGCGCTTCAGGTTTCATAACATCAATCGTTTTCAATATTTTCGAACTCTGAAGACTAACTAGGGAACTTTTTTAGAGAAAGAACAGTTACCTAATAAGATAAATAATTTTTTTCCAACATATTTGTTTCGCAAGAAGTTCAAAAAAGCGAAAAAGTTGGAAAACTTCGTGGGGGCTTTCAAAGATAGAAAAGTGATTGGAGTGGTCGCAGCCACGTATGCTCGCTTTCCGTATAATAAACATATTCCTCATTTTTTTTTTGTTCTTCTGTCAATATTTCATGATAACTGTCGTTTCAAACAATTGTAAGTGCGAATTATCTAATTAAGAAGTCCAAAAAAATTCCATTTCACTGAAATTGTCTCACAAGGAAGATCCTTTTACTCAGTCGTTAGTAAATTCCTGAAAACTGGCCAGAATACTCCTTGATGTACTAGAGTAAGTCTCAACCTGCTCATCTTCCTAGATTTTGAAAAAATAAAGGTTCAAACCCCCAAGCTACACATTTTAACAAATTTTGAGGTTTTCTTTAACTTTGAGGTGTCCTTACTCAAAGAATAGAGAGTTGACAAGGTTCAGGATTCTAGGATTTTTTTTGTGTCATCAAGGAGTGTTCTAGCCGCTATTTCAGGAAATTCCCACCCCTCAAGACCTCACGAATATATCGACCGAATTTCGAAATTTTTTCGAAAAGACATTCATACTAGCCAACCAAAAATCTCCTCAAACAACATTTATGAATTTTATTTTTTGATCTTTAGAAATAGAAAGACTCTAAAGACCTCTCGTTTTCGAGTTAGGACCCTTCAAAAGTCCGAAATAGCGCTTTTTTGTCCTAATTTGCGTATGTTGCACACTTTGAAGCTCCATAACTCGGAAACAAGATCTATTGCGAAAAATATTTTTTCTTGCTCTGCAATCAGAAGGCCCTATAGCACCTTTTAGCTTTTAGGGGGGGACGTTTTCTTGTTTGTCCTGAGAGTTCGGAAATAATAAAAACGATTAAAGTCTTGTAATCAGAGAAGCGCATTTTTCCACTTTCCATCGTTCAAATCATTTAAAAATTGACTTCTCATTCAATATTCGAGTTTTTTTGTATCTGTTCCTCCAAGGCTCAAATGGGAAGTTTTTATAATGCACGGGCAAATTCAAAAATGTCTCGAAACGTACTTTTGAAATAAAGATGCCTTTTTCTAGACCTTTTTCTGAAAAGGACCTTCAAGTAGGTGTAGAAAAAGAAGGAGGAAACAAGGTGGGAAAAAGAAGATTCCGAGAAACTTTTGACACCTTTTTAAGAACTAAAAAAGGAGTTTTAGACTCTTCTTTTGAAGGCCCTTTTGAGGTCGTTTGGACTTTGCCTGTGTTGAATCTTATACCCTAGGGAGCATTTTAGTGTACACCCTGATCTGTTAATAAATTATTATATCTAAAAAAAATTACGGAAGTTTATTTGATTCGTCAAAAATGCGATGTTAGGGTTGCGAGGTTGAAGCCAGAAAAATAAAACTTCAAATCAATTTTTTGGCCTTTTTGCCCGGAAAACAGTAATAGAAAATCAACGTTTCCGTGAGAATCTGTACCTCACGAACGATTTTTTGACCATTTATGTCGCGTTTTGGTTCAAACCATTCTCTTATTAAATATCGAAGATTCTTCGGATTTGCTATTAAAAATGTGTTACTAGCTTTCATGCCATTCAAGAAAAGCTTGAGACGAAAGTTACTATCGTTATGTCTGAATCTCTTCTTTCTGCACGCTATTTCGCTAATCATATTTCCATGCGATATTTTCCCAGGCCCATGGTGAATGTACTTTGAATAAAAAAATTTAAAAAAAAAAAAAAACAAACTTCAAATTAACTCCCTTGTCAAGATCGATTCGAGGAAAATATTCCAAAACTGTCGGGACACTAATAATCAAATATACTTTCTCCCTTTAAAAAAAGTTCAGCTGAAACTCATTTTTATTGACGTTTGAGATTTATATTGGCCTCAGCTGAAGTTTCATTTCTTGATAAGACTAATTATTTTAATTGCTTTAAAATTTCATATCTTCAAAGCTAAAAGTTTGCGCAGTTAGCCTTGAGGTATTTTAATGAAAAAGAATTTTGAGCAACTTATAGAAAATTGTGGTTCTACGAACTAAAACTGAACTAAAACTGACTTTTTTGTCAAGATCGATTCAAAAAAAATTACAGACAACAAGCAGTACAATATTAATAAAAAAAGGAACATTTCCCCTTCGAAAAGTTTAGCTGAAACTTATTTTATCGAAGTTTAAGCTTTACTTTTGGCCTCAGCTGAAAGCTTCATTTCCTAGAAAAAAATCCAAAAATTTTATGGTTATCAAGAAAGACTTACATAGTTCAAAATTTCTCAAAGATTACAAATAGGCCTCCTTTATTCTGCCGCTACTTTTTGTATTCAGCTACCTCCCGCCAAATTTATTTGAATGTGTAGTTGGTTTCCCACATTCACTCCTGTCAGCCCGAAGTAAAAAAGGACATCTTTGTTTGTTTCACATATTTATTTGTGTACCCAGACAATCGGAAGTACAAAAGGATCAATTACAAAACGTGCTAATTCTCCTACTGACATCTCCACGAGTTGTTCATGCCTCTGGCAATCATCACCTTTGAAAAAAAGTCCTCATTCTTTCAATGTTAACTTTGAAAAAAACTCATTTATTCTCGAAAAATCTGATCAAGACGCTTTTTTTCAGAGTTTTTTTATAACTAAAAAAATCGTAAACCAGTTTTTTTCAAACCTGTCAAATCTTTTTTTCCGATCTTATTGAATTTCAAAAAAACGGCTTTAAAATGACCCCATTGTGGCAGCTCCTTTTCGGAATTTTTGCCGAGAAAAAAATTATTATAAATTATCGACTTTTCAACGAGCAACGAGACTAGGAAAAATATTTCGAAATGGTTAAAAAAAATGCTGAAGCGCAAATTCTTGACAAGAAGCGCTTTTATCAAAATTTACAGATCTATTAAACTTAAAGTTTATTTTTCTATTCGTTTTCCAATTTCTCTTTGGCAAATGATGAGGCTAAAAAAACTCCGTTTGAAAGCACTATGAAAAAAAGATCATAGGTTTGAATATAACGTATTTCTGACCCGTAGAAGTTCAAGCCCCAATTTTCCTTCTTAAAAAAAGATTATTTTTTTCTTAATATCTACAAAATCTGCAAAAAAATCCGTCCTTTTCCTATCTTTTTTTATTTTAATATTTCATATGATCCAAAGTTTTTAAATATTTCTCGGAATTCAAATCTTCCTAATAAGGGTTTCCGTCGTACCCATTACTTTTTTCCACACCGACACAATTTCCCATGTCTCATCTTTATAATTCCCGTCAATCAAAAAAAAACCTACAAAAGCGATCTTTGTTTGTTTCCCATTCTTCTTGTACACTTTATCAATCGGAAATACCAAAGGATCAATTACAAAAAGTGCTAATTCCCCTACCGACATCTCCACGAGTCGCCTTTGCCTCTGGCATTTATCCCATATTGAGCGTTTACCGCCTCAAGACAAACAAAAGGTGCCAAACGTGGGCGGAGTCGAGGGTCGGGCCAAGTCCCAAGTTTTTCAGATCTTCATTCGGTCCCGACTCCACTCTGCCGAGCCGTTGTTCTCTGTCCTTTCGAACTCTACTTTCGTTTGCTACTTTGCCAAGAGGTTGGTTTTTTTTTTTCGTTTATTATATTTTCATTCTTCTCTAGCTTGTACTCCTTTTCCCAGAAGAGAATGTAGAGTTTGATAATTTTTTCTAAAAAAACCCGATTTCATTTTCTTTTTTTAATTTTCCCAAGAGCACCTTTATATAGAGCTTTTAACATCAAAGTTTCAAAATTTTAGTAAATTGCTTCAAACAAGATATTTTTTTTCCACTCTAAAATAGAGGTTTTGTAATTTTGAAGCTTCCCTAAAAGCGATTTTAGAATATTGAAATCATTCTCATTTCAATCCAAAAAAATGGAAGGAAAATGAGAAATTTTTTTCTATTCTGTATTTTTATATTTTTGTGTTTGAGTGAGATAAATAAAATAAATAAATAAAATCGGTAAAAATTGATGAAACTTCCACCCTCTTTTTGTTCTGATTCTCAAAAGTTCAATGTCGGACTTTTACAGAACTAAAAATGTACCAAGACGAACTGACCGCTGCCGAAATCATCACGCCGCCAATGTTTGAAAACGAGAGACTCCTCGACGAAATGGTTAGTTCCTCATTTCATTTTTTTATAGCCTCCTTTTTTCTAAGCTTTTCATTCTGTACCGTACAGAAGTAAGAAGGAAAATATTGGTTTATTTTTCAAAAAAACACCAAAAAAATAGATTTTGAAATTTTGTAAGAGCTACGTAATTATGTAGAAAAAAAATTTGGTGGTTTTTTGAAGGAATTTACCACTTGAAAGTTCATATTTTTTTCAAGTCGTCATGAACCAAAAATTCCGAAAAATTCCAAAATCTCAAAACAAGAAACATTTTTTGAATGATAACTTTTAATTTGACCGGTTAAAAATGGGCAGTACTTTAGAGTTTATTTCATCACAAAAAAGTGGAAAATTTCAAGTTTTAGCGTCAGAATCAAGTATGCATTTTTAGGCCGATACTTTTCCGAACCAGGATTTTCCGAATCGAAATCCGAACCGATACTTTTCCGAACCGTACTTTTCCGAATCGGGTGTATACTTTTCCGAACCCAAATTTATTATGCTTTTCCGAATCGTAATTCAATTAATTCTTCAGGTGGTACCGTCATTTTCAATCCGATTCCTTATAATTTTTTTCCCAGAGTGCAGCCTTCCGTCTGACCATTTACGAAACTCGAATAGGATTCATTTTTCCTCGAGTGCTCTTTCAGAAACTTTTTTTCTTGGTTCTTTCGATTTAAGAACGGACTGTGGCATCGCCAATGCCAACGGTCCGCTCTGAAGTTGACTGGCCCGTTTTCGTCTTAAAAATTTGAACTTGGAAAACAGTTTCAAGATTCGAAATTTCGGTGTGCAGGAAGGACTTTAAATCCGCAAGTGCTCTTCAGAGCTGACCGTTGGCATTGGCGATGCCACAGTCCGTTCTGAAATCGAAAGAACCAAGAAAAAAAGTTTCTGAAAGAGCCCTCGCGGATTTAAAGTCCTTCCTGCACACCGAAATTTCGAATCTTAAAACTGTTTTCCAAGTTCAAATTTTTAAGACGAGAACGGGCCAGTCAACTTCAGAGCGGACCGTTGGCATTGGCGATGCCACAGTCCGTTCTGAAATCGAAAGAACCAAAAAAAAAAGTTTCTGAAAGAGCACTCGAGGAAAAATGAATCCTATTCGAGTTTCGAAAATGGTCAGACGGAAGGCTGCACTCTGGGAAAAAAATTATAAGGAATCGGATTGAAAATGACGGTACCACCTGAAGAATTAATTGAATTACGATTCGGAAAAGCATAATAAATTTGGGTTCGGAAAAGTACACAACCGATTCGGAAAAGTACGATTCGGAAAAGTATCGGTTCGGATTTCGATTCGGAAAATCCCGGTTCGGAAAAGTATCGGCCCATTTTTAAGTTAAAACTCGGACATTGGTAACGCGAAACGAGGCATTTCTAGTGACCACTTTAGTAGCGCCAGTCCTCTCAAGTGACCCCTAGAACTGCACAGAAACGTTTCCCCTTACGAATGTCCGAGAATGAACATATTTCCAACAGCTCAAAGATATTTTTGAAAATATTTTCCATTCTTAAAACTTAATTTTAAGCCAGGACTAAACCTCATCAAAATTCCAGGAAGAACACGAGAAGTACTGCCGCTTGGGAGAAACGCCGGCGCTCTTCTTCAACCAGGAAGAAAAGGAGGCGTACTTGAGAGACTTTTGGCCCAAGTCGGAGGAGGAAGACGAGCCGGAGCTGCTCAAGCTGACGGAGGAGGACCGGAGCCCGAAGCCGAAAGGAGACTCGCCTTCCGAGGAGCATCTTTTCGAAGACGACGAGGAGATTTCGAAGGAGATGGACCTGCCGCCAATCTCCCCAATGCCACTAACTCCTCTGCCTACTTTTGATTTTGTGCCGATTTTCTTTCCAGAACGATACCCAATAGAGTTCACGCCAACTCTCTCCACCCTCGTACCTCTGACCACGGATCTTCTTGTAGGAATGAAGCGGCTCGGAATCCCTCAAAGTGAGGCTCCGAACGTCATCTCTCAGTTCTTTTTGGATCATGGTTTAGTGCCAGATCTCATCTCTCAAATTAATTCCACTTAAGTGTCGCCTTCACTACCGCATATTTTGATTTTGCCTATGATTGATGACTATTTATTGATTTTTCCTGATTTTATTTTTTGGTCATTCTCAAGCTTGATCACTACCTTCTCTTCAACATAATAGCGTTTTTTCTCGATTTATTCATTAAACCTTTTTACGGCTTATCTTAGTGTCTTGTCGAACTCCGGGCTAAGTTACCTACAGGTTTTATCACTTATTTCCGAATCCTATGATTTGCTGTAATCCCTATTCTTGAATTCAATAAACCAATCTCTCAAACTACTGTTGGAAAGCAATTGAAACTGAATAAGAGGAAATTTCATCCTTGATCGTCTCAGTCATTACAAAGAAGTTATTACAAAGAAGATTATTTTAGTTTTCGGTGGGAATTTTCTGAAAATGGGTCAGAAATTTTTTTGATGTATCAGTAGAAGATTCTGAAAGTCTTAAACTCCTAGTTTTTGCGAAAGGATACCTCAAGGTCAAATAAAACCCTCATAATCAGATAAAATAGGCTACAAAAGGGATCGTTTCTCGTAAACTAAAAAGTTTGGTTGTTGGAAACTCCGAGAGCAAAGAAAAATGACCTTGGTGGTTAGAAAATTTTCTAGTCATTTCCTAAATTCAGAAGTTTGAAAGTTAAGCCGACCAAAACTCGCATATGTGAGTTTGGGTACCAGGCCTGCAAATCTTAATCTTAGAAAAATATCTCGTAAGACTATTTACTACTAAAGAGGTTGCTTATAATGTCTTCTAAAACGTTTTCAGAAAAATATTGGACATGTGAAGCTGGAAAAAAATTGAAACATAAATCGATTGTTTTGAAAGTATTTTTTCGATACAAAGTCGTCTTTTATTGTTAGCTTCTGAGAAAGAAAAGAAACCAGCTTCATTTCGGCTCCTCGCCCAGCTTCTCGGCGACGATCTGCTGCACACGATGGTTGAATTCTCGGATCATGATGTGTTTGGAGCGAGCATGCTGGTTCTTTTCCGCTGATTCTTTCTTGTTGCGAATTGGGATGTACCTAAAGAGACAAATTGGAAAAAAAAAATGAAGAAGATATTAGAAATTGTCTGAATTGTCTGCAATCTCTTTTCTCTCACCGGCGAGGTCTGGGAAAAATTTTTTAGTGGACGTTTTAGTGGCCACTATAGGGTTTTGAAGGCCACTATAGTAGTTGAATTAGTGGTCACTTAAGGGGTTGAAAACTAGTGGCCACTAGAAAGGTCTAAGCGCTACTACTTGACCACTAAAAATTTTTGTGGCCACTTTAGGGGTCCATAGTTCAATATAACTGGTCCAATAAGTTTGTTTCAAAATTATCAGAGTTACTGGAAGGAATGAAAAACTACTGAATTGGCCAATAAATAGAAAACCTCTATAGGGGCCCCTAAAACGGAAAACAGTGGCCACTATAGAGGTGGTTTTAGTGGCCACTTTAGCGCACTCTCTAGTCCGGGGGAGCCTGGCACAAAAAATTTTAACAGTATAGTCCGTCCGACAGTTTTCGCGTGTCTGCGTCTCTCTGTTCCCTCACCGGCGAGGTCAGAGAAATGTGGAAATAGCACATAGACATGAGAGAGACGTCGAGAGATAAGGAGGGCGCGGAGAAGTCCCGCCCTTTCCAGTCGCGAAAAACGGACTGCGCACAAAAACAAGAGCGCAGAGGAATCAGACCGTTAGGAACTCAAACTTTTCAAAAGCCTCCTCCCAGTTGCCGGTCAAATGGACGTGGTGCAAAATTGCGTGAACGGCGGTCAGTGTCAAGAATTTCGACCCGGACTTGAACCTAGAAGTACCAATTCGACTTTTTCAAAGGTAAGAAAGTTAACTCGATGAATTTGTCGATGGGAAGCCGTGCAGAACGGACGCCAGCAGAAGAGGCCGCCTCAAAGGAGGCTTTCCTGGGGATTTTTCTCTCCACGACCCGATCGACGATCCCGCCCAGCACGTATACCTGGAAAAATTGGAATTTGAGGGATGTAGACATGGGAGCTCTGTGGCGCGTGAGCCTGTCTACAGTCCAAGGGGTCAAAAGTTCAATCCCCGCCGCGACATGAGCAAGGGCTGAGACAGGACGCATAAATCAGCTCGAGTGCCCTGTAAATTGGAGATACCAGAACCGTGCAGTCCACACCTTACGCACTGTCTAAAAACCTGCACGCTCCACTTTCTACGCACTGTCTGAGGGCCTGCACCCAATTCAAAGGAAAATAGCATCTCCTTAGATAGTGTGTAGAACGAGGAGAGTATAGTCTGGTCTCTCCAAGTTTACCGTGTTCTCTAAACTGATATAGCCTGTATTGCAGGGTCTAGAAAAACGGCAGGGCAGCGCATTCATCAGCTTAGAGAGCACTGTAAATTGGAGATATCAGAATTGTACAATCCACGTTCTACGCACTGTCTATGGACCTGCACGCTCCACTTTCTACACAGTCTCTAACGACCCTATTCAAAGAAAAATGGCATCTCCTTAGATAGTGTGTAGAACGAGGAGAGTACTAGTCTGGTCTCTCCGAGTTTACCGTGATCTCTACACTGATTTATGCGGCCTGTCTCAGCCCTTGCTCATGTCGCGGCAGGGATTGAACTTGTGACCCCTTGGACCGTAGACAGGCTCACAACCTAGCGCAATAGCACTTCCAACTCCTAAGAAAAACGACAGTACAGCGCGCTAACATCCGTCTAGAGAGCACGGTAACCATAGAGAGACCAGACACCTTGTACACTCCACAATTTACGCACTCTCTAACAACCAGAGAAGTGTCTAAGAGCCTCCGCACTCCACTTTTTATGCACTCTTCAAAAACCCACGCCGAAATTCAACAGAAAATGGCATGTCTATGCGCAGGTCCTCAGACAGTGTGTAGAACGAGGAGAGTACCAGTCTAGTCTCTCCAAGATTACCGTGCTCTCTGAACTCATTACTCTTTTCCGTAAAGTATCGTGTGTAGTGTGCAATCCTTTTAGCCCCCTTGCAAATTGGTCGATTCTTCTCAAGACCCATGCTGATGCTACCGCATGCGCCTTTAATATGACCTGTTATTCGCGCTTGTAATTCACCGACTCCGTAGTTTTGGCTTTTATTAACAAAAAATGCCGTGTGATGATGAAGTTTCGCGTGGCGGTGTATGCACAGCCAAGGTTTACGCAGACACATTGGTCTTTCTTTTTTCCTTTTTCGTAGGAAAAATCATATTTTCCAACTCTTCTCACGGCCAACCAGATCCCAAAAACCTACATGACCATCCTCCACGGACTCGAGTTCTTCATCGGCGTCGGGACTGAGGTAAACGACCCGATTTCTGTCGAAATTCTCAGCCAATGAGGAGGAGGACACGACGGCTCCAATCGAGTTTTTCGAGTGTAAAATGCCCAGGTGTTTGTCCTCGGCCGCCAGGAGACTTTGATTGTTCTGGTCAAAGTTCACGAAATGCATAGGCCAGGGAGATCTGACACGAATTGAATTTAAGGAGAAAAATATCTTCTTTAGACCTAAAATCCCGGTTTTGGGAGACGAGATACTTGAGTTGGAGGACGGTCAACTGCAAGCCGCGCGGGGACAAATCGCCGAGAAATCCACAATCGACGGCCAATTTTGGGCCGTCGAAACGATAAGCTCTCGCCGCCGGATACCACTTCACGATACGTTCTGCAAAAATCGAATCAATTTTTCTTACAGCGTTTTTTGCATTCTGGTTGAACTTCTTTGGCGTGTTCATCGGGGAAACGGAACATGCTTCCAAACGGAAAATCGAGTTCATCGGCGTGCCAAATTTGCTCCAAAAAAGTACTAATTTTTGTTTTGGAGCAATTTCCTTGCTTTTCGAAGCAATTTTCGTTTTGTCCGATGATCACGCCATTGATGAAACTTATCGAGCAAAATGGAAAAGCTCCTCGAAAGCTTTTCTTAAAAAAGATCTTTTCAGGGTCTTTTATATTTCATTCTTGCAACTTTTTCACATGCTTCGACGAAAAAGATACTGCGGATCCTCGAAGGAACTTTTCAGTTTCCCCTACTTCGACTGAAATGTACCTTAAATGTGGCCTCCTGATTTCAGAAAGAGGAAGAAAAAATTCTCGAAGAAAATCTTTTTCCAAGTATAAGCCTTTAGAGTTCACAAATCATACAGATGATGGAAAAAGCAATATTTCGAATTTTTCTTGTTTTGTGATAAGAAGGCCCTGAAGTTCATTCTAGCTAAGCTTCATAAAAAATTCCGCCGGGGGCCAAAAAAAACGTTCCCTGGATAGAAAGTCTATCTCAGCAACTTCCACCACTTCTGGCTATTTCTCTTTGAAAAAAAAAAACCTCAAGTTTTCTTTTTCTTTGCTAATAAGTTCTGAAGTTACAGCAATTGCGAGTTTCCTTGAAAAATGGATTTTTCGGTCTTGGCTAAACTTTTCCACTAGAAGCGCTCGAAATAGCTTTTTTCAAGTTCACGTACTTATTCTTTATGTTAAACGCATGAAATTTGCGGCTAGTTCTTTTCTAAAATATGACTGTCTCAAAAACAAATCCAAAGGTCTAAAGGACGATTCTTGATAGTTTCTACCTTCAGAAGCTTTCTTTTTGAAAATATCAATTTTTGAAATTTGCAAAATATTGCTGATCCTGGCTGTCTTCTAGAAAAGGGTCTTGACACGATTAGAAAAGAGACAGTGTCTGATTGGTGGAGAGCGCAGAGTGTTACGCCTTTATGAGCCCCAGTACTAATTTCAGCCCAGCAAATGCGAGCTTTTCATTGAAAAAGGAATGTTCATAACTTGAACAGTGTTACAATTTGCACAAGGAGTATAATTTGTTCATATTTTGAATGTCAAGTACAACGACGTCCTTCGAAAACACTCTGTGGATGGCTCGCTCTCTGATTGGCTTAACTTGGCATTAGGGGCGGAGCTTTAGAAGCGACTTGACATTTAAAATCTGAACGGACTATAATCTTCGCATAAGGATTCAGAGTTTCCGAGAAAATCTGTAGAAAATTCCTCTCTTGTGAAAATTGATGCCGTGTTCAAAGTGACTCCGCGAAGTTCAAAATAGCTGTCCACGGCGTTTTTTTTATTAAGCAAGATCAAGACTTCTCGTAAATTATGATGCTTAGGGTGCAAACACACCGAGACGCACTATCGCATACTCGAAATTGCTTTTTACAATTTTACATAGCGACTATGCGGGATCGAATCCCAGTCCATCAAAGATTATTTGAGCAAATTTATAGAAAATTCCAAACCCTACGCAAAAATGACCTTCCATGTTAGAATTTGCAACTTTGGGATAATAGTTTTTCTTTCACTGACCGGAACGCCGTGCGTCAGAGAGCGAAAAAGATAACTAAATTTTGGAGAGTCAGAGACCATTTTACATTTCGCGTGAGCACGGCATGAGAAAGAACCTTCGTCAGAGATCTTATCAAAATCAGAAAAAGGCGTACGTGTTAGGTGAAATGAAAATGTGGCTGAGGACCGACTTATTTCGGAACAGATATGATTCTTCAGTTGCTGGCAATCTTCTCCACTCTTCTCAGCCTTATAGCGGGCTGCACTGGAGGCAAAGGGGTACGTCTTTTCCTCTGGAATCCCAGTGGATCCGAAAAAATTTCAGGCGTCTACAGAAAAGAGCAAGCACCCAGTCACCAAGTCCCCCGAAACTGCTCTCGGTTTGTCTCATTCCATTGGTTCATAGTTCAAAATCTTCTCCTTCTGCTTCCTACGCCTTTATACCGCTTGAGCGGGGTCGGTACCCCAAGTCGATTAGCCGAGGTCCTATCCTGATATCAGTGGACTGGCTCCAGCGACATATCCGTTCTTGTGTGGGACGGCTGGGGATTTCGAAGTCGTGGTTCCACAACCAACATTTCTTAAACCCCTTGGTTGGGTCGGGGCGGGGATCGAACTTGTGACCCTGTGGACCGTAGGCAGGCACACAACCTGTTGCGCTACGGCGCGCCCCCTTCAAAGCTCAAAGTGATCGCGAGAGTTTTGAAATAGTCGTCAGAGGGTGAGAAAGATGACTAAGAGAGTTTGAAATAGTTTCAAATTTCGCGGAAGTTACTTTGAACAAAGCATAAGTTGTGCACTGAAACAAGAAGAAATAGAAAATCTCTTATGGAAACCGAGTCTTGACTTTCAAAATAGAAGTATGACTTTGAGAATTTCCTAATATTTAGCTGAGACAACCTTGTTTCCAGTAAAAATAGCAATAGTTGAACCTTACGCCTTTGAACTGAACCCATGACGTCTCAAATTTCGTTCTGTACCATTTTTGAAGAAAAATACAAGGATTGTTAGAGTCGTAATAACTCGGCTAAATGGCGAAATGTGTAAAAATGTTAATTTTGTATATAAATCAGGTAATCTATAGTCAATCCATGACTTGAAAGGCACGGCATTCCTAATGGGGTGAGGGAAGGTGAGCGAGGCGTCAAATTTTCTGAATTTGCAAAAAAAAAAGTGTGCACGCTCCGAATATAATGACATCATTCTACGTCACAAATTACACTGAGTATTCAACGTTAATAACTTGTTTGTTCGATCGCCTTTGACTGCGTACTTGAGATTTCAATTTTCGCGCCAAATTTTTTTGACGTTTTCCACCCCGTTTGGGAACGTCGTGAAGGGGGTGGAGGCGGGACGCGTAGCGTGTGCGTACGCGGTTCTTGGCACGAGTTCAATTCAAGCGCCACCGGCTATTTGGAGAGCTCCTTTTTTGCTCTTTTTGTATCTATCCTACTATTTTTTTTAGTGCACAAGTGAAAAAATCAATAAATAAGTGAGAAAGAATTTGAAAGAGCGATAAACAAGCTCATCAAACATACATCGGCTCCGCGGGGTGGGATCCAGCCGACGTATGTCTCCAAATAGACAGTAATACTGAACTCGTGCCAAGAACCGCGAACGCACACGCTACGCGTCCCCCTCGCTTTTCAAGTCGGAAAAAAATTGACTCAAAACCACGTCGCAGAAAAATCTTTATTAATTTGTCTTTTCCTCTTGTTTTTAACTTTCTTTTTTTGATTGTTCAAATAAACCTTGCAGCGGATCGCCAAGCTCTACCCCCGACAAAGAACGCCGATACGAAACCCTCGGTTAAGAGCAAAAAAGGGGAGAAAAAGGCTGAAGCCCAAGCAGAGAATAAGGAGGAGAAGAAGAACGAGAAAAGGGAAGAAGTGAAAAAAGACGTGAAGAAGGAAGAGAAGAAGGACGAGAAGAAGGAGGAGAAAAAAGACGAAAAAAAAGAGGAACCGAAGCCAGAAGAGCAGAAAAAAGAAATCCCACCGGTGCGCAACCCTGAGCCCAATCCAGTTTCTGGTGTCGATCCCAAGGTATTTTAACTTGTCCGACAACAAAAAAATGGGTTCAAAATGAGGCTGCTTCACTAGTTGCAGTTTTTCATGCTGATTCCGAATCTGTGCTCAAAAGTTTCCTTTGAGGCTTGTTAAACAAGTTATGGGTACTGGAAGCTGGAAAAAAAGGAAAGGGTACCTTTCTAGATTTCTATCCTCTTGAATTTTTTTTTCGAACCTCATGATCGGGTTCTAGTTACCACCAACGTCAGTTCTCACTATTTTCCGAGCATTGGGCGATTCTAACGACAGCAATGTAGTTAGAATCGCCCAGGGCAGTTCTAACTACATTACTGTCAGAAAGGATACGAAAAAACGGGGTTTCCACAACTTTCTTGTGATGAATGCGATCTTCCTGAAAGTTTCTGAAGCTGCGTTTTTTTTTCTGTGAACTGAAACTTCACCAGAGTGTGGAGAATAACAGCCATCCCAACTTTAGAAAGTTTCAGGAAGCTTGAATTCTTTACAAGAACCGAAATCCCGTTTTCTCGTATCGTTTCTGACGACACTGTAGTTTCCAAAAATGGGAAGGGTTAATTTTCAACTTTGAAAACTTTTAAAAGGCTTCAAGAGCAATTTTCGAGGAAAAGTGAGAAATTGTACCACTAAACTTTATTATGAATCCCACTGTGGGCTGAGAGAATTTCCAAATAAAAACGAGAATTTTCAGGAAGCGTTGCTCGACAATCCCATTATAACACTGCAGTCCGAGGCTCCTTCTATTGAGGTTCCTTAATTTAAAATGTTTCTTTTTCAAAATGAGCTATCAGGTGGTGGTCGAAGAAAAGAAGGACGACAAGAAGGATGAAAAGAAGGAAGCGAAGAAAGATGATAAGGCTGGAGACAAGAAGGACGTGAAGAAGGAAGAAAAGAAGGACGCGAAAAAAGAAGAAAAGACGGGAGAAAGGAAGGACGAGAAGAAGGACGAAAAGAAAGAGGATGACGAGAAAAAATAGGATGAGAAGTCGAAGGAAGAAAAAACCAAGCAGTAGTGATCCCCGTCGAATGTCGATTATCCGTTTGAATAAAATTTCTACAAAGATTTTTTGCAAGATTTCTATATTTTATATATTTATGGACAAGTGAAGGAGCCAATGAGTCCGGAAGATACAAAAATTTTGAAAGTGGGGTATAAAAAAAAGTTTTAACCCCAGGGAGGGGGTATCGACAAAAATAAAAGAAATTTTCAACAGGAAAAGGTAGTACTAGTTTTTTTTTTTTGGAAATTTCAGGAAAAGGGAACGGTGCACATTCTGAAATGGGAGGGGGCTTGTTCGAATGAGCCCGGGGGGACTATTTCAAAGCCGTGCGGGGAGCAAACATGAAAGATTGCCTAGGCGTTTCAAAAATCCCCCGTTTTTGTACTACGGGAGGCCATTCTAGAATACATACTCACCCCCCGCGTTTGATTCTTCCCCCACACACACAAGAAGTCCTCCAATTTTACCCCCCGCAGATCGGAACTCGGCTTGGTGGGGGGCTTGTTAGAACGCGGGGGGCAAAAACAGTGTGGGGGGCGATTCTAAAATTTTCCCAAAAAACCAAATTTTTGTTTTAAAATTAGACTTGAAAACGACCGAGACTCAAAAATGTGCAAAAACATTTCTTTATTGAGAGATATTATAGCCGATTCACGGCTAAATTGGGAAGCTAAGGGGACGTGGCCTGTCTGCGCTCTTTACGAGCCAGACACTATCTCGTTTCGTGTCAGGACCCTTTTTTCGATAGCTCAAGACACCCGTGAAACAGCTATACGTAAAGTCTAAAACTGCATCTTGAAATAGCTCGAGAAGAGATTGTCAGTTTTTGGCCGAGACAAGATCGTGTCTCGTGCATCCCTGGTCTGCCCATGTATGATTCTAATTCTGGCCAGCAGCACCCGATGAGGTATAGCTGATTCACGGCTGCCTTGAGCCAGCGAAAAAATGGTCCTGACACGATAATGCACGAGACAACGCCTGGCTCGTGGAGAGCGCAGACAGGAAACGCCCCCTTAGCGTCCCAAGCTAGCCTTGAATCAGCTATAAAACGTCATAATTTGCGAAGCGGGTGCTCTACGGTAGCTACTGCCGATCGGCCAAATTTTTTTTTTAACTTTTCCGTTGATCCCCCGGACTTAAACGGGGTCTATGCGCGGCTAAAAACCGCGTTTCGGGAGCTCGGCTGGGGTTAAACGGGTGACCCACGGGTGCTGATGACCAACAAGAGAGGATCTTCAGAGACAGGCTATTTGAGGGCCAGTTTTCAAGCTTTAGTGGGCCCTATAGGGAAGTAAAAGCGATATCTAGAGGAAAGCCTTCAAGGACCCCTATAGGGACCATTCTCCGTGCGACCGACTAGGAAATTATCGATGAATCTCATTTTTCGCGGATATTTCTTCCCACATTTTTTCAATGGTCATTGACAGGACACAACTCAAAGCTGGTCACAAAGTTGTCCATGGAGCGCAAAGAATTCACCTTTCGTGGCTATTTCTTCGCACATACTTTCGACGATTTACAGACAGGCCGAAAATTATCCATGGAGCGCACAATTTCCCTCATTCTACGGAGTGCACTCTGACGTTTCTACCAAGGAGTTTTTTCTCCGTTTTGCCAAAATGATGCTTTTTAAGGGTTCTATAAGCCTATGGCGGTATTTCAAACTCAAAAAATACACCAACGGCCAAAAAATTCAAATAATCTCACCCAACTTGTTGCTGATGTCGATCAAGCAAAGACCATCGCCGTTTGCGGTTTTCGTCTGAATAAAAATGCTTTGATTTTTTTTTCCAGTTGTTCAGAAAAACCTCCTTCTTGGCTTCCCTTGCCTCAACTTTCTTCAGCGCTTCACGTTCACGTATTTTCTCGACATTTTTGAGGAATATGATCTGGTCGAGCCTCTGTTTCCTGTTCTGACACTCCAGTAACGATTTCCAGGCCTTGTCGTCCAGTTTTGAAGGGAACATCGGGCTGAGCCGAGAGAAGAGCTGTAACTTGGAGAAAGTTACACTTAATGGAGAACTTTTTTTTAACGCCCGGTCGAATTTTTGAACATCTTTTGCTGGTGTACTTTTGGACCCCCTGATTGCAGAGCAAGAAGAGGATTTTTCGCAATCAAATTTTTTTTTTCGAGTCATGGAGCTTCAAAGTCAGCAAAACACGCAAAATACAAAAAAAAAAGCGCTATTTCAAACTTTTAAAGCGTCTCAACTCGAAAAACCCAACCTGCTGCGAGAAATTTTTCTTCTGTTTCTGGAATCAGGAGGTCGGGGGAACAAATTCCTGGTTAATAGAATGTGGTGCGCGCAAGATGGTCACGTTTCAAAAGAACGAAATTTGAAAGAAACTCTGTAATAAGGGCTTTTCAGCACTTCTACTCTGGAAAACTGCAAAAATCAAAGGTCTTGAAGGGAAAGTGGTCAATATCGGTCCAATTTGGTATAGGGTCTTTTTGGTGAACAAAAAAACGTGACAAGCTAGCTTGGAGTGAATTATACAAACATGGCGAGCAACTTATGTCGATTTTTTTATATTTTTTTAGAGGTGGAAATGGTTTTTGGAAATTTTTTTGGCCTCTGTCTGTACTTATTCACTAAAAAAATAACGTTGCGAATTATTTTAGAACACCAGTTCGAAGTATAAAAATCGCTAATTTTTTTCAACGTTGATCTTGAGATTATGAAGTACCCCTTAAATTTCAAAAAAATTTTTTTATAGATAAATATAACAGATCATGAGCTCCGAAATGATATTTTCAGTTGAATCGAGGGGTTTTTAAGAATTGGGTTCCTCAAAAAAGAATGCCGTTCTTAAATTAATCTGGGCCATTTCGAAACTGACGCGTTATTTTTTTTTAGACCCTTTCCCAGAAGCTTCCGTTCGATGAGCACGGCGTGTTTCTTTCCATGCGCCTTTAATTTGATCTTAAACGCTTTTATATTAAAGGCGCAGGTACACATGCAGGGCAAGCGTATCGAAATGATATTTCTCGGGAGGTTTCTGTAGCTCGGAAGAATAATGAAAAAGGGAAAGGCTGGCGCGGAATGGGCTATATCACGGTATTTACGTATGACTGAAAAAATTTGGTTAAAAACACCCAAAATTTTGATTTTTCCACTATCTCGTTTGTAGACCCATTTTATTTCAAGGAATTTCCAGTTTTAAGTATTCCACAAAATCATTTTTAAACAAAAAGCTTCAATTTCGAAATCGTCGTAACCACTTTGAACAGAAAAAAAAACGTGCGTTTCTTAAAATTTCAATAAAACAATCGATTTACCAAGGTTTCCTTGACGATAAAGTCGAGTTTAGGACGAAGTTCTACTGGAAGCTCGGATTTGAACGAAGCGCTCGGCAAGGATTTTTCCTTCAGCCGCGGTGCCGTCCAAAGGATCGGACTGATCGTCCGATTCGTATTTTTCAACAATTTCCGTATTTTCCAATCCGTCCAACGGTAAAAGTTCGCAAGCTTCTCCATTCTCGGACTGGAAATACACTTTTTTCTTTCAAAACTTGTTCAAAAAGCTCTAGATACCCTGAAAATTCGAATTCGAATAAAGTATTCCGAGATTTTCAAGACAATTCGCAAGTGATTCCACTCTAGAAACCGATAAAAAAATTTATTACAAAAATCAAAAAAATTTATAAATCAAATCTCACATCACATAAAAAAATAGAGCAAAAATATAAAAATATATATATTTTTTTTTAAATTTATATTTGAGGAGTAAATTCGAAAAAAATCCCTGGCTGTTCGCCAATAATTCATCGCGATATCGTCTTCCCGTATACTTTCCGACTTGAGAAGCAGAAGGTCGACGATTACTGCGTGTTCGTAGATCTACAAAAAATGGTTATTTTCGGGGTTTTTTTTTTCGAACTTACAGTTTTCTTCAATTTTTGATTAATGTCGTACAGTTTCAACGTCTTGTCCTTTGGCCGTTTTGACCATCTGGAAAAATATTTTTTCGATGCGTTTGTTTGATTATAATGATAACTCTTGTTAGGGATTTCTAAATCGTAAAGAAAAAAAGCTCATTGGACTGGATTCTCAATTAAATTTCACTTGAAAAATGAAAAAGAAAGAAAGTTTTCATTAAA